CACCAGTGTTTGATGTTGGTTGAAAGTCGGTTTTCTTGTTTTGGGGGATATCATCTGGGAAGACAGTGATCTTTTTGCTGGTGGGTTCATCAATGGCTTCCATTTCCGCGCATTGTTTCTTTGTTGTGCCAGTAATTATCGAAGTTGTAGTTGAACTGAACAATGTCGACAACAAAGAAGCAGCTGATGTTGCGCCAGCGGCATCGGTTTGACCTGGTTGTGTTGGCTGTACTGAACCGCCGGTCTGGCCTGGTTGTGTTGGTTGTCCGGAAGCAGGTGTTTGACCTGGTTGTGTTGGCTGTCCTGAACCGCCGGTCTGTCCGGGCTGTGTTGGTTGTCCTGAAGCACCAGTAGTTGGTTCAACACAGGCTCGTACTTTCAGCACCACTCCTTTCGGTGATTCGTCATCAGTAGTCTTCACAACTGTGACCTGTACTTTCGACACTGGAGTATCGGCTGGAATCTTGCTCGAGTCCACCGTGGGTGGTTTCAACTTGTCATCCTTCGGACTGTCAGTTGATTGAATCGGTGTTGGGTTCACTTTCGATCCGTTGGGGGAGTAGAACGTCACTTCAAACTGTTCGACATTAGCACCTTGCGTCTTGTCACGTGGAATGGTCACCGATTGTACTTCGGCTGGCTTGTCGAAGTTGACTGTGATCGTCGGTTTCTTGTCATTCGATGGGAAGGAGACACCAGTGTTTGATGTTGGTTGAAAGTCGGTTTTCTTGTTTTGGGGGATATCATCTGGGAAGACAGTGATCTTTTTGCTGGTGGGTTCATCAATGGCTTCCATTTCCGCGCATTGTTTCTTAGTAGTGCCAGTGATTGTTGAAGTAGGGCTGGAACCGAGGAAGGTAGACACTGAAAACGAAGTTGTAAATGTTCCAGTGGAACTAGTCTGCGCAGGTTGTGATGGCTGTTCGGAGATAGCTGTTTGGCCAGGTGCAGATGGTTGTCCGGAGGTAGTGGTGTGGCCTGGCTGGCTGGATGTTCTGCTCGTTGTTGTCGTGTCTTGTTCGACTGGAGCCGTCGTGCCGGTCGTTGTTGGCTTCGCACAGCCAATGATACTCAAACGGGTGTTCGTAGGAACTGTGCCGTCACTGGTTTTCTTGATTGTAACTGACAATGGAATCACATCTTCGATGTATGGAGAGTATTTGATGCTTGGGCTACTGGGATTGTCGCTCAGACGTGGTGCATCGTCGAAATCAGTTAGTGCACTGATGGATGTGATCTTCGATTCAGCAGGATTGGCAATGGAGATGTTTTGAATGATCACTTCCTAGAACCTCGCAGTCATGGGCAGACATCGGCGATGATGGTGAAGCACTTACCTTGATGAAAAGAATGTCGACGGTGGTTGGCACAGTAGAAAGAGCGAAGGATGCTTTGAGTGCATCGGGACTAATGTCCTTGTTGTTGAGTTTGACTGAGGCGATCATTTGTGATCCGAATGAGGTGAGCTCGACAGGGTTTTCACAGACTACAACATGTTGGCGAATAGCAGGAAAGTGGTATATGTGGAAGAATTTTAGTGAAATAGAGACTAGGTAATGCTTCGATGAATATGTATGTAGAGGATACACGTTTATGTATATGTGAAACCGTCCTATATTTGAGCAGACGTGAAAGCTAAGTTGTGTGGAAAGTATTTTTGTGAATGAAGGAGACAAATAAGCGTTGAAAATATCGGTTTTAAGATGTTCAGAATTGAAAAAAAGTGATAAAATGGTGTGTGGTGGTCGGTAGAAAGTTTTGCGCTTATTATTTGAAGAGTTTTCTTGAAGAATAATTTTCCTCACAATACAGAACTCAAGAAATAATCTTATAAATGGGAATGATTTGATCGGCATGAGGTAAAACTCATGTTAACTTTAGTGGGACATATATTTCGTCCTTATTTTCAGAGAAGTTTTTTTGTAAACGCAAGGAAATAATAGATCGCGTTTCTGAGCTTTAAGATAGTCTATGCATACTAGAATCAGTAGAGTCAGATACGTCACAGATCGAAAGTACTGTAAGTGGTGCTTGAAATTGTGTCATAGGGCTTATGATGTATATAGAGCTCAATTTTTCCAACGCTTAAAGACGTCTCCAATCGCCTCGATCCATATGATATATCACGACATAGGAGTTGCATACGAGAGAAAGTTCCTCCGCGTTCAGCACAGTCCGAGCTATTGTTATGTAACCTCACCTGCGTTTGATGTTTTCGCTGTTGTGCCCGTTGTAACTGTAGACGTAGATGTTGATGGTGGAGCTAAAAGCAGATTCAGAATCGATGAATTTGAAACACAAACCAACGACGGAAAACAACTGCACTTCTCAGATGTGTCAGAATAACAAATATCCAGATACGGATTTCCGTCGAAAGGAAAAACATTCAACGGCAGCTGCTTCCACCGAGTGACTGCATATTGGAAGAGAAAAGCTCAGTGTCTCTTCGAATAGTTTCATTCACAGTCATCACAAGAATCAGACATAGATATCAAACTACCGTTGAAAGAGTCGATTTATGCGATTTCAAGGCAGAAGTGACACACTCTCGGATATAACAACTTGTTGATAATAATTGTCTTCCCCATAGATAAATCATGCATTCGCATACAAGTACAAACTACCTTCTTCTGCCATGATCGTTCACAAGTGATTGAGTAAGATACTTATCTGACGCATCGACTAGAACGTCAACTCTCATGAGTGTCCAATGTGACCTCTCCACTGACTACAAGAACCTCTAATTCGCACATCTCTCTCATACTCCTTTTCTGGAGACACTCAGTCTGAACATTCTCGAAGTACTGCTTACGAATATTCAACAATATATACCATTCAATTCTCCCACTAGTTCGCCAAAAGCTCATGAGCTTTCTTCCCATGGCATCAAAAATGTCGCCAGGCACATAAAAGTATAATCAGTCTCTTATGCCGGAATACTATTCGCCACAGACCTTTTCCATGCACTCCACGATTTGCTCATCTATACTGTCCAAAGATCGCCATCACGACTCTTATTCTTTCCTCCAGCTCCAAGTCATACCACAAGCAGTCTCATTAATTACTTTATTCTTCACACTTCGCGTACTGGCGAGAGTGTCACTTACTTGTCGATGATTCCGTGCATGCTTTCACACTCAACACTACACCTTTCGGTGATTCGCCATCTGTTGTTTTCACGACTGTCACTTCCACCTTCGACGTTGGAGTGTTCGACGGAAGTTTGCTCGAATCAACTGTGGCTGGTTTCGATTTGTCATCTTTCGGACTGTCCGTTGATTGAATCGGTGTTGGGTTCACCTTCGACCCATTGGGGAAGAAGAGTGTCACTTGGAACTGTTCAATATTAGCACCTTGAGTCTTGTCACGTGGAATGGTGACCGATTGTACTTCCGCTGGTTTCTCGAAGTTCACAACGAAAGTTGGTGTTCTGTCGTTGGTTGGGAATGATACACCATTCTTCGATGTTGGTTGAAGATCTGCCTTCTTGTCTTGTGGTAGCTCGTTGGGTGTGACAATGATTTTCTTGCTAGTTGGTTCATCGATGGCTTCCATTTCAGCACACTGTTTAGTGGTGGTGCTTGGTTGACCAGGTTGTGTTGTTTGGCCCGGTTGACCAGGTTGAGTTGTTTGGCCCGGTTGACCAGGTTGTGTCGTAAAACCCGGTTGACCTCGTTGTGTTGTTAGACCCGGTTGACCTGGTTGAGTTGTTTGGCCTGGCTGACCTGGTTGACTTGTTTGGCCCGGTTGACCAGGTTGTGTCGTAAGACCCGCTTGACCTGGTTGTGTTGTTTGGCCCGGTTGACCAGGTTGAGTTGTTTGGCCCGGTTGACCAGGTTGAGTTGTTTGGCCTGGTTGAGCTGGTTGAGTCGTTAGGCCTGGCTGACCTGGTTGTGTCGTAAGACCCGGTTGACCTAGTTGAGTTGTTTGGCCTGGCTGACCGGGTTGAGTCGTTTGGCCTGGCTGACCTGGTTGTGTCGTAAGACCCGGTTGACCTGGTTGAGTTGTTTGGCCTGGCTGACCGGGTTGAGTCGTTTGGCCTGGCTGACCTCGTTGTGTCGTTATGCCCGGTTGACCAGGTTGTGTCGTAAGACCCGCTTGACCTGGTTGAGTTGTTTGGCCTGGTTGAGCTGGTTGAGTCGTTTGGCCTGGCTGACCTGGTTGTGTCGTAAGACCCGGTTGACCTGGTTGTGTTGTTAGACCCGGTTGACCTGGTTGAGTCGTTTGGCCTGGCTGACCTGGTTGTGTCGTAAGACCCGGTTGACCTGGTTGAGTCGTTTGGCCTGGCTGACCTGGTTGTGTCGTTATACCCGGTTGACCAGGTTGTGTCGTAAGACCCGGTTGACCTGGTTGTGTTGTTTGGCCCGGTTGACCTGGCTGACCAGGTTGAGTCGTTTGGCCCGGTTGACCTGGTTGAGTCGTTTGGCCTGGCTGACCTGGTTGTGTCGTTATGCCCGGTTGACCAGGTTGTGTCGTAAGACCCGCTTGACCTGGTTGAGTTGTTTGGCCTGGTTGAGCTGGTTGAGTCGTTAGGCCTGGCTGACCTGGTTGTGTCGTTAGACCCGGTTGACCTGGTTGAGTCGTTAGGCCTGGCTGACCTGGTTGAGTCGTTTGGCCTGGCTGACCTGGTTGTGTCGTAAGACCCGGTTGACCTGGTTGTGTTGTTAGACCCGGTTGACCTGGTTGAGTTGTTTGGCCTGGCTGACCTGGTTGAGTTGTTTGGCCGGGTTGACCAGGTTGTGTTGTTAGACCCGGTTGACCTGGCTGAGTTGTTAGACCTGGTTGACCTGGTTGAGTCGTAAGACCCGGTTGACCTGGTTGAGTTGTTTGGCCTGGCTGACCGGGTTGAGTCGTTAGGCCTGGCTGACCTGGTTGAGTCGTAAGACCCGGTTGACCTGGTTGAGTTGTTTGGCCTGGCTGGCTTGATGTTCTGCTCGTTGTTGTCGTGTCTTGTTCGATCTGAGCCTTCGTTACGATCGTTGTGGGCTTGGCACAACCAATGATACTCAAACGGGTGTTCGAAGGAACTGTGCCATCACTGGTTTTCTTGATTGTAACTGACAATGGAATCACGTCTTCCATGTATGGAGAGTATTTGATGCTTGGGCTACTGGGATTGTCGCTCAGACGTGGTGCATCGTCGAAATCAGTTAGTGCGCTGATGGATGTGATCTTCGATTCAGCAGGATTGGCAATGGAGATGTTTTGAATGATTACTTCCTACAACGTCGCAGTCATGCGCAGAGATCGGCGATGACGGTGAAGCACTTACCTTGATGAAAAGAATGTCGACGGTGGTTGGCACAGTAGAAAGAGCGAAGGATGCTTTGAGTGCATCGGGACTAATGTCTTTCTTGTTGAGTTTGACTGAGGCGATCATTTGTGATCCGAATGAGGTGAGCTCGACAGGGTTTTCACAGACTAGAATATATTGGCGTATAGCAGGAAAGTGGTATGTGTTAAAGAATTATAGGGAAAGAGAATTTTTAGATGGCCTCTCTAAAGAAAAGGTAGTTGAGTATATTGTGGTGGAAATGGCGGTTAGTGTTTGTTGGAATGAGGGATGGTATTGTGAAAGCAGAATGATTTGAGATAGAATATTTATGGTTTGGGAATGCTGCAGGGAGAGTTGGACGAAATGGATTTAGTGAAAGGTAAGATGCGTACGGTTTTGATCGGCACTAGGGATAAAAAAGGAGTCAATGTGAGTAATGAGTAGTGATATGTATATTGTGGAACTGGAGATGGTTTTTCGGTTACTGAAGTATTGGAAAGGAAATTCGGATAATTCGTAGGAAGGAAATGGCTCAAGTTATGAAAGCTAGCGCGTCTTTTTTTGGATCGCATTGCAACTGTATTTGTGATCAAACTGAAGGAAATTTTTTTTATTTGTTGCATTCGCCGAACAACCTGAGGTGTAGGTAGTGTGCAATAAAATACGCGTATGAAATGTTTCTATTTGATCTTTAATCGTTTGATCATTTAAGTGAAATATCGATGGACTCAGTGAGCGAATGCTATGAGAGATCGGGATTATAGGGGAAAGATCTACGTTATATTGCTCCCGCAGTGATGCAAACACTTAGCGGAATCGAGTACATATTTAGACAGGTATTTGTGTGTAACAGCTGTTTAACGGAAAAATCACGATTAAAAGTAGTACGAAAAGCTAGAGCATCGCTTCTATCGTTGGTTTTCATTGCGAAGTGTTATGACAAAGATAAAAGTGGCAGTTGTGATAGATATGAGACAAAGCTACTGTTATGTAATCTTACCTGCACTTGATATTTTCGCTGTTGTACTCGTTGTGACCGCAGATGTCGATATTGCTGATGGGGCTGAAAGCAGATCCATAGTGGGTGAGAGCGAAAAACAAAACGAAGGCGAAAAAGAGCTATTTCACTTTTCAATAAGATTAGGCATTACGTACTGTTCTCATGAACGGCAAACTACTAAAGACGTCTCCTATATAATCAGCAAACTCTCGTAAATATTCACATATATCCATGGATATTACTGTCAATTACAGCGTGGCCAATCTATCAACTGGTATTCCAGCATATGTCAGAATACCGACGATCAAGAAGCATTTCCATGCAATCGAGCTGCTAATATTGATGTATCACATCGTTACAAATAGGTAAACTGATTGAAAATATGGTTATCAGGTTCGAATGGACGAAAAGACTATGGGTCAAAATCATCCTCAGAATATGAATATGTTCTATAGCGAAAGCTGTCTTTGTAGTATACGACTATTCATCTGTAACTCATTCATGTACTTGTGCGAGTAATCAACAGAAAGCAATGGATTCCCATAATCATGCGACGTGATATTAAACTTCATCGCAAAAAACTTTAGCTTCCGTATTTCTTTCCAACTTTCCTCCCTAAAAAGCATTCGATAGACACCCCATACACTACGGTTTTGAAGCATTTCCAAATATCTTTTCATGAAAATGCCGCATAATCTACGGAGCGCCGAACTCCTCCAACATACACGTACGACATCAGTCGCCAAATGCTCATGCAACATCTTCGCCTACTCTAACACAGAACCACTACAAACACGAAGACAAACTTCGCTATATGATTCAAAAATATTCTTTCCGCAGTTACCGAATGAAAACCGTCACATATCCTAGCTCTTCAATCCTACTACTACCTACTTCCCCTATTTCAGTCAATTGCACTCGGCGACTTACTTGTCGATGATTCCGTGCATGCTTTCACACTCAACACTACACCTTTCGGTGATTCGCCATCTGTTGTTTTCACGACTGTCACTTCCACCTTCGACGTTGGAGTGTTCGACGGAAGTTTGCTCGAATCAACTGTGGCTGGTTTCGATTTGTCATCTTTCGGACTGTTCGTTGACTGAATTGGTGTTGGGTTCACCTTCGACCCATTGGGGAAGAAGAGTGTCACTTGGAACTGTTCAATATTAGCACCTTGAGTCTTGTCACGTGGAATGGTGACCGATTGTACTTCCGCTGGTTTGTCGAAGTTCACAATGAATGTTGGTGTTCTGTCGTTGGTTGGGAATGATACACCATTCTTCGATGTTGGTTGAAGATCTGCCTTCTTGTCTTGTGGTAGCTCGTTCGGTGTGACAATGATCTTCTTGCTAGTTGGTTCATCGATGGCTTCCATTTCAGCACACTGTTTAGTGGTGGTGCTTGGTTGACCTGGTTGTGTCGTAAGACCCGGTTGACCTGGTTGTGTTGTTTGGCCCGGTTGACCAGGTTGTGTTGTTTGGCCCGGTTGACCAGGTTGTGTTGTTTGGCCCGGTTGACCAGGTTGTGTTGTTTGGCCTGGCTGACCAGATTGTGTTGTTTGGCCTGGCTGACCAGATTGTGTTGTTTGGCCTGGCTGACCTGGTTGAGTTGTTTGGCCGGGTTGACCAGGTTGTGTTGTTTGGCCTGGCTGACCTTGGTGTGTTGTAAGACCCGGTTGACCTGGTTGAGTTGTTTGGCCCGGTTGACCAGATTGTGTTGTTTGGCCTGGTTGACCAGGTTGTGTTGTTTGGCCCGGTTGACCAGGTTGTGTTGTTTGGCCTGGCTGACCAGGTTGTGTTGTTTGGCCTGGCTGACCAGATTGTGTTGTTTGGCCTGGCTGACCTGGTTGAGTTGTTTGGCCGGGTTGACCAGGTTGTGTTGTTTGGCCTGGCTGACCTTGGTGTGTTGTAAGACCCGGTTGACCTGGTTGAGTTGTTTGGCCCGGTTGACCAGATTGTGTTGTTTGGCCTGGTTGACCAGGTTGAGTTGTTTGGCCCGGTTGACCAGGTTGAGTTGTTTGGCCCGGTTGACCAGGTTGTGTCGTAAGACCCGGTTGACCTGGTTGAGTTGTTTGGGCCGGTTGACCAGGTTGAGTTGTTTGGCCCGGTTGACCCGGTTGACCTGGTTGAGTTGTTTGGCCCGGTTGACCGGGTTGGGTCGTTAGGCCTGGCTGACCTGGTTGTGTCGTAAGACCCGGTTGACCTGGTTGTGTAGTTTGGCCTGGCTGGCCTGGTTGAGTTGTTTGGCCTGGCTGACCTGGTTGAGTCGTAAGATCCGGTTGACCTGGATGAGTTGTTTGGCCTGGCTGGCTTGATGTTCTGCTCGTTGTTGTCGTGTCTTGTTCGATCTGAGCCTTCGTTACGATCGTTGTTGGCTTGGCACAACCAATGATACTCAAACGGGTGTTCGAAGGAACTGTGCCGTCACTGGTTTTCTTGATTGTAACTGACAATGGAATCACGTCTTCCATGTATGGAGAGTATTTGATGCTTGGGCTACTGGGATTGTCGCTCAGACGTGGTGCATCGTCGAAATCAGTTAGTGCACTGATGGATGTGATCTTCGATTCAGCAGGATTGGCAATGGAGATGTTTTGAATGATCACTTCCTAGAACCTCGCAGTCATGGGCAGACATCGGCGATGACGGTGAAGCACTTACCTTGATGAAAAGAATGTCGACGGTGGTTGGCACAGTAGAAAGAGCGAAGGATGCTTTGAGTGCATCGGGACTAATGTCTTTGTTGTTGAGTTTGACTGAGGCGATCATTTGTGATCCGAATGAGGTAAGCTCGACAGGGTTTTCACAAACTAAAGTATGGTTTAGAATACTGCATCGCGAAATTTTGGTCGAGAAATAACTCACCTGGACTGGATGTTTTGGTAGTAGTCTGGGGCGTCGGGGTGGTTTGTACAGCTAGAAAAATCGATGAAAATATATTTGGAGAAGGTTTTATCGTAGTTAGTTTATGTATCTCAGGAGCTTGAAGAATTGAGTGGATGGACCTCTTGAAGTAACTATGTATGGCTTGCATTGTTATTATATTTTAGAATAGCAGATTTCTCTCGTTTGAGTGATGAAAATGCGGTTATTTGACTTACTCGTAGTGGTTTGACTAGATACATTAGGCAGTGATGATGTTGTTGATGTTACGCCGGCGACGGTAGTTTGAGTATTGCTTGTTGTCGTGTATGGTTCTGTCTGTGCTTTTGTATTTATTGTCGTTGGATCGGCACAGCCAAAAATTCCGAGTTTTACTTGTTTTGGAAGAGAATTACCCTCTACTTTCAAGATTTCTACGGTTAATGGTATGACATCCTCCATATATGGAGTATACACAACGCTGGGATTCGATTCGTTCTGACTCAACACTGGCTCGAAATCATAATCGGTTAATGCACTGATAGATGTTATTTTCGATTCGGCTGGATTAAGGATCGTAACATTTTGAAGAATGACTTCCTACAGGAGATAGATGTGTTATTAACACATTGACATTGCGGATGAACAAACCTTTATGAATGTCAAATCAATGGTGGTGGGTATTTTGCTGACTGATAAAGTGTCGGAAAGTGTTTTAGGTGCTACTGATCGGCCGTTAACTTGAACCGAAGCAATAAACTTATCAGCTTGCGTTGACATATCAATAATTTTTGCACATTCTAAAGCAAGATTGATCCATACGAAAGAGTCCTTAAAATGAATGAGTACACACGTTTGGTTACTGGCGGTTTTGTTTTCATAGTTCGAATTGTCGTAGTAACTGTAGTGGTTTGTGCGGCTTCAATAATTTAGAAGAAGAAATATTTTTTAGTATAGACGTTGGTCACTCACCTTGCGTTGTATTAGAAATACTAGCTTTTGTCGTCGTTGTGTCTAAACATACATTTATTGTATAAATCAAAGGAAAAGGTTGCATTGGTTATCCAAAGCATTACCAGGTTCTATTTGAGCTTTCGTGTTGAGTGCCATTGGTTTACCACAAGCACGAAGAAAGAGTTTGACTGTTTTGGGATATTGAACGCCGGTTTTCGCGGCTGTCAACGTGAAAATAACGCCTTGATTTAATTCAATATTTGGATCATAATTGATTTGAAGTCCTTGTGCATTTGTACGAGTATCAATGTCGTAATCGTTTTCAACGGATATTTGCGTGATTTGAGCATCTTTTGAATTCACAAGACCGGCTGATGTAAGAGTTGCCTTTGAAAAGAGAAAAGAATTTAATTGATTTGACATTTTCGATTGAAAACTAAAAATTTTACATCGTTAACAGTTTGGAATTCGACTGTCATTGATGATTTGGTCATGTCGAACGATCTTGGATAGGGTGGTAAAATTGTTTTACCATCAACTGCGACTTTTGAGAAATAAACATCGTCGGTATCGATCATATCCACTGGTTTTGTACAAGCTATATGGAAAGAAGAAATAGCTAAACATGAAATCATGCAAAATTAAGCGAAATATTTGCCTTCTTTTTGTGTTACACCCGCTCCAGGTGTCGTAGTAGGTGGAGAGGTCTTCTTAGATAGTTGAGTAGCTAACAATATGAAATGAAATAACTATGCTGAGGAGAATAATCGATTCCAAACATACCGATGGGTGTGGTAGTCGTTAGATAATAGTCGACTAGAAATAGTTCAAAGTGTGAGTTTCTGGCAATTGAAATGTGTTTTTCGTTTTACCTGGTTTGTAGCAACCCTCAACCATCACTCGCACAGCTTTTGGTGCTTGTTGATCGGATGTACGGAGGATTTTAATATTGACACCTAGAATTCCACATCGCATTGAATGTTCAACAATTGTTGGATCGTTAAGCGGTGAACGTAGAACAACTTTAGTTCCATCTGCGTCTAGTAGATCGCTCTTGTTGACATTGAGATAACTGACTTCGATTTGTGCAACATTTGATGATGAACGACCAGTAGCATTGACTTGAACACTCACGTCGGACACACAAATGTGATTGTTGAAAACGGCATTGATTACTTGATCGTAGCCGACTCTTAAGTTTTCACCTTTCAAGTCTTTATACGCTTGAGTAAAATCGGAGAAAGGAGCTGCTGGCGACGAAAATTTCTCCATATTTTCACGTACTAAAATATTTTTTTTGTCACATAGCACTAGAAAAGTTGACAAACGTAGTTTTCAAGTATTTCTTCGACAAACAAAGCTCTACTTGATTTAGCAACTGTTGTTCCAACAACACTGATATTTGCAGGTGGTGCAGTTGACGACGGTGTAGTTGATGATGGTGTACTTTGTGTAAGAAAGATTGGATTTATATTAGCTACAACGAGATGATTGAAATTGATGTGACAAAGCAAGAAAACCTTACTAGCTTTGAAGCATCCTAAGACTTTCAGTCGAAAGTAGGATGGTAGACCTCCGGTTGTTTCAAGAACTGTTACGTTAAGTCCTCTCAAATTCGGAATAATGTCATGCTGAATCGCCAAGTTGGAATCACTTGTGTATGTTAACACTTTTCCAGTCACTGGATCGAGATATGGTGTACCGTCGGCATTCAAATAGTATAGACTGAATTTAGCAATGTTTGTTGTTTTCTCATTGTAAGTTGCTTGTAAAGCCACTGTTGAGATACTGACTGTTCCTTTGAAGTATGCTCGAACAGTTGGATGTTGAGTAATAAAGGTCACACCGGTACGATTTTCATATGCTTTTGAGAGATCGCGGAGAATATTTGGTGAGTAGTATTCTTGCATGTTTTCTTCTAACATGATGTTCTTTGGATCACATTGAGAAGCTAGAAAACAACGAAATGATAGAACGAAATTCTACTCGTAAAGTTCCTCACCGCTCTTGGTTGTTGTTCCATCAGCTTCAATTTGAGCTTTAGTTGCAACTCTAAGAGGATTACAACCATCAATATAGAGTCGAACGTTCTTCGGTGGTGATCCGTCAGCTGTTTTAGCGATATCGAATTGAATTGTATATGATCGTTGTTTGTTGTCGGCATCAGCCTGAATCAATGTTCCAGCTTGACCGGGATATTCAGGATAATCAGGAGATTGATCAAGTGTAGCAACGAAGTCGTTGACATTGGTTCCGCCTGCTCCTGGAAGGATTCCCATACGATCAACAGTTAATGGAACACTGAATTCCACGAGAATTGAATATGAATTTGCTTTTGTTGGAAATGTGTAACCGGTTGTCACACCATCTTTGAACAAGTCTCGGTCGACAGCAACATTGTTGGCTTTGACTGCACGAATGTAATCGCTTGGTTTGGTAAGAAGATTGAGTGGATCGGAGCAAGCGTCTAAACAAGGATATATTTAGCAGAAAGAATTCAGTATTTGATCTTACGGCCAGCAGTAGTTTTTGTTCCTGATTTTATTGTTACTCCTGTTTGACCAATAATGTAAGTTGCACTGGATGAAAAACAACCGACGACAGCAAATCGAAAGTGTCGTGGTGCCGCATCATCTGTTGTATTACAGAGACGTACGCTAACGGCCTTAACGCCTTCGTACCAGCCTTCGATTATTGGATCGTCTTTGGACGAAACTAGCTCAGGTACAAGTGTACCATTTGAATAAGTTAATTGTGTTAAATTGTAGTTGTATAAAGTCACACAGATTTGTCGAACATTGCTGATGGTTTTAAGATCGGTAACACCTGTTTTGTTATCAACTTCAGCGTACATTTTTGTAACAAAAATATCATTGGGAACAAATTTGATCAGCACTTTTGGATCTGCTTTCTTAAATGTCAAACCTTTTGTGCCGATATAGATGTTGGTGAAATCGGAGATAATATCTTTGGATGTTATCGAATGAACATTATAACGTTGAAGGATGTTCTTTTCATCGCATTGTGCTAAATCGATCAATCAGATTAGATACTTCAATTCAAAATCGGGAAAAAACTTACGCCGATTAGCGATTTTTGTAACTAAATCAAATAGAAGAGATTTGATAATGAGAAAAGATTGTTTTGGTGGTCTATTTACCTGAGGCTTGTGTTGTATCAGCTTCAATCTGAGCTTTAGTTCTTAATAATTCTTCCTTGAAACAACCATTGAGAACAAGTTTAAGGTTGCGTGGTGGTTGACCATCGAGTGTTGCCTTGTCCGTTGTAATCTCAATTCGTTGAATGTCTTCCATGTTAACAGGAATAATTTCTCCAACATAGTTGCCAATAACTGTTGTCTCTCCATCGAAACTATCGTATAATGTGTATCGAATGGGTCCTACTACATTTGGTGAGTTGATTAAACCGATACTTGTAACAGCATCAATTGTTTTGGTATCGATGGTCCACGTTTGAACTTTAGTACCAGATTTGGCTGTCAAACCAGCCGATGTCGGTGACAATGCTGCATAATCTGTTGATTTTTGTCCATTGAGTACCATAGCGATGATTTTGTTCGTTGGAATTGCCATCAAATCAGTTGAATTTGGGCATGATTTTACTGAAAAGGTAAATCTCAAACATGTTTTTCTTTTCAATTCCACTTACGTGTAGCAGCTGTTCTTGTAGTACGTGAAGCTGGGATGATATATGTAGCCAATTTGACTAGAAAAATAAACAATAAATAATTTGATGAAGAAAAGAAGATATCATACCTCCGGAATAACATCCAAGCACTCGAAGACGAAGTCGTTGAACGGCAGCATTGTTATCGGTTTTCAAAACTTTGATCAACATGCCCCGGATGTCTTGAAAATCTCCCAAAATAGTTGGATCATCTTGTGGTGATGTCCATGTCACTGGTTCACCAGTAACTTGATCAACGATGAGTGTATCATTTGAATCGTAGAATTGCGCTTGAATCTGTCGAACATTGCCAGGATATATTGGATGATCACGTTGAACTTGAATTTTCGATGCATAAACTTGTTGATATTCATTGAATTTGACCAAAACTTCCGGGTTTTTCAATCGGCAATTTTCACCATTGAGATTTTCATAGCCCTGTGCCATGGCCGACAAACATTGAATCGATTGAAATTGATATTTCTTCACGTTGTCTCGCGTTAAAATATTACTCTCATGGCACAATGCTAAGCAAAAAGCAAATTCGACTATCGCTCAAGTCGTTTTCATTCTGAACTTACATCTTCGTCCACCTTCTCCATCGCAAATTCGGACAAAAACTTTCAATGTCACATTCAACGCTACAGGTGTGGAATCTGTTTGTAAGATTTCCACTCGAATACCGTTGAATGGGATGCTTGGACATAATTTATCCAAAGAATTGTTTTCTCGTCCGTACTCACTGACATAATTGATTCCCCAATTTTGGAATGAGGGATTTTTTATGGTTTGATTGTTTTCATCGAGATACGATAGACGGATTTGTTTCACATTGCTGCGTGGTGTGACGATTTGAACGAGTCCCATGTGAATTGCCTTTTTGAAATAAACGCGAATGTTTCGAGAAGTGGACGATGGATTAAATTGAAAACCAGTTTTGTTATTGCGAATAATCATTTCACGCAATGTGCCCAGCTGTTCACTTGCTTCACTGACTTCAATTCGTTGTAAATACGTGGGATCTTGCATAATGTCATAAATAGGCGTGCAATTGCATGCTAAAAACATTGACACATTGATTAATACAACTCAGTCACAAGCCTAAACTTACGCAATGTCGTTTCGCATGCTGAGAGATAGATTTGGAAGTCTTGTTTGGACGTGGAAATGGGAATACTCTCCATTTTAATGACGATATCAGTCACTCGCGATAAACATCGACTAATAACACCGTTCGTCGATTGAACAGGTCCGGTTGATGTTGTACTGGTGCCCGATGCTGTTCTCGTTGTGATATCAGCAGTAAATTCACCGGTTAAACCACTAATTCGAATGGCTGAAAGGTCGACTGGGCCTCTGCTGAATGTAAATGTCAACGTTGGTGTTGTTGTGGTGCTTCGAATTAGGGATAATGTGTAAGGTGATGCAAAAAGATTCGAGAGAATTAATTGATCATTGGGAATATTTGTTGTTAAACGAAAGTATTCCGATCGTGCGAGAAGATTCAATGTTTGATCGCATTGACATGCTAAAAAGAGAAGAAAAGTGTTCGAGAAACTGTTCATCGTCTAGCTCGACTTCGAATTACCGTTCGAATTGATTGAAGTTAAAGAAACTTGCGCACTGAAGAGTTTCGAAAACGAATGAAATGAGATTTCGAAATTGAAGTTCACTTACTCGATTTGAGGAATTGAAAGAATTAAAACGGAAAGAAGAATAAACAAAGAATATGGAGAAGAAAATGTCGATACTGTACGTTTGGAAAGCGTACAATCAACAGCGGCGATCATTTCGAGACAAATTTTTCGTTTAGTCTGTCTCACTTGATCAAATAAAATCAAAGAATGAATAAAAATGATTCGTGACACTTTTTTTTATATAATCACTGATCGGTCGACGCGATTGTTCTTCTATCTTCTAAATGTTTTCCAAGAAAAGGCACGGGCCGTCTTAATGGCCTATTAACAACGCTCTTTTGTTCTTCGATGTTCGTTTTTTCTCATTAGAACGAAAATGAAAACTTCTGGTGCCCATATTCATACCAAGAAAAAAACATCAAAGCATATTAGATGAATGAAGTAACTACTCGAAGAAAAGAAGATTCTTTCATAAAGAATATCAATTGCACTTTTCGATAATGATCTTATTTTCTTCTTTATCGACTGCCCACACAAAAATATGTGATCAAGTTATATAATCGATTTCGAAATTTCGAGCGAGAAACGAAACAATTGACAAAATAGTGTATTTCTCGAGAATGCGATTCAATGCAGATTTATCGAGTCGATATGCAAAAAAATGACGGAGTTGTCGGAATATTTCACTTGGGTGCTGAGAAGATGAGAATTATTCACCATGGAAGTTTTTCAACGTCAGCTGGTATCTCAAATCGACAATATCTTCGATCAATGAAAATTTTTGAAGATGATTCTTTCATAGACAAAGAACACAATTATTTTTGCCACTTTTTACTTCTATTCACTAGCGACAGATGGAAATAATATCATTCCATCGTTATATCAGATATAAATCCTTTTTCAGTCGATTACATATCTTCCTCACTTTTTGCAGTTCATTCAGTGTAATTAATAATGTATTTAGCGGAATATTCGAAAAAATATATATGTATAAGAAATAGTGTTCGAGTCGAATTTTACGAAGTTGAATAGTAGAAATGAGGTTCCACATAAGTTTTTTCTAATTTATCAAATTCAGGAATTCCGTGTACCAATGAGCGAAAACCCTAAAAATTTCTCATAGAAATCAAGTGGTTTTCTTCCTGGAGAAAAAAACAAACAAACCTTGTGTGACATCCATTGTTGTTTATTTTGTTGTCGTAAGGATAATTGTTCGAGTTTTCGTGGTTCTTCAAACGGTTCTTCGCCGTGTAACATACGAGGATAAGGTTTTTCACGAAAAAGACCTGCTCTAAAACTGAAAAAATACAGAAAAAAGGTTCGGTGATTTATTTTTTTCTGTGAAGTGTTCGTTTCATACGTGTCATCGTGAACTCGGTCAGCCCATTCTTGAAGTTTGATTTCTTCGCGCATTTTTTCCGAAGCGAAATAATCGGTTTCGCATCGTAATGAAGGTTTTAGTGGACGATAGCGCTGATAACGAACATCTTCCGATGGACGAAAAGGGCCCTAAACGAGTCTCAAATCGAGCAACAAATGAACTTGAACAACTTTCCTACCTGTGGTTTTGGTTTCAATGGCGGTAAGAATCTCGATAGTTCGGCTATTTCGTCTTCTTTCGTAGTCTTCATTGATTTTGTCGGTGATGTAGTTTGGAATTTCGTTGATCGTAAGATAATTTCCATTTCCTTTGGTGCGCTAAACACAGATTTCTATAAATAAAAGAATTCGATTTGATTTTAAAGGCTTTACTCTAAGTATTTCGAATTATAAATTCCAGGTGCAACTTTCGTGCTGACTAAATAATGTGTTCGTCTCGCTTCATCTTCTAATTTCGACAAATTTGCTTGTCTTTGTTGTTCAAGTTCCTTTTGTTCTAAATATTCTCGGTATTCAATCATTTGAATGCTGAAATAAAAAGAAAAACGAGTTTTGATTTCGAAAGACTTTCATCAATACCGAATTTGTTCGTTTTTAACTTCAAGCCCAGCAAGGTATCGCTTTCGACTATAATAATCCAGAACATATTTACGAACGTAATATCCTCGCCAGATTTTTTGAATCTGAAAAGATAAGAAAACCTTGCCTCGGAAAGCAGAGAACGTTTGCGTCATACTTTCACTGCTTTATCATCGTAATATTTCAATCGAAGTTGAAGAACATGAGTCTAAAACAGATTTTCATCGAAGTCATTTTGTAATTCAGTGTTGTACTTTGAGTTTCTTGCGAAAAAGCTGTCTCGCTTTATAACTTCGCCACCATCGTTGAATGATCACGGCACATCGATGTAAAAACCTAAAAATAATGGTATATCGTATTCGGACTGGCTTTGGAAGGACGAACTTGAGATGAGCTCGAACGCGAAAGCCTCGCCATGTTGATTGAATAATTATAGAAGATTCATGTTCATATTCGCGAGCAATTTCAGCTTCTCTACAAAGATTTTCATAAGAAAATGAATTATTCAGCAGTGATTTCATTTACTTAGCTAAATGTTCGAGTTCTTCAAGAATTTTTTCTGAATTCCGACGTAGTTCCAAAAAACCTGCCATTCGAATCGATACTGTAAAACGATTTTATCAACAAAAACTCAAAAGAAAAGAAACCTTTTAACACTCCGTTGTCAAGTTATTAACGTGAAAAATGAACTGTACGCATTGATTTCCATTATAGATGTCGCATCACTCCATTCTTCGTTCTCATTTCTTCCCATTGGTTTTCTCGCAAATACATTTATAAGTTTACTCGATAATACCACTCTCAGAGTATTTTTACGACTTGTACATTATCTTTCACATCCACCTTTAAATATGTCTCGCAGACGAACATCGTCCGTCTCCGCATTTTTCCACTCCCTTGTGCTCGATACCAAAGTTTCATCAACATCACCTGGCATTTTCTATATTCAGTGTGATACACCTCTTCACTTTACACTATCATCGGCGTTAATTCCATACGATGTACAACTTTTCTGTGATTACCATTCAACGAATTATCAACGCGGTGTCTATCACCAATTAAAATGGTCGTCGAAGGATGACGATCGATTCGCTCAACTATTTTGTACACGTTCTGGTCCAATCCATTATTATTTTACAGCCAAAGATAAAAAAGGCGAAGGTTATATCATCGTCGAACCACGTCTTTCGAATTTAACAAGCGGAGACGTCGAAGAAATCACTTGTTTAACCGTTTTATCGAAATCTTTAGGCAAAATGGAAAGTTGGGAATCGCGTTTAGCAATCGCTCATCATAGTAATTATAACATGATACATTTCACGCCAATTCAACAATTGTATAAAGTTTCGAATTCGTCCTATTCGATAACACATCATCATCAACTGAACCCAGTGTTTGGCAAAGATAAAACGCATGATGATTTAAAGAAAATCATCGATCGAATGGCAAATGAATGGAATATTTTATCGATTACTGATCTGGTTTATAACCACGCCGCAAACGATTGTGCCATTTTGGAAAATCATCCCGAAGCTTCGTATAATTTAATCAATTCTCCTCATTTAAAACCCGCATTTTTACTTGACGCCATTCTAATGCAATTTACGTGTGATGTCGACGCCGGAAAAATCGAAGGAATTCCTGCAACGATTTCCAAAGAACATTTACCAATAATCCAAGATTATCTTCTGAATAAAGTCTTCCCGGGTTATGCATTTCACGAATTTTATATGATTGACGTTAGAAAAACGATTGAAGAATTCAGTCGGTTCATTGAAAATACATCGCCAAGCAACTCTTCGCACATTTATGAAGATGAATACGCATTCCGAATTGATTACGGTTCTTACTCGCGTAACGCCGCTCGAATTAACTATGAGAAAGCTCGAGAGATCTTCTATTGTGCTAATAGGACAGCAAGTCAAGCTTGTCAACTATTAGCAGATCGTCTAAAGTATTTAAATCATTCGAAATATTCGCAAGTTCAGTCGGATCTTCGTGATGCGATAACTAATTGTATCAAAGGATGCGAATATCACTTTTTCGATCAGTACGGTCCGAATTTTAAATCGATTTCGCTGAGAACACCCTTCGCTGGAAATTATTTCGCGTATCCGAAAGAGAAAATCTTTCAAACGACTCCTGAAGAAGTCGAACAAGCTTATCGAGAGAATAACAAAGCATTTCTCGAACGTGTTATGGCACATAACGGTTGGGTATGGAATGATAATCCATTGAGAAATTTTGCAGAAGATACACAAGGACCAAATGTTTATTTTCGACGAGAATTGAATCAATGGTCTGATATTGTTAAGTTAAACTTCGGAAGTTGTGAAGAAGATTCACCGCATCTTTGGGCGTATATGAAAGAATACACAAGATTAGTAGCAACGACATTCCATGGCGCTAGGTTAGATAATTGTCATTCAACACCATTACATGTTGCTCAAGTGAGTGAATTTTGATAGTCGAGAAGAAAAACGAAAAATTGTGTTTCAATGCTGTTTTAGTATTTAATGGATTATGCACGAGAATTAAACCCGAAATTTTATATTTTGGGAGAATTATTTACAAGCAGCGAGACATTGGACAACCTTTTTATCAATAAACTCGGTATCAATGCGCTCGTGCGTGGTAAGGACCAAAGAACACTCAACGTCTATATGTGCTTACCTATCTCCATTAGGCACAAGTCTAGAAAAATATGTCAGCAGTAAAATAACACTACTTTGCTATCGATAATCGTATTAAGATTATTTTATTATATATAAATATCGTTCTTTTTCTTTTGATTAGAATCGTTAAATGCTCGACTACCCTGTGATTTGGGTCATATGATATGCGGACATGGTCGATTATCAATCGGATCCTTATTCCGTTTGCAGACAGTACTGAAACCACGTCGAGCACAAGCATTTTTCTATGATCAAACTCATGACAATCCTTGTCCGATCGAACGGCGTTCATTAGCAGATGTCCTACCTCGTTCAGCTTATGTTGCAATGTCTTGTACACCAACTGGGTCCAATCGTGGTTATGACGAGCTCGTTCCACATCATATCGATGTTGTTCACGAGCGCCGAACTTATGAAAAATGGACCAATGACAAAGACAAAAGTCTTGTTCATGCAAAATCGATTTTCAATCATCTTCACGTTCGCCTAGTAACGGAAGGTTATACAAGAATGATTGCCGATCAGTTATCTCCGAACACTTTGATGATTACACGACAGCATCCGATAACGAATTCCACAATCATTTTGATTGGTTATACCGATACGATAAAATCTGATGAAGAAGAAAAGATCGAACCACTGATGATTCAAGGCACAATCGAAGAGATTCTATTCGAAATGAATTTATCCTGGTTGAATAATGAGAACAAATTGGATTCGTTCCAACGCGATATTGATCACATCAATGGTTTACGTGAAAAAGATTTGAATGTTTATATAAACGAACATCTCGAGAAAGATCAATCAAATTTTGTGAATATCAGTCAAGAAAATGAGGCAAAGATGACAAAAGTGATATTTAATAAAGAAAAGTTCATTCCCGGATCGGTGATTGCTTTTCAAATCAATCTTTTGTCACATGCGAAACAAGCATCGAATGAATTACGAAAAGAAATCTTCGAGAACGATTTAGCAACGTTTCGTTCACTGATTTCCAGATTTTCGCTTGTCGATTTAAATTTTCTTCTCTATCGTTGCAAAAACGAAGAGAACAACGAACTGTATCTGATACCAGACTACGGTTCACCTGTTTACGCTGGTTTACAAGGCATCGAATCGTTATTAATTCAAATGCGAGCATTATCAACTGAACAAATGCTCAAACATCCGTTATGTCTTCATTTGAAAAAAGGAAACTGGTTAATGTTGTACATAAGTCAACGCTTAATTGCAAATCAACGAACATTATTTCTCGGTCAATGGTACGAAAAACATTTTCAATATATTGATCAACTGCCTAGATATTTAATTCCTGTTTATTTCGATCTATTAATCCATCGAACGTATAATATTTGTATTGATCGAGCAATAGATTTGATGTCGACGTCATTTGTTCAACAAGGTTCGTCGTTTGTGAAAAATTTAGCCATGACAAGTGTACAAATGATGGGAATCGTTCCCAATGCACGTTTACCGAACTATGAAGACAATCAAAAAGATAATCAATATCCATCCTTGGCAGCTGGTTTACCTAATTTTTCGTAAGTTTCCTTCGGAAATTCTCATCCAATTTCTATTCTTCAATTTTAGCGAAGGTATTTGGCGTAACTGGGGTCGAGACACATTCATCGCCCTCCGTGGTCTTCTTCTTCTAACGGGTCGATTTGATGAAGCTCGTTACTTGTTACTCACGTATGGTTCGTGTCTCCGCCATGGTCTTATACCGAATCTTCTTGCCGGCCCGCGTTACAATGCTCGAGATGCTGTTTGGTTTTGGTTATATTCTTTGTCGGAATATACAAAATTAGCGCCGAATGGTTGTGAGATTTTAGCGGAAAATATCCAGGGCAAAGCGTTACATTCAATAGTCAAAACGGCAATCAATACTCATTTGAATGGATTGAGCTTTCGAGAATATAATGCAGGATATCAATTAGATCGCGTCATGTCAGATGAAGGTTTTAACAATAGGATTGGTATTGATAGCAGAACAGGATTTGTTTATGGTGGAAATCGTTGGAATTGTGGAACTTGGATGGATAAAATGGGTTCATCTGAACTAGCGGGAAATAAAGGTCATCCAGGATCACCGAGAGATGGAAGTGCGATTGAATTAGTTGGATTGTCGCGTGCTACCATTCAATGGTTAATTGAAATGATTGATCAAAACGCTTATCCATACAAAGATCAACGAGCGAATCTGGAAGATTGGTTGAGAAAAATCGATGGAAATTTTGAAAAAGAATTTTGGATTGATCAAACCGATCATTCAAACAATTTTATCAATCGACGGAATATTTACAAAGACACAATTAATTCGTCACTTCAATACACCGATTTTCAATTCCGACCAAATTTTCTCATTGCCGCTGTTGTTGTAAGAGTCCATCTTTTTTCGACAAAAAAAATTAAATTTTTCATTAATTTCCATTCTAGGCACCTGAAATGTTCAACAAAGATCACATTTGGTTGGCTTTATCTCAAGTGGAATCCTTGTTACTCGGTCCATTAGGCATCAAAACTCTCGATCCATCTGATGAACAATATGTTGGTGATTATGACAACAAGGATGAATCTACAGACTTTAAACGTGCTCACGGCTATAACTACCATAATGGTCCGGAATGGGTTTGGCTAACCGGTTATTATTTACGAGCGAAATTGCTTTGGTCGCCGAAGGAGAAACGTGCGAAGACGCTTGAACATGTTCGAGAAGTTCTTGGAAGACATCGTGAAGCATTGTTTACGAGTGATTGGAAGTCTTTACCCGAGTTAACATCAGCGAATGGACGATTTTGTCGAGATTCATGTCCAGCACAAGCCTGGTCATGTGCAACAATTTTAGAGGCTATTTATGATGTGCAACAATATAATTTAGATTAGTCTTTCGCTTTTTTGCCTTTCAATTCTTTTCTTCTCAATCAAGCATCTGTTTTGTGATAATAAACCAGCATTTTTTGGGGAATTTGAGTGTATTTTCGAGTGATTTTCAGTTTTAGATTAGACAAAAGAAATGGTCGCTTCGAACATTGCACGCAAAGGAATGGGTCGAATTCTAGATGGAATTATTAAATATCGTCAAACATTACGACCTGCACTTTTAGAAGAATTTCAAAAAGTCGCTACAGGTCCATCGGTATGAAATTCTTTCTTTCGACCTACAAGTCTCATTTCATCATTTAGCCTGAAGGTCTTCTCTTAACTTGCGTGGATAGTCGAGTTGTTGCCTCGCGTATCACTCAAGCTGTGCCCGGTCAATTGTTTATCGTTCGAAATCCGGGTACTGTACGTTTTTTCTGATCATTTTCACACCAATCCATGTTCGATTTCCTTCTTCAGGCAATTTAGTTCCACATCACAATTGTTTTCGCAATAATGTCACTGTCGGTGGAGAATGTGGAGCGCTTGAACTGGCTTGTTCAATAAATAAAGTTCAAGTTATTGTAGTCATTGGTCATTCAGATTGCAAAGCAATGAATTTACTTTATTCAATTCGCAACGAATTGAAATCTCCATCGAAAGGACCGTTGGAAGATTGGCTGAGATTTCATGGCCGAGGAACACTTGAACAGTTCAAGAAACTCGAATCATCGAGTGGCTTCGATCGGAAATTGGTCTTCGCTGGTGCGCAACACTCAGAAGATGATTTTGAAGCGTATATTGACCCGAGAAACGAATTTAAGCCATCGGACAAATTTTCTCAAGTAAATTTTCGTTCAATTCTAACACGAACATCTGATTTTTCTCGCTTTAGATCAATACGTTAGAGCAATTAAAGAATTTTCTAACGTACCCCTTTCTGAAAGAACGATTAAACCGAAATGAACTTGAAGTACATGCACTTTGGACGGACATTTACAAAGGCGAAGTCTACATGTTTTCGTTTCAAGAAAAGACTTTCGTTAAAATTGATGAATCCACCTATAAAACTCTCGCATTGCAATGCGTCTAAGTCGTTTTTATGCAATATATTCTATACCAGTGTTCGTGTGTTCTTTTGCTCAAATAAAAGAATCGGAGAAGAATACTTGAAGAAAGAAAATCGAGGAAAACGTTTGTTCTGATTGGTTCGTTGGATCGATTTACATTTTATCGATTCATCTTTACGCCTTTTGAAAATGTGTCTTTTCTTATCGTAAATAGATGTGGCAAAGATTTGTACGTTTATTTCTTACCACACGTTTTACAAAACAGGTAAATAAAAACTGAGTGACCTTCTGATTAAGATTATAAATCCTTAACTAAGAACTGCACAACTCTTACCAAAGGTTATTCAGTCCGTTTGTGAAGACTGTTGAAAACTATCCGACTTTTCTTTAGCCGTTTCGATCACTTTGTCCAATGCGAATCTTCTCCTTAACACAAACGAAATATTTTATTATATTTCTCTTTGTCGTGACCTTTGCTTTTGCATCAAATGTGAAATTAACATCGAAACGTCAGGTATTCGCACCAACACAACGTATTGATTGTTATCCGGATTCGGAATCTCCCTATTCGAATTACTCCAAAATATCATGTCTAGCACGAAACTGTCTCTTTGATGATCTCGCCAATGTATCAACAATTCAATGTTATCTACCAAACAACTATGGATATGTTCTACAATCCTTCAACAATCGAACAAATGGAATTCAGTTCAAATTAAAGCGAAATGAAGCGATTGGGAGTATGTTTCCTGATCCGATTGAAAATGTTACTTTAGAAATTCAATACTATACGAATGATATCGTTCGATTTAAGTTTTATGACTCTGATCAGCAAAGATATGAGGTAGGAGATAAAGAAGCGAGTGAAAATGGAAATGACGTGATCGAATGATGAATTTTAGGTTCCAATTCCATTAACACCACCAGCTGATCGAATTGATTTGCCAAAATATGAATTCGACTACACATCGGATACCAGTCATGATCAAATGTTTTCGTTTCAGATCAAACGTCAAAGTGATAAATCGATTTTATTTGATACATCACTTGGCGGTTTGGTTTTGAATAACCAATTTCTTCAGATCGTCACTCGACTCCAATCATCACATGTTTATGGGTTTGGTGAAAATAATCACGACACACTCAAACATGATGTTTCTGCTCGGCCATCGTGGGGAATCTTTGCACGAGATCAAGGTAATCACCTATTGAAGCGAATCAACGTCGCGAAATGTTTCTCTTAGGAACGAGTTGGGATACGAATTCTAATCATTATGGTCATCATCCGTTTTATCTTGTCATGGAAGAGAATTCTTCGAAACAAGCTTCAGGATCGATGCATGGAGTGCTCTTACTGAATTCTAATGCAATGGATTATTCATTTGATTCGACTCCATCGTTAACAATGCGTACAATTGGTGGAGTTCTGGACTTTTTTGTTTTTCTAGGTCCTAAACCTGAACAAGTCGTTCAACAATATACATGGCTGATTGGACGAACATTTCTTCCGCCATATTGGTCACTCGGCTTTCAATTATCACGTTGGGATTACTCAAATCTAACGCATATGAAAATGGTCAATCAGAGAAACCGTGATGCTGGAATTCCACTCGATGTTCAGTATGCTGATATTGATTATATGGATTCAGCACAAGTATTTACCATTGATGCGAAACGTTATCGAGGTCTCAAAGAATACTTCGGAGATTTGAACAAAAATGGGGTTCGAACGATTATTATTTTGGATCCCGGAATGTTCGATGACCAGAAATCTTATCAGCCGACGATCGATGGGATTAAACAAGATGTTTTTATGAAATGGGAAAATGGAAGTTTGATGAGAGGAGCAGTTTGGCCGGGACCAGTTTTCTTTCCAGGTGAATTTTTTCAAAGAAAATGTTTCTAGAAATAAGAAATTTGTATTTGTAGATTATTTTACCAATAGAACCCAACGTTGGTGGGAAAAATGGATAACCGAGTTTCGGTCAGCGAGTCTTTCGTTCGATGGCCTTTGGATTGATATGAATGAACCTGGTGAGATAATTCATTGAATCTTCGTGAAATTTTCATTTCTTCTAAAGCTTTATTTGAAACAAACGATCCCGCTCCATGGAATTGGCTTGAAACTGGTAGTAATTACACATTGAAGTGCCCTTCGAATCAATGGGAGGATCCACCATATCGCACGAAATCGGTTTACCGTTGGGATAAAAAAATCAATCGAAGTAGTCGTTTGTCCGATCGAACAGCATGTATGTCTGTTCCACAGGGTGAAATTAATCCTGCCACAGGAAAGGCAATGTACCGTCATTATGATGTTCATAGGTAAAACTTCCTCTTTTTCGTTTGGTAATTTAATGATTTTGTTCAGTCTTTATGGTTGGAGTCAAACGAAACCAACGTTGGATGTTCTTCAAAAGATTCTCGGAAAACGAAGTCTTGTTTTGCCTCGCTCGACATTTGTGGGCTCGGGCCAATGGGGTGGCCATTGGTTGGGTGATAATGAAGCCTCATGGCATGATTTGAAACGATCGATTATCGGAATGATTGAATTTAATTGGTTTGGTATTCCGTATAATGGAGCAGACATTTGTGGATTTGATAAAACACCAACAGAAGAAATGTGCATTCGGTAAATGGATTTTTATGTAAAAAAAAGTGACTTATACTGTACTTTAGTTGGATGCAAGTCGGAGCATTCTATCCGTTTTCACGAAATGTATGTTACTTACTCATTCCTCGTTGAATATCGTTGATCTCTCATTAATTAATTTAGCATAATATTTGGAAAACTCCCGATCAAGATCCAGCTGCTTGGTCTTCCTCAGCCGTTTCTATCATGATCGAAGCCCTTCGCATCCGTTATAGTTTGCTTCCATACTACTACACTTTATTTTACAAATCTCATCTGTACGGTTCTACAGTAATTCGTCCGTTATTCCACGAATACCCAACCGATTCAAAAACCTTCGATATTTTCCTTCAATTCCTCGTTGGACCAAATCTTATGATAATTCCCGTAACCGATTCGGACAGTCGACAAGTCGAAGGGTATATCCCATCCTCTGAATGGTTTGATTATTATACTGGTCATCAGTACCTTTATGCGAAACAGTGGATCAACATATCGGCACCATTAGAAATCATTCCGATTTTACTACGAAGTGGAGCGATTATCCCGACGCAACAATATGCTAATAATACAAAACAATCTCGGTAAATGAAGAAATTTTCGTAATTTTTGAAAAAATTTTGTTAATAGACTGAATCCATTCGGTTTAACAATCGTTGTTAATTCAAATGGAAATGCTCACGGCGATTTATTCTACGACGATGGAGAATCGATTGATACGATAAAAAATCGATCATTTTATTATTCAACATTTCAATGGTCATCAGCGAAGAAACAATTAACAATGAATATTCTGGAAAATAATTATCTTTCAATGTCAAATTTAGTCTTAGATACCATCACAATCTATGGATTGCAACACATCCCATCGATTATCAATGTAAATGAGAAACAATTCATTGCGAAAGTTCGACCATTTACACAAATTGTTGATATCGTTGGTTTAAACTTACCAATGACAAAAAATTATACCTTTACATGGTCAAATATAACAGTAATGAACATCGAATTACCCGAGTCTATGATAAAAACGACCAAATATCGCGTCGATTGTTTTCCTGATCCTGATGTAACTAGTAACGCATGTTTTGCTCGCGGATGTTTATATGATTCAAAAACACAATTCAACACTCCATCTTGTTACGTTCCTATCGAAAAGGGCGGCTACACAAGTTCAACGGTTACAAATATTTCAAATTCAACAACACAATACCGATTGACACGTGTTGCGAAAAAACCAGTGCTGATTCCGCATGCGAGTGCAAATGTAAATTATCGTCGAGATCCTCGAAAACCTCCATCGAATCTGAAAGAGATTGTAACAACTGATCCGAATGAATTTTCCATGTACGGTCATGATATTGATCATCTGAATATGGAAGTGGGTGTATCAGGAACGGATATGATACGTTTGACAATTCGTGATGCTGAGAAAGATCGATATGAAGTTCCTGTTCCAATTCAATGGCAACCGATGGCTTTACCAGCGAAAATCAAACCAAAAATTCAATTCGAATTGGTAAAAACATCATTTGGTCAAGCAGGTTTTCGTATTAAACGGACGGACACGCATACAATTCTATTTGATACTTCACTTTTTGCTCATGGATTAGTTTACGATAATCAATTTATTCAACTTATCACAACAGTTCCTTCGAGAAATGTTTACGGTAAAAAATCTTTTCATGTTCATTATTCATCGAATTTTCTTTTTGAAAAGGTTTTGGTGAGAATACTCATCCGACATTTCGTCATATTCTACGAAATTCATCTCGTTATGGAATGTTCGCTCGCGATCAACCACCTTTCGGACAAAATGAAAATCTTTACGGTACACATCCGTTTTATATGTCGATTGAACGCAACGGACAAGCTTTTGGAGTGTTTATACTAAATTCTAATGCACAAGATTACAAAATTGATGAATTTGAATATGATCAATCGAAAATAACCTATCGAACGATTGGAGGGATCCTAGATTTATTCTTTTTCGCTGGTCCAAGGCCAGAAGATGTCATACGACAGTATCAATTAGTGATTGGAAATCCATTTATGCCACCTTATTGGGCATTAGGATTCCAACTGTGTCGATATGGTTACGATACACTTGAGAACATGAAAGCAGCCATGCAAAGAACTTTAAATGCAAAAATTCCAATCGATGTTCAGTAAGAAAAGAAACGAAAGAAGACTTTTTTGTTTGATTATCGATATTTAGATACGGTGATATCGATTATTTTCATCAACAACTTGATTTTACTTGGGATCAGATACGTTTTAAAGGTTTACCGGAGTATATTGATTGGTTGCATCGACAAGGAATGAGATTTATAACAATTCTCGATCCAGCTATTGATTCTGAAGAATCGAATTATACAGTTTTCAGTGAAGGAGAGAAGCAAAATATTTGGATTAAATGGCCCGAACGAAGAAACGTTCAATTTAATGAAACGAAAAATCGAAATATGCTTGGATATGTTTGGCCATATGGTTTGTATTCAATATAATTCTGATGACAAAGCCACATACGTTTCTGTTTTAGGTAAATCTGTCTTTCCTGATTACTTCTATCCATCCACGAAAATCTGGTGGAAAAATCAAATATTAAATTATCATAAAAAGATTCAATTCGATGGACTTTGGATCGATATGAAGTAAATTTAATTTTTCTTTTACACCAAATATCAACCGTTGTTTTAGTGAGCCTGCAAATTTTGATACGAACAAATTACAACCATGGAATTGGCCACACCCAGATCCGTGGAATCTTCATTGTCCAATCGATGAATCATTGGAAAATCCTCGATACAAAACTGCAATTTATGGCGATTACCTATCGGACAAAACCCTCTGTATGATCGCCGAACAAACCGATGGTCAAGGAAAGATCTACAATCACTATGATGTTCATAATCTATACGGTTGGTCAGAGACTTTAGCAACATTACCAGCGGCTCAAGCCACGAGCAACAAACGATCAATTGTTATCAGTCGATCAACATATCCAACATCGGGTAGTTATGGTGGCCATTGGTTAGGTGATAACACATCCGGATGGCCACATTTGAAATATAATATCATTGGAATACTTGAATTTAATTTATTTGGTATTCCATATATTGGTGCAGATATTTGTGGATTTCTAGAAAATCGAACGGAACAAATGTGTCAACGATGGATGCAATTGGGCGCATTTAATCCGTTTTTTCGTAATCATAATGGTCTTCGTTTCGCTGATCAAGATCCCGGAAGTTTCTCTCCAGCTGTTATCAATTCGAATCGTCGTGCTGTTGAAACACGTTATCGGTTACTTCCATATTTATATACACTTTTCCATCGTGTTCACGTTTCCGGCGGAACAGTTGTTCGTTCTATGGCACATGAATTTCCAACTGATTCGATTTGTTGGTCACTCGATGAACAATTCCTTTGGGGTTCACATTTATTAATCGCTCCTGTGATTTATGAGAATCATACAATGAAAAATGTTTATTTACCATCCAGAAACGAACGATGGTTTAATTATTACACAGGTGAAGAACAGTTCACACTTGGAAACATCACCGTTGCAGCTGATTATGATTATCTACCTTTATTTTTACGTGGTGGAATCGTTCTACCTCGGCAGAATTCAGCGATGAACACCGTTAAGTCACGATTAACTCCAATGAACTTACTCATCGCACTCGATCAAGAACAAAAGGCGGAAGGAAGTTTATTTTGGGACGATGGAGAATCAATCGATACATACGAAAGACTGAAATACAATTATTATTATTTTAGTTTTCATATTCGAACATTAACTATTCTTCCGTGGACATTTAATTATAAAAAAATGATTGAAGAAACGAAATTCGATGAAATTACCATCTATGGATTAAGAAGTTCTCCAGCGAAGATCTTCTTGAATTCCAAAGGATTACCAAAGAGTAAATGGATCTATAATTCATCGTCAAAAGTTCTTCATATGAAAAACTTAGCTTTGAAGATCGGTTTAACACATCAATTTCATTTTAATATTTAAATCCGTTTGGTTTCATTGAGAAAAATCAATTCTCACGTTCTCGTATTCTTTATTCCTTTTGTTTGATTTTCCGACATAATAAATAAAACCTCGCTCTGAAAGTATTTCTGTTTCAGGTAGTGAAAAATTTATATCAGTACGTGATTTTGATCGAAACATTTTATGAATGACAACATCCAACATCGATAAAAATTCCATGACAAGACAAGATAAAAACAAACTAAAGTTAATTGCTTGAAAAATTCGAATTCATAATTGATGAACAATTTGATGAGAGTGGAACGTAAATGCGATAGAAAAAAGAAGGTAAATTTCGAATATATGGCCAAGGAAGATTCATTAAACATTCTCCAATACAATGATTTAATGTTCGAAGTTGAGAAACAAGAAAAGCGATATCATAGAATTCAAAGGACAAACCTCTAATACTATTCGATCGACGTGCTAAAATAAATAAACAACTCTTTTTTTATCAAAGAATTGATCGTGTATTTACCTTGAGCGTATTCCGAGAAAGCTTGAACACATTCGTATTGACATTTTGGCCAGAATTTTGTCTCTTCGTTCATCACATTGATGTCTAAATTGAAAGCAATTATTATTTTCTTGACAAAGAACAATTTTGTCTGACTTGTTCGAGTGATGATCATCAGTAGAAGAAGAGCAAATTCTTTTTCATCCAAATGTAAATCACGAATTTTTGTTTCGAATGATCGAAATGAATTTTCCGCTTCGGTTAATTGTGGAACATGTGCATTTAATTCTATGGACAATGTCGATTCTGCCTGCCAATAATTCCAGATCGGTTGAAGATCATTATACGAGGATTTTATTGATAAAATTCGTGGTAACAATGCGACCATAATCACAGAATGGATACACGATGATATAACATCATATTTCTCGTACATACTGTCAAAACCTAAGTAAGAAAGTTAAGAATAACGATTTATTCATGAAATAACGATGAATTTGTTACCTGGAATTGTCTTTTGACAGAAATTCATTACTGCTTGAGCATACATAATCATTTGAGAAGCCATTGTTCCCCAAACCGTTCCATGTGGAATACATTGAGGTAAATCCTACACACAAATCAAACAAAGCATTCTTTCTCGTGATCTCTTCTAAATTACAAAGCAGTACTTTACCTTTAAATGCATTATATAGGCATTGTGTACTTTTTCGATAAAAGATTTCGTTCCAGATGACAATTCGTTATCAATATCATTACTTGAAGTAATTACTATAACTGGAAACGATATAGAGCTGATCAAAGTCAAATTTTGAGAGAGTACTTCGTGATGGTTTGGACTTTGTCTTTCGTCGTTTTGCCATCGATGCAATTCGTGCTGAATCAGTTGCTGTTGCCATTGATGTCGAACCATTTTGTAATTGTCGAATACTATTCAGATTTACACTTTCAAATCATTTACTTTTCTTTGATAAATTTACCTTTCTTTGAAAAGATTCGATTGTCGACCAATACGAGAAGCTAAAATCATTCTGATATGAAAAGAAAAGAAGATGAACTTTACGTACCATCCATTGACATTCCAGCTTGAACACATTTCTTAAATCGACAAGCCCGGCAAGTGATTTTTGATGTTGCATGGATATCACAATTGTTATTTTCGGTGCAACGATATCTATCAGGAGCATTTTCTTTAATCGACCGACGAAAGAAACCCTATTAAAACTCAATTTAACCGAAATCTTTCTCTATTTTTCTTTTACTTTACAAGCTTCACACGTCACCGCACCAAAATGAATGCCCGATGCGGATCCACCGCAGACTAAACACGGTAATTTCCTGTACAAATCTTCAGTTTTTGGTCCCATCGACTCTATGAACCGAAGTCAAAATAGAAAGATCAAGAAGAAAATGAAATACCGTGAGGTTTCATTCCAACTGCTAAACATTTCTGAAATCGACAATATTGACATTGAGTTCTCGATCGTTTCGTGATTGCACAGGAAAAATCTCGTTGACATTTATACTTTTTATTTCCATCACCAGTCGAAATTGAACGAAGGAAAAATTTCTAAAAGAAAATCAACTTTTCATTTGCTGATTATTTGATTGTGAAAACTTACTTTGCATGCTTCACATGTTATTGCTCTAAAGATGAAAGAAACTCAATGAAAGATCAAGAAAAAACGAAGTTGAACTCACCCGCAATGCCAACCTGATGACAAATCACCACAGATTTGACAAAATTCATCTTCGCTCAGATTTTGTGGAATTAGATTAAGTGAACTACTCGTTGTCTCTCGATGTTTCATATTAGGCATCGACATTTGTTGATGTTGAGTGAATGAATGCGCATATTGGTAAGACTGTTCATTGAAATAATTCGTTGGATAATGAGAATTTCGAACTGTTGACATCGACATTAGAGAACGATCTGAACAAAATCAACTTTTTTGTAAAAAATTATTGGTATTTAATTGTATAAGAATTCGATGTATCAATAGCATTGATTACAAGACACGGAAGTTCTTTTTCATGTTTAGTCTGAATTAAAACTCGGCTGCAATTCTTTGAATAGAATTTCAGGACAAGGAATTTTGATAGAAAGTCGAAGTCAATGTTTGTTACAAATGGCTTTTTCCTATCTGAAATGGTAATCGAGTGAAGAAAAAGAGAGATTTCTTACAATGAAATTCTTCTTCTTTTTCGTCGAAGTTCGATTTTTCATCAAGTTCACCATGTGTAATCATCATTGAAGAAAAATGATTATTATTATCCAAAATCGCTGATGAAGATGTTGCTGGAATTGTATGCGTACTTTCTTCATTAAATTCTTGCAGATTTCGATTGAATTCAAACGATGATGACGATGCAGAAGGAAACATTGGTAGAAAATGATCGGATGTGTTCGAGGGAGAGTTTTCTCTTTCAAATGAAAATGTCTTGTGACTTATTCAAAGACGTTGGGACACTTTAATGAAAAGATATTTATTCAGAGCAGAAGGGAGACAGAGAGAAATCTTTTTTTTTCTTTGAACATTTTTTATTGGAAGGTGATTTGTTATTATTTCTATTGGTGTTTGAACTTGTTAGAAAAGTCAATAGAAAAGAGTAAATAGAGCAAATCGATTAAAGAAATATTTGTGTTAGCCAAGAAAGAGAAATGATACGCATTCAAGCTATTCATATCAATTTTCGAACATATTCAGAATCATTTGCGAATATTATTGATAATTAACAGAAAAATTCGATGTTCATCACAAAACTTATTAACAAACGAGAAGAAAAAAATTGATCTAACTCGTATAAGAAATGATAAACATGTGAAAGTAATCATTAACATTTCACTGCTGACGGTGATCATTGTCAATGTATCATACTTTCATTACAACTCCTCGTCTATTCAGACTAGATTCTTTCATTTTGCATTGATTTACGTTTTTCATAACCTCGACGTGATCACACGCGCAATTACACTACAATTGTCCGTTAGTTTTGTTTTGCGATTCTCGTTACATCGATCACAGCAATTTTAAAACGAGATAATGTTATACTGTGGTACATGTGGTGAATAAATGATACCTTTATGTTTGTTTTACCGAAACAATTCAATAAGAAACATGGTGATGGAATGAATTCTCTTATCTGTAACAAATAAATGTAAATTATTCTTCTATGATTATGCACAAAACTAACTAACGACCTTCGAAACTTGGACTACGAACGATTGAAAAGAAATTATTGGTTTTCCTTTATAAAATAATACGTAGATCAATCTGCAATCTATGTGAAAATGTTTAATCATGCTTTCATATTGCTTGGTCTTTGATAAATTAGTCTACACGTTTTCATAATTAGATATTCACATGCATTTCTAGTCGTTTTGCAAGCCTTAGACTTTCAATAAAAGAAACAACCGTTTTGCTCGGCATATTTCAGCTTTCGAATTCCTTCAACATGTGTTTGGCAAAGATAGAAATATGAATGCTAATACCAAACGTATATTCATTGGTAAACAAAAAACAATAACAATAAACAGTGATTAAAAATGGACTTTTTTCTTTTTTTTCGGTGGTTGCCTTATTTCTTCATCACTGTCATCATCATCATCATCATCGTCGTCGTCGTCATCGTCATCGCTGGAATTATCTGACGATTGATCTTCTTCTTTTTCTTCGCCAATATTTGCCTCAAAATCAGCAAAAAACTCATTTTTAACTTGTTTCGCTCCTTTCTTCTTCTTTTCATTCGAAATGATTTTCAACTGTTGCGCATCAATCAACTGCAGTGTTTCTGGTGATGTCGATGAGCCGATCAAATAATTCGTATCACACGATGCAGATAATGTTTGTATTGGCATTGTACACGTTCGACCAACAGTCGATAAAATTCGATGAGGATAAAGACTAAGAGTACTAAAACACAGAAACAGTCGAAAAAAACTATGAATGACAATCAACGTACCGCATTTTTCCATCTTCACATCCCGTAACAATAAGTGACTCATCGAGTGTTATCAAAGATTCAATTCCACTCGAATGGCAAGGAAATCGATCAGACATATTACCGAATTCTTTCCAATTAAAAAAATACAAAACACCTTCCATTGTACTACAAACAACTTTTTCTCCATCCTAAATTATCAAATCCAATTTCTCACCTTTTCATGTATTTTCAACAATTACTTTAACAATTCGACAAGCAGTTAAATCACTATCCATTAACTCCGATTGTAATTGCAATTTTTTCTTTCGAACATTATAAACAGTCAATGTTCCTTCACCACTTGTCGCTAATAAAGTTCGTCGATCACTTGCACATGTCAATGCGCTTATATAATCTTCACAATCATGAAATTCTGCTAAAGGTTTCTTTTGTCGATAATCCCATAACTATTCATTTGTTAAAACAGACAAATTTTCATTTGATTTCAACAAGATTTGATTACTTTCACATAGCCATCGTCATCACCAGTGGCTAAAACACAGTTATCAATAATACACAAACAATTGATCGGCAAACTAAATCATATGACTTTCAAGAGAACGCAATTTGAGAAGAATCAAAAATGTTTACTCATGTGCTCGAGTATATTTCGCTACCATTTTACCCGTTTCGGTTGATCGTAATTTAATAGATTTATCTTTTGATGCGGTGATAATTGATTGACCATCCGGTGTGAATCCGATCGCCCGAACTGATTTTTTATGAACTTTCATCGAACGTTCATTCGACATCGACTGTTCATTTTCGTCATCGTTTATTTTCATCCTATTTGAAAGAAAAATTTCAGCAAATGTTCAAAGAAATATCCATGTTTCAAACCAATGAAGATGTCCCGATATTGCACCTGCGACATAAACATTCGGAATCGTCGGATGGAACTGTGAACACATAATTTCTGATGGAAATTCAATTTCAGGTCCATCGTCGAATAACGATGTGGAAACCATGTCGGATGTGATATGAACAAGAATAATGATTTTCATCTCAATCATTTCTCGTCGATTTTTTAATGCAATGAAAACTCCACATAGATGTCGTTGTAGTCACATAAAATACCCCAGCGTTACGTTATTTCGTTGCTATTCATGTTTTATTTGAAAGATAAAATATCTCGATAAACGAACTTTTCAAGAAGAATTTATCTTAGAAAATATTCGCGATTGAATTCTACTATAGATAACAACAACAATAGTAACAAATAGAGACATGCTGGATTAAAACGTGCAGAATTAGAATAAAATGAGAATATGTTTCTATAGAGATAAATTATTCAGATTAATTTTTGCTTGTTGTACTTGAACTTGATGACTTTTCAACGGTCGTTGCAGTTGTTCCAACAACAACAGCAGCACCAGGAACGTGCGTTTCGCCTTGAGCCATAGCTTCAGTGCGAATCACGGTTGTTGATGTTGATGTTAATAATCGATTAGCATCTTCAGCTCCCAAACTGAAATTTCAGGAAATAGTTTCAATGAAAGAAACGTTTTTTGTCTTACGCAGCAACTTGTTGAGTAATTGCATCAACTTTTGCGTTTGCTTGTGCTTGTGCTTCGCGTAAAACACCCATTTTCAATCGATTAGCTTCTTCATTCAAGTCATCAATACGTTTTCGCGCTTGTTCGAGGATTAGTTCTTGACGTAAATTCAGATCCTTTTCTAAAACCGCTAAATTTTGTGCTTTAGCTGTATCGAGTTCTTCAACATATTTCTGTAATTTCAGCTTGTATTCTTCTTCAATTGCAGCGGAACGTGCATTGGCATCGGATAAAAGATTCGTTTGTTGAGATTGAGTTTCCGTGACAATTTTAGCGATAGCTGCGGTAACTTCCTCGGAGATTTGTTCGGTACGGCGACGAGAATATTCATCAACTTGTTGATGAGTTGTACCTATGTGAAAGAAGAGACAGTTATTTCATATCGAATTTGGTGAATAATTTACCTAGTCGACTCATTAGATCGGACATTTTTTGTGTATTGGCCAAACTAACTCTCGATTGAGTTTCCGTACTAACAATTGATTTAACTGCGACATTTTCAGCAACAGCTGTATGAGCTACAGCTGAACCTGTGGTTGAAGTAACTTGATTTTCAACAGTCGGCATGTTTATATTCGAAAAATTTCTGAATCTAAAAGGAAGAATAGATGAAGAATGAATGTGTATGTCCGATGTTCGTCTATTTATAGATGATTTTTCTTTGCTATCTCTCGTACAATGAAGAATTAACTCTTTTCTTGTTACACATCAAACACATCTTATCACACATATTTGCTATGGCAATTTTTCACTCTCTCCTGCTGCCGTTTTTCTTCTCGAATGTACATTGTCGGAATAACATTGTTGAAGAATGAATAACAGGCTCATCTTATCTTATTATTGGTTCGTTGCCGAATTTTATTCGAATGAATCAAATCTCAACAAGCATGTGAACAATAACAACCGACGCTTCTTCGAGAAAATTCTGTAACAATAAGTCACGGGGTCAAACAATAAAATTTTCTTGCTTTGTCTCTCAAAGAATAATAAAATAACCTACCTATTGTTAAAAATAATGTCTGTGGAACATTTCTCGTATTCATTTTTGTTGTTCTGTATAAATAAGTAACAGGAGTAAAGAGTATTTTTTGTGTTCTTTCATTTCGTGATAAGAGAAGTAGTAGAGTACAAGGAAAGAAAATGGCCGTAATTTAAGAACTATCTATGAGCGACGTTACATGATCTGATGATTCAATATCCGAATTTTCTCGACTGTAATAAGAGAAAAACAAGATATACTAAGAACAGAACTATTCCTATACGATTCAATTCATCAAATGAATCACATGAATATCTGACGTTTTCTTGCGAGTTGCGTCGTTCGATTATTTATTAAAGAATCTTTCTATTCATTCTGTTTCTATTTCTGCAACATCGTTGTGTCCTCGAAACAACCAATACCAAGTTCAGATATCCTTTCTAACCTCTCTTCTGCTTCTTCATAGCTTGAAGCTATTCACTCATTCATCCTCAAAGAAAAGAGAAGAGAATAGAACGACGTGGTGTTTTTTTTCATTCTGTTTCTCGAAAGAGAAATAGTCGAGTGGGTATAGTCAACATTCATTTGTCGTTTCTGTTCACACGACATACAAAATTCACAAAAAAAGCGTTCTATCCCGATGATGTTCATCTGATAAACCCAGCTCTCTGTGGCATTCGTCGTTGATGATAATTGCACGTAGCAGTGCATTGTCTGAGGGATACAATGAACAAACTAGATAAAAAAAAGTTGATCTTGTGTGTTTCTATTTTCATCGTTTGTTTTTAAAGTGTACTCATGAATACATACAAGCACATCATAGTCACAAATAAGAAGAAAAGAATTCGAAGAGGCGCAGAAAAAAAAGATTGTATTCGAGTTTAACACACACACATACACACTCTCGAACAACATCAATACAGAGGGAACAGAAGACAAAGAAAAGAAGAAAGAAGACTTGTGCTCATCGTGCAGTTTGTCTGTCCGTTTGTACACATCATAATTAATCTTTACTAATCACTTTGGATTTAAATATCCGTTGCTCGAAAACGTGCTGCTTGATCTCGAACCCCTATAGAAACAAACGAAAAGCTTTTTAATGATGAAAATTAAATTCTTCTTCTTTACGTTTTTCGTATTCAACTTTGTCTTGCATATAAATTGCATAAGCTTCAGCTTGAGCAGGATCTTTTGGGTTGGGCTCATTTAGTAATTCTTGAATACCAAGGAGAATTTGTTTGATGGTTATTGCTGGACGCCAATCCTTTTCTTCGTCGAGTAAAGATAAGCATACTGTTCCACTCTAAATTAATCAAATAGAAAGTTTTTTTCTCGTTTAAATAGAAAAATTCTTACGGGATAAATGTTGGGATGAAATAAAGGTGGCTCGAATTTACATTTTGGTGGTGTAGACGGATAATCATCTTTGAAAACCATTCCTAAATACACAATACGATATTTCTTTGTCTGACAGCTTGGGAAAGTTCCAAAACATACGTAATTTAAATAAACCACCTTCCCAGGGTGTACCGGTTTTGCCTAAATTCAGTAAATCGACATAAAGATCGTAAAAAAGGAAGATTGGATCGTTTACCAGGAATACCACATTCCCAATTGAGAAGATTTAGCGTTCCATCTGGATTTTTTGCAGGTCGCTTAAAAAAAACAAATGTAAAAGATAAAACGAAATGAAAATTTCGGCTTCTTACAGCAATGAATCCAAACGGATGATCTCGTCTCCAGGCTTTTCGTTCTTCTGTCAAACGTGCAGCTGAGATTCCAGCCATTTGTCGATCGATAAGAAAATTCTTCTTCTAAAAGAATCGATCTGATTAGCAAATCCGTAAAAAGAAAGAAATCTTTCAATCAAAACGAATATTTAACAAAAAACAGGTTAACAAAGAAGGATTTTCATCGGTAAACCAATTGGGAATCAGATAGTGTCCATTCTCCTCTCTTCAAATTTCCATTTCGAGATCTTTTTATTTCAAACAGGAAATATACTCCAAACTCACATGAAATTGAATTTGTTAAATCTAAACAAAATGGATTCTCATCTTATAGATGCCGCTAGAAGATATTTTTCTAGTTTTCCTATCTTTTCCTTCGTGCTCAACACTTATGCATCATAAACTCTTCCCACTTCATTTAAATGCACCTTTTTTATTTTGATTTAAAAAAAAAACTCGAGAGTTTTGCATCGACGATGAGTCATACTGTTTCAAAACAGAATTGCAACATTGATGTTCGATAAGGGAAAAAAAAACTAATCGTTTACAATTGAAGATTCATGGCAACTTCGTGTAATACGCATTCATATGATGGTAAATTACGTGAGAAATGGTTCGAAATTCGACCGATGTTAATCGAAAAGTATCTTCCTCATTGTCTTTCATTCGACGATACACTAAAGGATATTGAACGATGGCTTGATAGGAAATATTTCAATGTGAAACGAATTGGTCGTGCACGACGATCGCTAAGAATCTTAACAACTCATCGGAGAACGAATTTCGACACGAGGAACGATATCGATGTGGAAGAACTTTTACCAATTCTTTGGAATCAAGTGAAAAAGCAAGCGGATATTCATGATACGTTCTATGAGCAGTTATGTGATATTACCGGAGGAAGTTGTTCACAAGGAAGATCGACTAGACTCTTTCAATTTTTATTCCTTTTTGATTTACCAATTGAAACATCAACAAATAACGATGAACAGAAGGATTCTTCGGAGATCGTTAAGAAGACAGATGAGCAGAACGATACGTCTCAAACAATAGTCAATGAAAATGATCAGAAAGATTCAGCTAAGATCGAAGCGGATGTGGAAGAACAAAAAAATCTACCTGAAACAGAGACGAATATAGATGTACAAAAAGATCAATCCCAAACGGAAACAAATGAAAATAATCCAGTTTCAACTAAGGAACATTCAGAAGTTTCACAAAAGTCCACTGAAGAATCGAATAACTTAATTTCCGATAAAACTTAAACTTAAGTTTCTATTATGTTCAATCGATCACGGTGCTTTCTACATAAAGTCAACATCATGTTGACTACACTTCTGTATTACATTGAAGCAATTGATAAAAGATAAGACTTGAATATCAGGTGATTTTATTTCTGAATAAGTTGAATGTACAATTTGTGAAATAAATCTTTATCTTTCATCAATTAATCGATTTCAATCAATATTTGCGTCTTTTCAGTCATTATTTATACATAATTAATTAAAAATGAATGAAATTCATTCGTTAATTCTCCGTAGAATAAATCCAATACAATTCTTTGTACCTTCTGTTTTTTTTCCCTGTTCAACTCAGATTGATTTTACATTAAACTGCCCTTAATGATTTGATTTCGAATAATTAATTCATGCCGATTGCTTTGCTCAAATGACGTAACTTTATCTCATTTTCTCTTTAACCAAATGCACAATGCATCTACCTTGACATGCATTTCCGTTGATAATGATCTTTACACTTATTCTTCAAGCTAATTGCTCGAAATCTTCATTCTATTGACTGAAACATTTCACCTTAATAAAGGAACAAAAAAAAACCGTGAGGATGAGTTCTTTTTCTTTTCTTCTTTGGGGTATTACGTCAAAAGACCAACGAGAAAGAGAGAGGGAGAGAGGGAGAGAGGAAAGAGTTATATGTATTAGAGGAAAGTAAAAATGGCATTGTAATTGTAAAACATTTTCCTTCATTCTTTTGTTACGTGCATTATCAACAAAAAGATAGTAATCGTCAGAAAAGAAACTCTTCGTTTGATTAATGTTAAAGGAAAAAATCATTTTATTGGTAAGATTTGATCAAATGAGATATGAACTCACATGGATTTTCGTAGATATTCTTGTGGAATTGTTCGATTTTGTTGATTTACTCGCAAACTGAAGAAAGTACTTTGATCTCGACGTTCTCATTGAGTACAGAAGAAACAACTGGTATTAATTATGAATATTTCACTTCGATCGAAACAACAACAACATTCGATTCATCGTTTTCGACGAATGAAGGTAAAATATTTTCATGTTTATAATTTTCATCATTGATAAAATGGTTTCATCTTTCCTTAACATCTAATCGAATAAAAATTCTCGACTAGACATTCTTTTTTACTTTTCTAATCAATTGAGAACGATGCTAGTCGGTGAGAAATGAACTTTTCTCATTTTCTAATGCTTTTCATTCTCTAGTTCCGCTGTTCTTTTCAATTGTTTCATTGACCATTCGAACGTCACGAATAGATCATCAAGCGAATTTCTATTCAGTGGATATTCTTCTAAATAGTACATGTTCTGCAAGACGAGAAGCGAATTTAACATTGAATTTCTTCTCGTTATACTCGAATGAAACGAACTCTTGTTCGTCTTATTCAAAACAACCGACATTCATCACCTGTGACAATTTTATCTATGGTAAAACTCAAATTCTTCGACAATCAATCGATTTTACAACTTCTTTGAGTGTATAGGTGTTCGTTATACAATCGATGGATATCTTTTATGTGGCACAAAGAGTTTTACTTTATCACCATCAAGAGAACTTTACGGTAAAACTTTCTCTACGCATAAAAATCGAGCAAATTCTGTTTCTCATATATTTGTACTTCACTAATCGATCCTCAAAATCAAAAAGAGCATTCTGGTGAAGAGTAATTTAAGATGGAGTAAAAGTGTCAGATAAACACCCTACATTCTCGTTTTCTTTTCATCGAGATTTATATTCGTTATTGCCTTTTGATCGCTTATTTATCAATATACTCGAAAAATGCAAATCGGATTTTATTATGAAGATGAATTGTGTTTGTTTAGAAATCTTCAAACCAAAATATATCAATTCTACGAACAGTCCAACTTTGATCAATACCTTCTTTTTCCTTCCTGGTTTATTCAATCGATTGAATATTGAATTAAATAGTGTGAATCAATCCTGTTCATTAGAATATTCATCAATAACATCGCCTTTTTATCATTGTTCATTTCGAAATCTTCCATCTGCTCAATGGTTTGTGTTAACTTATTATATTCTTACTGAGAATTATCAAACACGATCAGCTGATACCACGATCGTCTTTACTGGTACTGATTTTTGGAATCTTTTATAGAAATGAAAACAAATCGTTTGAATTTGTTGTTAAGATTTGGAAGAATTGGATTTTCGATGTGAATTGCAGAAGAATAATCAACAAATTGAATTCTATTGGGCAAATCTGACCGGTTCGGGTTATTCGAATTTAACAATTTCGATTCTGACTGAAGAAAATAAACATTTATCGACGATTTTATGTGATCCATATGCCTCTACTAACCTTTGTTCGACGAAATCAGCTCGACTAGAACCAGGAAGAGAATATCATATTCATGCGAAGTTACGCAAATCATTACCGAACTATAACGGACAAAAAATTGAAACATGTTCGATAAAAACAAGTAAAAACATTGAATAGAAATCTTTAAAAACGACAGTCTCATCTAGATCTCACTCAAATTCCAATTCATTCACTTCAACACGTAATATTCAACGAAACAAACGTTCGTTTATCTTGGTCGGAACATCCATTTCATGTTCAAGTACGATTAAGAAATCTCGAAACAAATTCTTTGCTAAATCCTGTGGAAAATACTCACAAAATGGCTCTTTTCCTCAATCTAGTCGAAGCAAGTGTTTATCAAGTTGAATTTAACATCTCAAAAACTCATTGGCCACCTCTATTTCAAAGAACGAACTATCACATCAAAACAGGTAAATAAAAACTCACTCTTGCCATTCGAAACACCATTGTTTTTAGATTTTAAGAGATTAGTTATTGAAAATGTGATTCGATTGTCAGACAAAACTTTGATTGTTCATGTGAATTCACATGATTTAACAAAAGTCGAATTAATTTACTGTATCGAACGTGTCATGAATGAAACTCGTGAGATTTGTTCGTTTTCGAATACGTTTAGTCAACTTTCAGCAAGTACGATTTATAATATTTCCGTCACAATTGATCGTGATGCGTTTCAAAATAAATTTCATTGGGAAAAACGAACGATCTTCAAACTTGTTAACACAAGTAAGACAAATTTGGTGTTATTATTTCTATTTCATATAATAATAGATCCACCAACATTGAAAATTCGCGCGAAGAGACAAGATGAACATTGTTCTGCAGAAATTCTTAATTCATTTCCAATTTCCTATTCATCTGAATGTTTTTCTTCTTTGACGGACGAAATTTTCGATTGTAACGAACTTTTATGTGGTTGTCGATATCAATATCGAATATTATTCAATCAAACGTACATTGATTCATTATGCGCGAGATCTCCATGTGATATTCAACTGAATCATCCGAATGTCTCAACTGTGAAGTTCCAAACACGTAAAATCTCGCGAAGAATCGATGAAACATTGAGATTTTGTTGTTATTTAGCTTTGGATTCAATCCGCAATCTACGAATCGTTTCTGTTTCGTTGATTTCACGGGAGATTCAAGTGAATTTCGATTATCCATCGGGATGTTTCGATCAATTTATTTTAATTTGTGAACTAATCTCAACGAAACAACGACAAACGTTTGTCAATTCAACGATCTGCACGGATTTGATTCCGGAAGCATTTTATCGCATTTCTGTGGAAATCAAACGACTTGGATGGGAAACAGTGACATCACAAGTCATTGAAACACAATTAATCTCCACTCCAAAGAATGATCAGAAAAGTAAAACACTGATTTTCATGGCATGATGGTTTATTGAATAGTTTTTATCAGAAGGTTCTTTTGTTCAGTCGATTCTCATCCCAGGAATGATCGGATTTGTGATCATTCTCATTCTGGTGGTTTTGATCGCATTCGTTTTTGCATATCGACAGCGTCGTCGGTGAGTTCAACGAATCTTTTCCGTTCAAATCATAAAAAGTGAACTGATGTCTTCGAAATCTTAGGAATCGATCGTCGAATCGAGATCAAGCGCAAATCACAACTATAAGTCATCGAACAATTTCAACAAAGTTGAATAATATCGTTAATCAAGTGAATATGTAAGTCAAAACTTACTCATCGTTAAAACTCATTTTCTCGTTTTTCCTTCAACAGATACGCAAAAACTCATCCAGATACGAAAAGGTATAAACTTATTCTAAAAACTTCGAACTCAATGTTTCTTTTCCTTTAGAAATATTTACACATCAAGGTAAATCGAGTCCGAAGTATAGGGTTTGACAAAACTTCTTCTTCCGTATAGACCAATTCGAATAAAAGATCTTCCGAAAGAATATGAACAACTAATCGCCAATAACTATTACAATATTTCCAATGAATTTCACGTTTGTTCTTCATTCTCACAAAGTTACAATTCCATAGCATTTTCTCTCATATAGGAACTCCATTATAGTATCCAGGAAACATTGGAATTAACTCAATGTGATCAAACATTAAAAAATCGATACAAAGACATCATTCCTTGTAAATTTGATCTCTTTTTCTACTTGCACATCAAATTTATTCAATTAGATGAACATTCACGTGTGAAATTAATCCCTATCGATGATCTGGACTCCGGATATATCAACGCGAATTTCATTGCAGTAAGTTTCGGAGCTAAAAAAGATAACTAAGAAAGTAAATGGTTCAATAGGGTTTACATAATCCACGAGAGTATATTGCGTGTCAAGGACCATTGAAAACAACGATTAACGATCACTGGAAAATGATTTGGGGACAAAATGTAACGATTATAGTGATGTTAACCGATATTATCGAACGAGGATTGGTAAGTCAACGTTGAAAAAGATTTTATTTGATCAAACAAAAAAACCAAATAACAGAGTTTCGCTGGAATACAACTTGTTCTGATCGAAGTTTCCTTAAGAGTTTTTATCTGTGATGATGTTATTAAAATCTTCTTTGTTTAATGATTTTGGTTTGATGAATGATTTAGTTAAAGGGCTCATAATTAATAGACGTTGAACAAAAATTTTACATATACGGCTGGATTAAGTGAACACATAAAACAATGTTCGTAACAATTGATTTTTCGACAATGACGAAAACTAGTCGTTTGCTGAATTTTTATTAAAATTTCCTCGGATGTTTCACCAATCATAAAAAATATTCGACTATCGAATTCAATCCAAATGAAATGTTTTGCGAGATTCTCTCCTAAATGATCACGAAGAAGATTAACGAATTCCAAACGATCTACATAAAACCAATTATTCATTTTTAATCGTTCGATTACTAAACATGACTGAGTTTCATCACGCATTTCTATGCAGTCGGTTGAACAATGATCGTCTGATATTTATCAATAGCCAACGGATAGGTACAGTTTAGTAAGAATGAAACAGATTGACTGGACGCATCGGCGCGGTTTTTCGTGAAAATGTTCCGTAGAAATCCACTACGGTCGAAATATTTCTTTTGTAGAACAAATGCGAAAGGTATTGGCCGACGAATTTAGATAAAGATGAAATGTATGGAAATCTGTCAGTATGTGTTATGAATTGCATTCATGATAATTCGTACGATCTCCGTCATATTCAGTTAAAAAAGGTAAAAACAAGAGAAGAATTTTGATCAATCTGAACTGTTTATTTTAGAATGAAGACATTCGTTCGATAAAACATTATGCATTTAAAATGTGGAATGATCATACTGTTCCGACGAATTCCGAAGATTTACTTGATTTTATTCGTTTGATTCGATCGGAATATCGTCCTGACTGTGATGGACCTATTTTAGTACATTGTAGTGCTGGAGTGGGTCGTAGTGGAACATTCATTGCTTTAGATCGACTATTACAACAATTTGACAAAGTATCGTGCTATGGATATTTAGATATTTATGGAACTGTTCTTGATATGAGACGATGTCGAGATCGAATGGTACAAAATGAAGTAAGACAATGTGGAGATGAAATGTTTTCAAAGAAGTTACTCATTGAATTTTGTTAATAGCATCAGTATTTATTTATTTATCGATGTTTGAAAGATGAATATGAGAAACGATCAGGTAAATGAATTGTGAAAGAAAAGATAATGAAGATTTTTTGTGTTATTGTAGGCAACTCGAACCATGCTGTTATTGCTGATGATGCTGTGTGATGTATTTTTCATTCCAGAAATAAAGATTTATGTTTAAGATTATTTTTCGATGAGAAAAAAAAGTGCAGTTGTTTGAGTGAAAATTTATGTGTGTAAGATCTCGAAACTCGTACGTAGGAAAGAAGAGTTCTTTTAGATTGTATCAAAGTCGAGTCTGATTTGAATTTTTGAATCTTTTTTCGTCGATTCTATGTTGTATTTTTCGGATTTCATTAAGAATTTTTTCCTGATGTTCGCGCTTCTTCACACCGTATTTTAGAAGAGATTCGTTGGTGACATGATTGAGAAGCCAAAATCCATCCACCAAATTTGTTTCAAAACCAGAAACATAGTTTGCAAAGGCTTTATCCAAACTTCTTAACCATTTACTCACATCTTCACATGTTTCTAATCCTTCCATAGAATAGCCTGTGAAAGAAATCATTGTCATTGTTTTATTTGCATGTTACGAAAGAATTCTCACCTGGCATTGATGATGGATCATTCGCAGGAGTATAATCTCGATCGTGGAACCTTGTATATGGTTTACCTATTTCGCTCGTCGGACTAGGTTTTCGATTAGCGGAAAAAGCAGTCGAATGCAATGGTTCTGATGGTGTACGATGATATGATCTAGAATCTATTTTCGATGTCAGATGATTAGTATTTGAAGATGTCAGATTTGATTTACTTCCGTGCCTACTTTCTGCAGTTTTGTCTGAAGAATACTTAGACAGAGATCGAGAAGACGAAACGTCTTCTGGAGGAGTTTGATCTTCTGGAACTGTTCGGATAATGGTATCAGTGTGTTGTTTTGAAGAAGTCATTAAATCAGGAAAATAACCTTGTGTTTTCTCCAGACTCCATCGTTCTCCGTCATGGACAATCCACCTGCTTAGACATTCTATATAGTTTCGACCATATATAATGTCACGCCACTTTTTTGGTAATCCATGAAAACCATAAATAGCACCTGCTAATTGACCATAAATCGCTGCTGTTGTGTCTGTGTCATCACCGAGATTAACAGCAGCGAGGACACCTCGCTCAAATGAATCTTTATTGGCCCAAAGTGCCCATAGAGCAGCTTCCAAAGCATGAATAATAAATCCTTTTCCTCGAATACCTTCAGCGTATCCACCGCGTTTTTTAAAGGATCCTCCGACAATATTCATAACACTATCATGAAGTGGCTCATTATTGAACCAATTTTGATGTTTCACATAGAAATTTGAATCAAGAAGATCGTCTATATTTTCTCCAAGCAGAGCAGCTACCATCAAAGCACCATAATAACGACAGGCATCAATGGCGATTCTATCACCATGAGTAGTTCTTGCACTAGCACCTGAAAATCTAACAGCATATTTAGGGTTGCGATAAAAGAAGAGCGGTACGGGACAGAGACGCATCAAAGCTCCATTCCCAGCTACACCCTGTTCACTGCAATCGACATCAAACAGACGCAGTAATTTCGGATCATGGAGATAATCCATTTGATCAATTGGAATTCTATGCTCTTTGCTAAACGTCACTTGTCGATATTCAAACTCAAGTAATGATTTTTTTGTTGCTTTGCCAATATCAAAGCAATTTCCTGTCGACGACATGTAACCATTCCGAAACCACCATTTATAACGTACGAGTTGATCATAAGGAATGAAATCACGACATGCTACCAATGAATTTGCCAAACATAACGCCATAGATGTATCGTCAGTGAACTAAAATTCACGAAAATTCATTAATCGAAGTAAACCTATTGATTGTTCAATTGTCTCCTGTAAATCGACGACAATTACCTCTCCTCTGTTGAGTCCCCAAGTGCCACCACTCTGCAGATCAGTGACTCTATTTTCAACTAAAAACCGTTGTGGTCGAAATTCAACCGAAGCACCGAGAGCATCGCCGATAGCCAAGCCTAGTAATGATCCAAAGACACGATCGAAAACATTTTTATCTACCATTTCCGGTGGATCCACCATTTCATCTTCGAGCTCAGGAACTCTTTTGATAGTTCCATTTGAATGAAATGGATTGAGTAGCCAAGTTCTCTCTAAACAGAAAATTTCATCAGAATAAATTCCTGTTATTGCAAAGTACATTTCAGACAAGTAAAACTTAACTTGCCAATGGTCTTTACCTCGCTTTTGTGATGATTTACTCATTTTTTGTGGAAATGAATAGAAGAGAAATATCTATCTCATATATTTTCAACATAAAAGAGAACGTTTCGTGAGAAATTTTTCTTTGGTAGTTATGTATTAAAACACCGCGTTTCGTTTTTATTCATGCTTTTTTTCCTCACACCTTTATTGACATTAAAAGCAACAAGACACTATTCAAACACAACATTTTTCTTTCCAAACAAAGCAAGATCATGCTTTTTTCACCTGTTATCGCCTGAGAATAGAACTGATAAATGAAATCGTTTATTCGTAGAAACTATTTCGTTGTTTTAACAAAATGAATCGCCCATTTAGATACTGAAAGAATGAAGAAAACAACATGGATTCAACAACATTTATGCTATTCATTGTAAATTAGTCTCCTCAAATTTAAGACATCCGATCCATCAATTGGATCTCTCCTTTGCAAATCTTTACTAAAAGATTCGTCGTTTAATTCCATTATATCCAACCATTTCTGATTTTTCGATTATTTTCAAGAGGAAACCGGATGAAAGTATCTAAAAGAATGCAATTACAAACGCAGAGTCATCAAATATTTGAAAACATGCAACAGCTGTTTTGTTTCTTTGATCACGACTTTTGCATATGAATCCAATTGAGTCACCCGTCAAGTCTGTTTTATTTAACCTTGATTAACCAAAAAAAAAGCCACACGAAATAAGAAAGAAAAACCACATGACAAACAGAATTTGTAAAAGTAAACCATATGTATATTTCCGTTCGAATTGTCATTGATTTCGAATAATGTGAATGTAGAAAGCTGAGCCAAAGAAATTCGTTTGAGAACAAAAGACAAAAATAAATTCTATATTCATTTATCACAGATCAGTGATGTTGAAAATGCTCATCGAAATTTTTATTTTCCAATAACAACTTTTACAAGTTCTGAAAAAAAACGAATATTTCGATATGAAAAATCCAGGATAATCTTACCTTCATATCGAATAATTCCATTTCCAGAAACATCAATTTCTTGTAACATTTCATCAACTTCATGATCGGAAAATTGTTCACCCAAATTAATCATCACATGTCTAAAACTCATTTGAGTCCAAATCTCTTTTTCTTTCTTTCTTGTTTTTACCTTAATTCTGCTACTTTGATAAAACCATTTCCATTTTTATCAAATACACGAAATGCTTCTCGTAATTCGTCTTCTTCATTGTGTTCATCAGCTCGTTTAGCCATCATATGAAGAAATTCATTGAAATCAATTAAACCTTTCCCTATGCAATGGAAAAAAAAATCTTCCCAAACAATTGATTCGAGTTTTGTTTTTGTCCAGACCTTCACAATCGAATTCGTTGATTAAAGCCTTCAGTTCGTCTTCAGTAGGATTTTGCCCGAGTGTTCTCATCGCACTTCCGAGCACTTTAGGACTAATCGCGCCGTCAGAATCTTTATCGTAGAGAAGAAATGCTTGTCGAAATTCCTGAATTTGTTCTTCGGTAAAATGTTCGAGCTAAAACAAAAAAGAAACATTCCAATCAAACCAATTCTATTTCCTACTTGATCGATCTTATAAAATAGAAAATGTTCTGTGTTTATCACAGATGATTGCATATCTCTTCGCTTAACACAAAATCGATATTACCATTCGCAGTCAATGAGAAGATGACGACCGAAAAAAGAAACTACTTGTCGTCCGATTTCGATGAGGTAGGCCAGAGAAGAAAAAACGCAGAGAAAATCTCTGTTGTCTAATGATTAAATTCAACCTTGTCTACAGATGGAAGTGCAACTTACGATGTGACAGACAAAACACACGCAATGACGTCAGACTATCAACGTCATCCAAACAAACTAACTCACTTAAGAGATAGTTTTTGTCAAAGCCAAGGTCGTATCTGATGATTTCAACAGATATCAAGGTAAAGGAAAAGTATAAATAAGATTATCCGAACAACATATTTTAAATGATCGATCAGATAAATATTACATACCCCGAGTTGGAATGGGTCGTAAATATAGAGAAAGTCTTGCTGATTGAATTGTTTTATATCACGTGTTGAATTTAGAGAGAAACACTTCGAATAACTCAAAGGATCAGTTGGATCTCTCTGAATAGTTGTCGATTCTCTATCGACGGAGAACTTTTCACGAATTAAAGAATAACACGGACCTATTTTGACGGTTATTTCTTGGAATGTCGTCGATTTTTCTATGAACCTTCATAATGATCGATGAGAAGTCTGTATGTTCAATTGTGTTGCGAACTGTTATTTTTTCTTCATCTCATTTGCTCACATTCGTATCACGATTAGCGTCATTATTCTTTCTTTGTTTTCTCTCGAAACAATTCTGCATGCAAGTGGCACATATTTTGAAAACGAGAAAGAGAGAGAGAGAGACGAAGAAAAGAGTCGCTGACATGGTGAATGTTTGACGGAAATTCAGAACAAAAGAAACTAATGGTCACAGATGCCGAAAATTAATTCAATGAAAAAAAAAGGCAAACTTACTTTCATTGTTTGTCTTCAAGATATAAATAAATATCACGTCGGAAAATGGTCCTTCGGTTCATTTACACACCAATCTCTGACATTATCATGGCAATTCGCTGAGTTCTAAATTGACATTCTTTTCTTCGAAGAAATAATCTGTAATCATTAAGTATTCTTCTATCTTTCATCTCGTAGCATATTAATAAAGACAACTATCTATCCTCGAATATTCTCTAAGTGTACATAGATTGTTTTCTATTCTTTCGACAATCGAAGTGTTATAAATAGATCGGTAGTTGTGCAAAGTTTTCATTCAACAAACCACAGATGGGTTTTCTACGAAGTAAAACTACACTTTTTCTTGTTGTGAAGAACAGCTGTTTGTTTCTTTTCTTAGCGCAAAGATTATTTCATTGATGCATATCTCTCGTCGTATCATTGGTAATGATCAATAGAAAAGCACGGGAAGAGAAGTTTGTCAGCAAAGGAATAAATGATGGGAAAAGTCATCAATGAACGACAATTCATCATTTTGATCAGCCATAACAAGACGGATATCGGGATTGAGATAGGAGAAAACAGTGATTAGTCATTAGGTCTATGATCGATGCAGAAATACAAAGGAATTTCAAAACAGAAAAGCAGACATATCACGTTTGGAAGATTTGTCTGACAATCGTTTTGGCAAAGACATAAAAACAACAGACGTCAGTTGATTATGATTGAAATAAGCTAATCAAGGAAGCACCCAACGATTTTTTGGAATATAGATCCATCCTATGACGTAAATTACCTTGGAAGGTCAAGTTTTATTCAAGAAATCATTGGTATTTATTTCCTTGATAAGCTTTTCTTCGTTTTTATATGAAAACTATCGACTTACCCAGTCAGTTATACTTGTCGGCGATTGACTGGAGGAAAATGTGTTCATGTGTTACGATAATTCGACATATAATCTCGCCCATGAATGAATCGCCAGTTTACAAAATTGTCCAAAAACACAAATCCACCGTCGATATTGATTTCTTCTCTCTACAAATACTTTCCGGAATATCTATCTCGAATTATTTCGCCAACAGGTGTTAATAGATGCTCAAGAAATATCTCCTTGATCTGTTCGTATATGTATCTTTGATATATAAAGAGAATATGTATATATAGAAGACTTCTATATACGACAAGATAAAACACACCGAGAAGAGAAAAGAGGAAAGAAAGATACAAAGAATCTAATTTAGGTCGTTTAGCAAAGAAAATCAATTGTCATATCATATCAATAGATCTATTTATACAGGAATTCGCAAGGCGTTGCCCTAATTTACAAAGAAAAACTTTTTGATCAAAACAAAACTTGTCACAAAAAAATGATATTTTCCTCTTGTATGTTGATTGAAACTTGTTGGATGATAATGCCTATTTAACTAGAGATATCTGATAACTTCTAATTGAATTATTCATGTGCAGCACAAAAGGTTGATGACATGAGTCAAATAAAGAGAAGAAAAGAACGATATTTTCTGTCATGAAGATATCAACCATCGACGTTTTTATTCATAAAACCATTGCGAAAAGGAAAATGAATGAGTTGATTCCGAAAATTCTCGTCTCGTATTGGACGTTTCTGTAAATATCAACTTAATAGCAATATTGTAAGCATAATTGCCATTGCATATGCAAAAAATTCTTCCACATAATCGTTTTCGAGGTAATAGTGATAACTTCATTAGGATTAATATTCTATTTGTCGGGACAATCAAAACTTTGACATTGATGACAACTTCATATCAATCAAAAAGAAAGTCTTTGCAAGAAGAAATTCTCATTTCAATCTCTGTACGGGACAAAGCATTATCGTGTTGGTTTGAATTTTAGCGTTTCGACGTGAATTGAAATCAACGGATGTTTGAATACCGACGGAATGTGTGGTTTGACACAGAAAGGCGTGGTTTGTTTCATTGATTGTCACGACACGATCGACCAGTTCTAATAAAGTTGAGCGAACATCGTGCCACAAACAGAAATCAGAGATAGAGAAGATGTGCTGGCCGTCGGGAGAGTATTCTATGGAAGATCTACGAGAGAAAATCAGTTTGTATGAAGAAGAATGTAAGATTTTACATAAGATTTCTCGATAAACGATGAGATGGATGGTTAACGAAGGAGTTTTCATTGAAATTCTGAAATCGAACTTTGAACGGAATGAGATTCATCAGATGGATTCACTTACGAAGTAATGACAAGTGCATTTCGTATGTTTATTTATTAAATGAAACGTTTGATCGCTGCATGAATTAGAAACTTGAAAATTTCGAGAAAATTCTTTTCAATATTGGAAAATGGAGAAAACAAACATGGTTGAGATGATTGCAGAGTTTTAGTCGACAATTTTTTCTTATTGGAATGAAGAAAATGCCGAAATAGTTTCATCGCTGCTGTTTTGCAAAGAAAGGAAAAAAAGCGCTTGCATTTGTTTCACTTTCCCTCGTTTCTTATTTCAAATTTAAATCAATAGCGAAATGAAATATATCCCATATTCAACAGTCGGAACCAAAGAACAGTCTGATCGATGTCCGACATTTCTCCCAATAAGTGAAGACATGTAACATGTCGAGATACGCTCGTTTTCCTATGCTGTGAATTTCATTGCTTATTTATGTTTCGATTTTCATGGTGATTTGTTGTGATTCATATCAATTGAAGAAAAATACGGTGTTTTAATATCATTTGACTGGATGGAAAATTTAATTTTTGTTTCTTTTTCGAAGAAAAAAGCCGATTGGTTGATTTTTCGTCCAATGAAAAATCCGTGTTGATTTAGCAAAAATCCCTCTAAAAAATCCGAATTTATTTTTAAATCTCTCTAAAAAATCTGAATTTATTTTTAAATCTCTTTCAAAATAAAAATTGAAAAATATTCCGCAAAATTTCTCAAAAAATCGCTGAATAAATGCGCCATTATACAAAACTCTGTAAAGGACCTCTACGACTTGTTCTCCTGTTTTCTATTCTTTGTGTATGCATGTAATAGTGTTGGTGGCCAGTTGTTTAGCTATTTACTTACTCAATCTTGTTTGAATTCTATTGAGCATCTTCTTTTAGATGGTATGAAGTCTCTCGACGTACGTCCAAATTCATTCAATAATCTTCAGTCTTGTTCAACTCGTCTTTATTTATTTCCAAAAACAATCGAAAATATTACAAGCAGATGATCATCAGTGTTTATTTATTTCTAATTCACTAGTCAAATTTAGTATTTATCCATAGAATTTCCTCAACACTAGAAAAAAAAACCAAGTCCTTCTCAAANGCTTTGTATTTGCTGCTGTTAAAGACACAATCCTTCAATTGAACCTCAAAGAGTACAATTTGGTTTAGAAGAAAATCAGCGAAAGAATCAATATCGAAATTTTCAATAAAAAGAAAATTTTCATTTCTTTAGTCGTTAAACATAGACAGACATGTGGCTCTCTCTCTCATCTTCATTTTTCTCTTCTCTCTCTCTCTTTTTCTTCGTTTATTATTATTATTATTTTTGTGTCTCTTTTATTCTCTTATTCGCACACTATACACTATTATATTAGAATGGTCGTTTCAATTTTTTCGTCTTTTTTTCTCATTTGCGTGTGTGTGTGTATTTCTCGTACAGTGTGCGTGTTCAAAGTCAAATTCGAGTTGTTTCCTCTAGTTCAATTTCTTCTTCTTCTTCTCGTGTATCTCTGCATACGCTCGACAGAGAAAACACTTTAACCAACAGTGAGACACACACAGGCAGGCCAAGTCATTTTTCGTGTCTGGTTGCCATATATACATACCTCGTATCTGTTTTGTACTTGCGCACTGCGCGTATCATTACTACTATTCTCTAGTCTCTCTCTTTCTCTTTTCTCTTATTTTTTGTTGTTATTTGTTGTCATCGTCGTTCATTATTGTGTTGAAATATCGTCATTTTTCTCCCTCTCTCTTTCTGCTACGCATTGTTCAATTCTTGGAATGACAACAATACTCATTGGTGGGTGGTGTCCATCATGCAATAGCCACAAAATCTGCCCTGCACAAGTATGCGTGTCTAGTATTCGATCTGACTCTGTCTCGCTTTTAGCATCCTTTTTTCTCTTTTTTTTTACTTTAATTCTCTTTCGCGCGTGTGTATTTCGTGTGTGTGTGTGTGTCTTCTGAATTACACTAATCGTTGCGTTGCAGTGTCGCCGCTTCTCTCTCTCTCTCAATCTCTTTTCTTTTCATACTCTACTACTACAAGAAGGTTCTCTCTTTCTCTTTTTCTCTGGTTTTTCAATTGTATAAAATAAATAAACGAATAATGAAGAAAAAAAAACCTTTCTTTTCTCTTCCGTTCATTGCAATACGATTGACAAACTTCATCACGTTCTAGATTATCTTGTCCAAGTCGTTCTAAACGACCTTCCTGTTCAATCCATCGAACTACAAATCGAAACGTAAAGTTTATTTCCTAGAAATTCTCTCTTCACATTCCATCTTTGTCCCTTTTTTCCAGATCTATAACATGGCCGATCAAGACGCAGCTGGTTTAACTGCTGCTGATCTAAAAAAGAAGCGAACATTCCGTAAATTCACCTATCGTGGTGTTGAACTCGATCAATTATTAGACATGAAAACAGAACAATTGATGCCACTGTTACACTGTCGCGCTCGACGACGTTTATCACGTGGTCTCAAACGCAAACCCATGGCTTTGATCAAGCGTTTACGCAAAGCCAAAAAAGAAACACCAGAATTAGAAAAACCACAAGCAGTGAAAACCCATCTACGTAATATGATCATTGTACCTGAAATGGTCGGTAGCGTTGTTGGTGTTCATCAAGGCAAAACATTTAACTCAGTGGAAATCAAGCCTGAAATGGTTGGACATTATCTTGGAGAATTTTCCATCACATACAAACCGGTGAAACACGGTCGGCCCGGTATTGGTGCCACCCACTCGTCTCGTTTCATTCCATTGAAATAGACAAATGTTTTTTTTTGTACTATCGGCTGATTGGAGACGAAGATAAACAAAAGAAAGAAGAAAATCATTGCTGATTCGAACATCTTTACTGTTTTTATTTATTGAAAAAAAATCGAGAATTAAATCAATAAAATCTTGATTTTTTTCTCGAGAAATTTATCGTTAAGGATTAATATTGTTCGAAAAGGAACACAAATACTCGAAAGACATCGTCTTACAACAATAAGAAAACAAAGGAAATGAAAGAAGAAGAAGAAGGTCTATTGAAATCATCTCAAAGTGTGTCGTTAGATACAAAATATGATCTTTTTCTTCAACAGATGGCCGTTGTAATTAATCGCATTGCCTCTTCGATTTTACGATTCATTAATTAGATAATGTCGACGAACACCTTCCTGTTCGTGTGTTGACAAAGTCAATTGCGACAAAGTTTGTTTCTAATCAAACCGTTCGTCAGAATAACGACGAATACAATCGGGAAATTCCATTAAATATACGATACTTTCTTGTTTTCATTAATGTTATTTATTCAGAAATAAAAAAAAAGAAGAAGAAGAATGACAGAACCAAATCCGAGATCTAGAACCTACGATGCTTTTTTCACATTTTTCAAAAAGCATGAACCTCCAGTTGAGGAATTGTATTTTTATGAATAACATGTTTCGACTGGAGAAGAGTTTGTTCGGTATTACTTCGGCGATTGACAAATCTTTTCGGTTTTGATAGAGAAAATAACTGGATTAATTCATTGCGAAAAACGCCACCCGTCAATGTATAAATATAAAAATGAATGGCGTGGTTTAATTGGCCCATAGCAATAAAGATTGCTGTAATCAAAGCTATAACACCTTTATTATGTGATGTATTTGAAGGAGTAAAAACACGAATGGTATCATTGATTTCAGTTGGTAATGTAAAGACTAAAAAAGCTGAAATAATAAGAAAATGTCGATGGGATTACAAGAGAATCGAAGACGATTTACCAGCAGCACTGCCGAGTAACATCACAGTCAATTGCTTTTCTTTTTCATGTCGTTTCCGATGCTTTTTCGAATGTAATGCTGTTGTCATGATCGTTCGGATTGAACGTCGTGATGTTAAAACACGAATTAAAATGATAATATTACATATTAGCATAACAACAAAGGGGATGACANGTTTAGAAGAAAATCAGCGAAAGAATCAATATCGAAATTTTCAATAAAAAGAAAATTTTCATTTCTTTAGTCGTTAAACATAGACAGACATGTGGCTCTCTCTCTCATCTTCATTTTTCTCCTCTCTCTCTTCTCTTTTTCTTCGTTTATTATTATTATTATTTTTGTGTCTCTTTTATTCTCTTATTCGCACACTATACACTATTATATTAGAATGGTCGTTTCAATTTTTTCGTCTTTTTTTTCTCATTTGCGTGTGTGTGTATTTCTCGTACAGTGTGCGTGTTCAAAGTCAAATTCGAGTTGTTTCCTCTAGTTCAATTTCTTTTTCTTCTTCTTCTTCTCGTGTATCTCTGCATACGCTCGACAGAGAAAACACTTTAACCAACAGTGAGACACACACAGGCAGACCAAGTCATTTTTCGTGTCTGGTTGCCATATATACATACCTCGTATCTGTTTTGTACTTGCGCACTGCGCGTATCATTACTACTATTCTCTAGTCTCTCTCTTTCTCTCTTCTCTTATTTTTTGTTGTTATTTGTTGTCATTGTCGTTCATTATTGTGTTGAAATATCGTCTCTTTTCTCTCTCTCTCTCTTTCTGCTACGCATTGTTCAATTCTTGGAATGACAACAATACTCATTGGTGGGTGGTGTCCATCATGCAATAGCCACAAAATCTGCTCTGCACAAGTATGCGTGTCTAGTATTCGATCTGACTCTGTGTCTCGCTTTTAGCATCCTTTTTTCTCTCATTTTTTACTTTAATTCTCTTTCGCGCGTGTGTATTTCGTGTGTGTGTGTGTGTCTTCTGATTTACACTAATCGTTGCGTTGCAGTGTCGCCGCTTCTCTCTCTCTCTCTCAATCTCTTTTCTTTTCATACTCTACTACTACAAGAAGGTTCTCTCTTTCTCTTTTTCTCTGGTTTTTCAATTGTATAAAATAAATAAACGAATAATGAAGAAAAAAAAATCTTTGTTTGTCTCTTCCATTCATTGCAATACGATTTACGCATTTCATCATATTCTAGATCATCTTGTCCAAGTCGTTCTAAACGACCTTCCTGTTCAATCCATCGAACAACAATCTCAACGTAAAATTTATTTTCTAGAAATTCTCTCTTCATATTTCATCTTTGTCCCTTTTTTCAAGATCTATAACATGGCTGATCAAGACACAGCTGGTTCAACTGCTGCTGATCTAAAAAAGAAGCGAACATTCCGTAAATTCACCTATCGTGGCGTTGAACTCGATCAATTATTAGACATGAAAACAGAACAGTTGATGCCACTGTTACACTGTCGCGCTCGACGACGTTTATCACGTGGTCTCAAACGCAAACCCATGGCTTTGATCAAGCGTTTACGCAAAGCCAAAAAAGAAACAGCAGAATTAGAAAAGCCGCAAGCAGTGAAAACCCATTTACGTAATATGATCATTGTACCTGAAATGGTCGGTAGCGTTGTTGGCGTTCATCAAGGCAAAACATTTAACTCAGTGGAAATCAAGCCTGAAATGGTTGGACATTATCTCGGAGAATTTTCCATCACATACAAACCGGTGAAACATGGTCGACCCGGTATTGGTGCCACCCACTCGTCTCGTTTTATTCCATTGAAGTAGACAAATATTTTTTTTGTACTATCGATTAATTGGAGACGAAGATAAACAAAAGAAAGAAGAAAATCATTGCTGATTTGAACATCTTTATTGTTTTTATTTATTCAAAAAAAAAATCGAGAATGGAATCAATAAAATCTTGATTTTTTTTCATGAGAAATTCATCTTTAAGGATTAATACTCTTCGAAAAGGAACAAAAATACTCAAAAGACATCTTACAACAATAAGAAAACAAAGGAAATGAAAGAAGAAGAATAAGAAGATCTATTGAAATCATCTCAAAGTGTGTCGTTAGATACCGAATATAATCTTTTCCTTCAACAGATGGCCGTTGTAATCAATCGCATCGCCTCTTCGATTTTACGACCCATTAATTAGATAACATCGACGAACACCTTTCTACTCGTGTGCTGACAAAGTCAATTGCGACAAAGTTTGTTTCTAATCAAAGTGTTCGTCAGAATAACGACGAATACAATCGGGAAATTCCATTAAATATACAACACTTTCTTGTTTTCATTAATGTTATTTATTCAGAAACAAAAAAGAAGAAGAAGAATGACAGAACCAAATTCGAGATCTAGAACCTACGATACTTTTTTCACATTTTTCAAAAAGCATGAACCTCCAGTTGAGGAATTGTATTTTTCTGAATAACGTGCTTCGACTGGAGAAGAGTTTGTTCGATATTACTTCGACGATTGACTAATCTTTTCGGTTTCGATAGAGAAAATAACTGGATTAATTCATTGCGAAAAACGCCACCCGTCAGTGTATAAATATAAAAATGAATGGCGTGGTTTAATTGGCCCATAGCAATAAAGATTGCTGTAATCAAAGCTATAACACCTTTATTATGTGATGTATTTGAAGGAGTAAAAACACGGATGGTATCATTGATTTCAGTTGGTAATGTAAAGACTAAAAAAGCTAAAATAATAAGAAAATGTCGCTGGAATTACAAGAGAATCGAAGGCGATTTACCAGCAGCACTGCCGAGTAACATCACAGTCAATTGCTTTTCTTTTTCATGTCGTTTCCGATGCTTTTTCGAATGTAATGCTGTTGTCATGATCGTTCGGATTGAACGTCGTGATGTTAAAACACGAATTAAAATGATAATATTACATATTAGCATAACAACAAAGGGGATGACAACAGCAAATAACATATCCAACGAATCAAAGATTTGATAAAATCGTTCATAAGTTATGGAGTAGACTTCATTTTCGAAAACAATCTTTCGATTCGACGGGACACAGCCGAAATGCGTCGGCGTTGCTGGAATAATTTCAAAACCCCAGAAAATGTGACCGTTTATAAACAAAAAGATAACTGACATCAAAAAGATGATATAGATCGCAATACGGGCGCGGCAGAATCGTTTTGACTTAAGTGGACATTGAATCGAAACAGCGCGATCAATCGAAGCGACAGCTAATAGGAAGTTCGATAGATCTGTTGTAAAATAAACCATTAATGGATTCAATTTACATATAAATAAACTTTTCGCTGTTAAATTGAAGTGACTATACGAAGGAAGAACTGTATCAATAAACGACGCGATCAATGATGCGATATCGGTTATCGCTAAAGCGAGAAAGTAAACTGCACACGAACGATGTCGAAGCGATGGTCGGCTGAAAACTAAAACGCTTAGAAAATTTCCAATGACACCAATGATAAATATCGTTAAACATATGTATTTGTAGATAATTGTATCGGTTAGCGTTTGATAATGATCATAGGGAGTGTCGATAGGTGAAGTCGTTAGACTAATGTTCGATTGAAATGTGGAAATGGTGATGTTGAATAAAACTGTACTTGATTGAGTTAAACTTCGAAACACTTCATCGGAAATCACTTCTTGAAATTCACCGGAATTTGATGTCATCTTCAAAAGTAAAAAAACTTCATCATTTATCTTCAAATATTCATATATTTGATTGCTGAAAGAAGAACAAACGACATTCTCGATGTCAACATTGCTTACTTCGATTTGACCGAGAAATTTAATCTACACATTGTAAATCTTTCGTGGAAAAAAACACGTGTGTTTACTATTTTCGACTTGTTCGATCGATAGAACTTGTCCTAATGAACGTCGTTAGCGAATCGAGTTACTTCTTTTTTAGTAACATCTGTCAAAACAAATACTGCAGGAGAAAAAGGTCAAATTTCTTTCTAATTGAGACTAACAAAACTCGAGAACGATTGTTTCAGAACTCGTCACATCGATCGAATGGAAATACGCGAGAATTTTGTGAGTATGTTTTTTTTTTCTGACTGAGACTTTCTAGACAATCTCTTATGCTCGAACGGAGAAGCAAATATTAGCGTTTTCTCTTCTCTTACTATTGAATTGATAATTGCTTTTCTTCTTCTTCTTCTTCTTCGTCTTCTTTTTTCTTTTTTTTTTTCGTTCACCGATTGTCACTGACGTTCACAATTAAAGTTGGTGGTCGTGATCATTGTAAACAATAACCTTTGATGCTATCGGCCTTGTTACAATTATTCTAAAAATAAAAATCTAAAAGAGAATAAAAAGATCGAGAGAAAAATCTAAACAAAACGATAAACACCTCGAACGTTGAAATGAAAACAAAAAAGTGATTCCGAATGGAAAAGTCGCTACGTCCACCAGATGACTACTCGTATTATCAGTAGATCAAAAGCTTCTTTATTCTAATCAAGATCAATTCTCAGCTGCTTGTTGTTTTCTCTACGCTGTTTTTATGTATTAATATGTTTGATAAAGAATAACGAGATGACGAAGATGAAAAAGAAAAGAAATTCTCTTGGGTATTTCTGTATTAAATCGAATAAATAGAAACGGTAGCACTAGTTCGTGATATGCATCGTGTTCAAAATGCAAAACATTTTGAATTATTCAGAGAGAGAGAGATAAAAACAAGGTTTGTAACAATGTAATTGTCCGTTAGTACAACACTACTTTAATTGCCTCAAAACGAATAGATTCACTGACAAAGCGGAGTAATCAGTTGGGCCTTATATAATGGAATTAAGGAAACGTGCCAATGATGGTATGGCTGATGTTGATGATAAAAATAGGAGAAAAAGGAGAAAAAAAAGAGAGGGAAAAGCAAAGAGTCTAAATGTGATGTCGAGATCTGACATCATTGCCTTGTCATATATGATGTTCTTAGAATTTTATTGAGTCTGACAATTTAACGCACACTTATCATATCGTCTTTTCATCGCTTCTTTATATTTCATAATTAAACACTTGAGAAAAACAATGAACAAAAACTAAATTAGACTTACGGTATAATACAAAGACATTTTCTGCTCTTTTGTTTTGTTGAATATTTCTATAAAAAAAAGAAGGCAATTCATTTAAATAGTTTTTCTCATTACAAACCAAAAGGAATTTGTTCTATTTTAATTTTGACTTCTCGAGATCAAAATACAATAGCATTATCACATTATCATCTTCACAAAACGAAATAACTAATAGAATTTTCCAGATGATTTCATTTCTTTTCTGCTCTTATAGATCGATTTTATCACTCTCATAATTGACAAGAAAATCGAATCATTTCATTAATGTTTGACTCCATTCGACTAGCACATACCTGAAATAACTTGTCAATCATTTTCGAAAAAGCAAGTCAATTCATAATAATCATAATCTATGTACAAATCGAAGACAAAGAATGTTCCTCTATAAACAAAAACTAATCATCTTTGTGTGCCTTGTCTGTTGACGATGATTATTAATATTGAGAAAATAGGATCATTTACTGTAGTTATTCTCAGGAAACGCATAGTAATAATAATAATCATCTCACAAGCAGAACTAAGGAAGAGAAATCTATGGTTATACAATTTAGCTTTATTCGGAGAATAAATTGGATTTTCAAGTGAACGAAATAGTGAGAAAAATTTTAAATACATGAGAAGTTTTGTTTCTTTTTTTGTCAGTGAGTTGAAGAATAGTACGCTTGAGATGATTGTCATAAGGAAATAGAAAAAGAGAATAAAGATTTTTTTTTTTTGCATGATGATTAGCGTTACTGTGTATTCATCAGGCTCGCTTTCTCTTCGGTTTCTAAAGCTGTACTATCGATAAGAGATAGAGAATGAAGAAAAAAAAAACTGGTAGAGAAAGCAGAACAAAGCGAAATCGACTATTATGTCGACGAATAGAACCTGTAGAGTTAATAAAATCAATTGAAGATAGAACGACAAGCGTTTTTCTTCTTTCTATACGTTGAACAACAATGAAATCAAGGGAAAACTCGATTAAATATCATATTACCTTGCCATATAAAAAAACATCTCAACCCACACGCTCATTTGAGTATCAAGATGTACACAGAAGAGATCTAATTGCAAGCATATTTCGTCTGTCATTCTCATTTAATTGCTCTCAAGCGTTACGCGTTGTCAGCATTCTCAAAGGTATCGTTTCGGTAGCAAATCAGAATGCTTTACGACATTTCTCTAATCCACAATAGACATCATTGCCAGGTAAACAAATACTCCAAGTTCAAAAGTCTTCTTCTTTCCAAGAGAATCGTATATAAAAAACAAAACCCAAGAAAATCATGGTATTTTCATCATGACTATGTATTATAAAACTATATGACATATTCTCATTGAATTTCGAAGCAATAAATCTAATAATTATCGTATTACTAAATCAATCTGCTTATTTTCTTATCTTTAAATAGAAATCGTGGCATTTATTGGTAAAAAAGAACTGTGTGTTCACGGAAAGAAGATTCAAAGATTCTTTGTTCGGTAGAAAAGACAAAATTGAATGGAAATGATGAATAGTTTACTTCATCAATTGATAATCTCATCTATAGAGATCAAATTCCCCGTTGAGATTGAGTTTTACTTCGAATAGACGTGTTGATATCTATATTTTCCCAGAAAGTGATTAATATTAATGATTTATACGCAGTGGAAAACATTAGCGATTGCTTGGAATGATTTGCTTAATCGGCAAAGTTAATATTTTGCAAATGCATTTATAAAATAACGGAGAATTAGAACAGATGCGTAGAAAAACAGAATTCTCTCATAAGTAAATGTTTTTTTGCTATTCCAGACGTCGATTTTGTTGGCATAACGCGTTAGAAATATGTTGTTGATTGAATCATGTTCATCTACTATTTGATTTTAAAGAGAATTGTGTCAGTAGAGCATTCTTTGTTCGGAAAAGCGATCGATAATTCGAGCAGATCGGATCGATGTTATATTGGTCTTGTTAAATATTTGAACAAATTTCGATTGTAAATGAAATCGCGACGATTTGATGATCGAATCAGTACATTCCGTTTCTATCGATGAACATTGGCAGGATATATTAACCACGCGACAATTTGTTCGCTTACGGATGTGCATGATGTCTCATAATTGATTAACATACAATTAAATATCTACGGAAGACATTTTAAAAACGATTATTTCATTCATCTCTGTTGCGAAGTACACTCCGTCGGGTCAATTGTGCAACTCCGAATGAAGAAATTCAAGGAGAAAAAGTAAAGACAAATGATTTTGTTGAAAAGGCCTTTTGCTTTATTAGATAATCAATGATCTTTATGAAATGTCTCTAATATGTACGGTGAAAGAAAAAAGAAAAATACGGAAAAGTCAGAATTATTTCTACGGATGTTTACTCTATGAAAAGTTGAAAGCTGATGGATATTTAATGATGGCCACCTTTTTTCTGCGATGACGACGATGACGCTGGACGTTCAGCGGGTGGACTAGCTGGTTTCTTGGATTTGCCGAGTTTAGACATTGTGTAGCCGAAAAGCACCCAACCACCAATCACAGCAAGAACTGAGTTGGCTCGACCGCGAGTTGTGAACGAATTAAAATTACGAACATACCAACTTGTTGCCATTTTTGCACGGATATGTGCTGGAACTTCAGCTTCACCACCACTGAATCGAACAATACTTAATTTCATTTTAGTAATTATCTAAAACAAGAAATGACGAAAGAAATGGCTGATTAGATCGAATCCATAAGACCAACATTCGGTTTTGGGCGAAAAAAACAACAACTGGATTCACAGTCTTCTAAATATATTTTCAGCCAATCACGTTCAATTCTAAAGCGACATCTATTCAGATTGATAATTATCGTGCAATTCATTATATAATAGACCGCCATCGGTGAAATCTAAGTTTTCTGTGAGAAAATATTTTCTTGACGTGTAGTGATCGATATCCAAATGGTTACTATGGAAATCGTCTTATTTGATGGATCTCGATCTGAATAGGACTTGCCACTACAAATCAGTAGGGAGAGATATACAAATGTCGGAACACGTTACTGATCGACGTCCGATGAAGAAATCTTCCGATGATAATAAAAAAGGGACAGGAGGAAAAAAGAAGAACCAACTGGAGTCTGATTCAGATGCCTACATGGCTCAACAATATGCTCTTGTTATCGGTGAATTGAAAGCTGCTGAAGCCAGAAATCGGTAAGATTGACTTTCTTTTGTTATCAATTGACTTCACTGTAGAAACTAGAATTCGTGCAACTCGTCTTCGTTTTTCCAAATCGAATTGTAAAGAAATCGATCAAATAATCGCTTTCCAACCGAATGCATTGAGTGCACTTCGTTTCGAAGCATTCATGATGAATCCATCATCATCATCCCAGAAAGAAAAGTATTCAACAGCTGCTCGCAATGTTTCACCACGTCCAACTAGTGGATCTGCTAAGAGTCTTACCAGAGATCCACTTACTCAAATCGAACGACGAAGAGTTCAAAATCTTATTCTTGACGATCAAAATTTATTAGTCAATCGAACTGAATAAAACAATTAATTAACGAGAAAATCAAATACATCAGTGAACAAATGATACACGTATTTTTTCTATCGATTGTATATACCGACATGAACAAAAGAAAATTTAAAAAAAAAGAAAAGTGGAACGAGCGCACTAGATTCATATCGCTATCAATTTACACAAGTTAATTTCACTTTTAAGTGACTACTGAACAGTTAGTCAAGAGAGAAAGAAAACTACGGAATATTATGCAGTGGATAATGAACAAAGAGAAAGAAACAGTGTTTATATATCAACAAATGCTTGGCAATGGAGTGTATTGCTTAACCAGTAAAAGCACAAGCACTGATACTAAAGCAATAATAATCTCCAGAGCTAAAAGTGTCATGTACACAACAATGTGTGGCAGTATTACAAGCACCATTGTAATTACCACTTGCAGGATCACACCGACCAGGGGCGGAAACAAAGTTCCGATTAGCACAAAAAGTAGAGCTAGCTTGACACATATTTGAGCCAGTATCGACGCACTGAAGTGAGCAAGTGGTAGTATTGGGAGAAGAACTGAAGGCACCGGTACAAGTCGCAGCGCAATAGGCAGGAGTAGTTGTTGTTGCTAAAATGAAAATTTAGATAGCTCATACGAAATCATTTTGATCTGTGTTGTAGAAAAAATACATGAGAGTAAATGAAAAGGAAAACTCTACGCTTGTTCACACCGTCGCCCTCATGTTTACCAGTTAAAACTGATGAAGACACACGCTCATTGACTAAATGATCTGAAACAAACAGACATACTTGTCGTAGTAGTGGTGGTGGTAGTATCAGTTGTTGTCGTCGTTGTTGTGGTCGTTGTTGTTGTTGATGATGATGAACCTCAAGTGGAAAGATGGTTATTATTGATAACAAGTGCGAATCGAGATACTTCAGTTATTATACATACATATAATTAGGAGGGTATAGAACATCGGTCTGGATAATCAATATCTGTCTAAGTTCGCATTTACTCATGAGTAAACGAGCAACTTTATAGACTCGCATTTGAAAACACTCTTTCAAATGGGATTGCGTATTGTATATTTGAGTAATCAGAAAGGGATAAGCAATTTCTGATGAATTGTCTCCTACTAGTATTTTCTCTGTCTTAAGATCAACACTCGTATGTTGTATTTTTTTGGTTGTAGATCTGTCTATTTCTCGAACTTGACTTAAGCATCATACATGAGCTGTATGACGATATGTAATACTAATAATATTCGACATGAAATTTTTTATGGATCTGACATAATAGCAGAGGCAAATTGGATCCTCTAATTCATCTCAACGTCAAGGCAAAAGCTCAATGTATATTTAAACACGTATTGAACCAAAGTTGAAAAACTTAACTTGAATTTCTCGAGAAATTACTTTTCTTACAAATTCTTCATGATTGAAACACATGTCCTACTTACTGGTGCTTGTGGTTGAACTGACGCTGGAAGTCGTCGTCGTTGTTGAACTTGTGACAGAATTTGTAGTATTCTGTGACAAGTCTGGTGCAGTAGTCGTTGTCGATTCATCAGTAGATGGCAACTCTAAAAAAAAGTCAATCGCACATGACTTCTGCTCTCTGAATTGTCGAATGAATAGTCTGATGTGTTCAATCTTTTCTTTTGCAAGATGAATGCGACCAAGATTCATTTATCTCAAATGTAATCAACGCTGTTTTCTCAAACATACACTTAGTAAACTAAGAATTGTAAGTCAATTTTCAGTCAGCCTCACTCTTTGTTCATATTCTATAACTGAGATTCTCTGAGAATCGTTTTAATTTTTGCTAAGTAATATGTTTGTACTTACCGTAATGTTGAGTGAAATTGACCAGTTGCATATGAAGAGCAATACTGTTTCCATTTGATAATGGTGCAAGAAAAGAAAATGATCGAACGTTCATAAATTTAGACAGCATCCGTTCTCTGAATGACTTTTGACATTGCACAACATACGAACATTCACGCGGATAAAGAGCTTGTAACGCTATATCGACGTATACTGGCGACGACGCACCAGTGGCAGATGTAGTCTCTCTACATATATCATCATCCATTAAAGTACATGATGTTTTTAGTTTTAGACAATCATGATTACTTACTGTCGACGAATACGATCTGCTGAATAACCACTTATTGTAATAAACACAGCTGTGCTAATGATTATTGTGGTTGAGGGTGGTTGCATAACTTGACTGAACTGAAAAAGACAAAGATATAGTTTTCGTTAATTTACAAACAAATCCAATCAAATGAGTTTTCATGAATGAGAAATAGATATCAGTGTGAAAAGTATTCCAAAACAGTCAATTTCGAATTTGTCGAGTAGAAAAAACAGAATTCAACTCGATCACCAATGATGATCAGAATCGGATGTTGACTTACAGCTCTGCCCAACATTGATTTGTCAAATGGCGAATAGACAGCACGCTTAGTGATCTGAGGAATGCTGGTCAGATTTGTCAAATATCGTATTGACCACAGATCAGTTGCTAAAATGCAATAAAAGGAAGGAAAAGGTATATAATTTGTATATGTGAATGTACCATTAGCATTGGATCTGGCTACTTGAATATCAGGACTCGAGAGATACAATGAAACGAGTGAAGGTATCAAGACAGTGGCAACCCCAAGTAATATACAACCAATGAGGAGCATAGATATACAACATATATAATTGTGATTCCTATGAGGAAACAAAATAACTAATAAATCATGATGTTGCAAGGAAAATCTACTAAAATCACAATTGATTCGGTGTTTTCTTTCAGCAGTTCCATACTGATGAAGCTATCAAGCATGAATAGAAATTTCTTACCTTTTATTAGAGCTAAGAGAAATTGGTTTCACATCGTCGGTCAGTTGCATGATGATTTCGATCTGAAAAAAAAAGAGAAAGGATAAACAAACTGTACGTATGATTATTGGAATGGTGCATTTCAATAATAGGGTGTGGTAAAGCCATTGAAAATCATTGGATCAATATCTTATTGTAATTGGTTGATTATCGGTAAAATTCCGATGAATCGTTGTGATGTTATTGGTAATAAAAAGTTGCTTTCGATTGTGTGATTTTTAAATGTGTTCGTCGTATTAATACTTGAGCGGATATTTTATATGCGAAAAATGATAAAGATGTGATCTATAAATGGTGAATTAGAATAAGTGTGCCAATATTTGTTTGAATAACATCACTGACATTCGTACATAAAAATGAAAATTAATGAATGTAAACTTGTTTTAGAAGCAAAGTATAAGTAGGTGAAGAGTAACGGGTACAAAATTTACAGTCATCGTTCTCTTTCATATCGATTGGATATTTACGTCACGCACTTTTTTCATCTACTTCAAAGATTCACCTTGGTCAGCAAAGTGGTGAAAGTCAAGAATGCTAAATAAGAAATTTTGTACAGAAGCAAAATGTCACAAATAGATAAATATCTAAAGTATTTCAAAATTAATATTTTGATTGCAAATTGATAATGATATTTTATCTGATTCGATTTATTTCATACATTTGGAAATAAAAAAATATCTGAGCCACCTTACATATATTCGTTTTAAACAGAATCTGCATACGTAAATCTAATTCGTGTTTATCCTTCACCTAGAATATTGACAATACGCAGGATGAAAGAAACATTGAGTCACCTATTTGCAGTTTTGTCTATTTTTAAATTATCATTATGAATCAGCTTGATAATCAATCAAATAACTTTCATTGTGTTCGTTTAACCATCCAAATCATTGTCCTATTAATTGTTATCATATTGGCGAAATATAATCTCTGCCTTTTCTTATTAATTATAAGAAAAAACACTTCCAATTAGATATTCTTTGTCCTGTTTGATGGATCACAATATAATCATTTGTTTTGTGTAGTTATTTTTAGAAAGCTGATTCATTTTGATTCGCATCAATTCATTATCAAATCAAAATGTAAACAGATGTTCTGTAGGAACGTAAAATCAAATTTTCAATAAAGTTGCTGAAAACGGCTACTTTTCTTCATTTGAAAGAATTCCGTATGTCAAATCATTCATTATTATATTTAGTTTGAAAGTAAATTGTGAACCTCGACATATAGTTGTTGACAAATATCCAATTAATATCAAATAGAATGGAAAGAGATTTCATTGATTTATTAGAAATGTAGAAATCATCGATATGATTTTGTTTTGTTTTATTTGTAGATTTTTTCATTCTAATCAGTATTGAATAAACGTGTGTGCATTGACAAGATTCAAAATAATGTGTATGACATGAATTTTATCTCAAATTTAATTCTAAAATATGTGTTTCTATTCGAAATATATCCCAATTATTGAAAATAGATGAATGAATTTACATTATTAATGAATAATAATTTTCTTTGACTATTGATAAACAATGAGAAAAACTCAAATAATTACATATTCAAGAAATGTTTCGTTTCATTCATTTCTATTTATTCATAAATTGTTTCTTTAAAAATGATGTATACTATTGAGAATAAACTAATTCATTTTACCACTTAACTAAATTAATATACTTTGTAATTATTTGGAAATATTTAACTCAATGTTGAAATTATACATTTGAGTTCAATGAAATATCAACGATATAAAATTCATCTCTTAAAGTATCTCTACAATAAAAATCATTTGTATCACTTAATGTTCATGATTGTGATGCAAATGATCTTCTTACTTATTCTCTCTGCTATTCCATTTATTGACAAATTAATATTAAATAAACTGTCTATGTTAATCTGTGATTCTTCTCTAAATTATTCAACAAAAAAGTCAATTAATTATTTGTATATACTCGCATAATAATGAAAAAGATGATTTATTTCTTAATGAATGTCTTTCATTGTCATATTAATCTCAATATTCTTTTACTTATCTACGAATTAATTAATATTCGTGATTTATCAACTTTGAATAATTGACTAATATTTGTCTCAAATTTGATCAATATTCTCTTGTTAATTATCGAAAAGTTGGATTTTGTTTTGCTTTCTAATAGATATTCATTTTGATGTTAATGTTAAACAAGAAGATGAAAAGTTATTTTCTGATTCATTAAACTCATGTTCACATTTCTATTTCATCTGATTTGATTATCGATTTTTTTTCAATTTAAATTAAGAAATAAAGTACAGTTAAGTTTCACTGCTATTGTAAATCTTCGATCGTCTTCAAAACACTTTTTTTACATTACATTTACCATTGATTCATCAAGATCTAAAGTTAAATCGTCTTAACAATGATATTGGTATTCATATGAAACAAATGAAGAATTTTCAATTTTGGATCGAAATAGTTTCATTTATGATTATGAATGTTACACACTTTAACCATCTGAATGATTAAATCTATTTTTGAATGTGGATTTTACACAGAAAATTGTCAAATGTTATAATATTGATTGAAAAAAAAAGACATGAAACTATACGTAAATCATTTCTGAACATGTTAAAATAGAAATCATATCTAAGTAAATACAGTTTGATTTGATATTTATTTCTAAGATATTTTCTATGATTAAAAATAGAGACAAAATCACTTAAATAGAATTTTCGTAGTCTTGTTATTCGAAGATGATATGAAAATCAATCAAGTCATTTATCCTTGTTTTTTTAAAATATATTTTGAATATAATATCATTTTAAACCAATGGATTTATCACTACAATAATTCATTGGCTTAGTTGAATTCCTTATATATGAATATTAAATTTCAATAACGAACTTTTATCATAGAATTATATAATCATTCAAGAATTAGAAAATAGTTTGAATATAATGAATTATTATCAATGGTTAATCGTTTTAATAGAGTATCTTCGCTTTCTACAATTTTTTATTTAAAACAATATAAAATAAAGTTATCTTTGACAATTGACGAATTCTGTGCAGTTTTACATGAAATTTCTCATCGTTTCAATCGATTAAAATTGATTTCTTATTCAAACGTTTATATTGAACTTTGTTTTACTCAACAATCTTGAGTGAAAAACATTATTTATCCATATGTATTAGTTTTCATGACGTTTGTTTCTTTTGTCAACATTTTATTAGACATTCTTTGGATAATGATCAATATGTTTACAATAAAAGTAAATACAGAAGATCTATTAATGAAAGATAGATCATTTCGATTCATTTACTGGTTTATTTTATGAAAACTGATTATGAACGCAAAAATTACAATGATCAGATCAGAAGTGAGATTATCAAGAAAATGAAGTTCGATCTGGAATAAAAAATAGTCGCTAATGTAAATCACTAATTATACAATCACCAAGATGTACGCAGAAAGCGTGTTAAAATGGCATTCTAAAATGAAAATAGAGAATACAAAGATTCTACTATTGAAATTGAACATACCGGCATAGACCAAAGAAATAGAAGTACAAATATAACAAAACAAGTTAATAATAAGAGACCCAAAAGATACCATTTCGATTTTTTCCATATAATATTTTTAAATGTAAGATATGGAGATGTAAACCAAAGAAAAGATGTTTCAGGACGTCTATATGAAAATAAACTTAATTATGGTATATGAAAAGGAAATTTATTACTGTGGTAATTCTAATGTTGGATGTTGATTAGGTTTTTCTCGTCCACGTCCTGCAGGTCGTTCCAACGCTTCTTCTTCAGTTAAAATTTCCAATTCAATTTCAATTTTTCCCTGAAAATTGGATTATTTCTCAGGTATAAGATCCGTTTTTATGCAAAGTACTCACAGTTAATTGTGACTTTCCGTCGTGAAGATCAACACAAGGCCACCAACCTTTTAAACGTTTAATATCAAAGATTGAAACACCATTCGACGTTTGATCATCTAAGATATTCAACGTACAATCATCAGCGTCCTTCGCGGGTTTGCACAAATGATTTAAATCAAGTGTTAATGCACCTATTTTCATCAAAATAAGTTCAAACAATGTAGAAAAATCGAGATCCTACCGAGAAAATCATCTGAACTAAATTTATCATTATCCCATATTTGAAGATTCAATACTGGTGGAAGTTTCAATTCTGTGGTATCCAAACTCCAAAAATGTTCCTTTTTGTTAATTGATAAACATTGTTCTGCAGGAAAATACGCAAATTCATAAACAAAACGCCAATTAAAATTTCCTTCGCCATCCATTGACCTAAAACTCGATGACAATCTACACAAAACTATCTTGTCTAACTCACCGATAATGAACATCTGTCTTTTGTATATCATCTTCTTTTCCCGTCATCCATCCTTTCACATAAATATCAGACATTTGTTCTCCTGTAATCGATGTTTCTTGCAAAATCACTTCACTTGTGTTCCAGATGATACAACGAAGGATATAACTGAACGAAAAATATTTGTTCGACAATGAATTAGAAATTTCCAAGTGAAAATTACGGTTTGGGCTTCCGTGGTGTGACGACAAAAGGAGGTCCTGGTGGTCCTTGCGATAGCGGGAAAATATCTACGAATAATTCCAATCGACCTTGTTCAATCAGTGGTTGTAATGAATTATAAAGCGGCCGAGTTTCAATATGTTCAGGACAAAGTTGAAGTTTATGTAAAATATACAAAGCTAAACGTTCTTCGTCTTCTCCAACATGGGTTGATAAATGTTTTTCTTGTTCTAAACAGAGATTTGTAAAAACAAAACCCTGAGAAAACGTTTTCGTCAACAACCAACCGAAATCTTCTAAACGGAAAATCGAATCTCCGATTTGAATCGAATGACTATCAAGCAATTCAGGTAAAGGCAAATAATTTCGTTTACAAACATCGTAAAGAATTTTCTTTGGTCGAGCATTATCTCGCCATTGATTTGGACCGGTTCTAAAGAATAATCTCAAAAAAGATATTCTCTTTGAAAAAGTAACAGTTCTCACATATTGTATTGTAATGGTAATCCACATGTTGCACGATATTTACTTAGTAATCGGTTTTCTAAATCGATTGTTGTTTGACCGATGATTTCATCCGACGAAATCAAATCCCAATCTTTTATTCGAATAATTAGATCTTTGGCTAATGGGATTAGTGTTTTAATTTCAAAAAGTCTAGACATTTTCAGTGGTTTATCAAGAAATGAGAGAAGATTATAAGGATTTACTTTCCAAAGACTGGATTTGTTGTATTCGGAATTCGTTCATCTCGATTATCGAGTCGAATTTTACCCAATTGAATTTCGATATAAGGATCGGATTTGCCATTGGAATCTTTAGGTTGTAAATCGATACCCCGGATGATATAAATACGAATTAAACATTCTTCCACATTGTTCGATGGAAAATTTGACATCAGACGGTGTGGAAGAGCATCTTTGGGATTTTCCGACAAGGTATAAACTTTGAAAAGACCTTTAAATTCACCAACGATTTCATTTTCTTCTTCGAATTTTGTCTTTCCACGATATAATTTAAAATTTCGACAAAAGTCATTGAAGCCTTCGTAAAATTCAAATGATTCGAGTGAATATGGATAAATCTATAGAGCAAAACTTCGTTAATTTCCTAATCAAATGTCAATTTACCGTTAATGTTTCGTAATGTTTGTCGAGATAAGTTCCGCATTTATCCGATTGTCCTTTCGATGCGTAATATTTCGACCACCAATCGATATCGTCTTCACGAATGGTCTGAGAAATCAATAAAGAGTGAGGAGAAGTAAAGTAATTCGAACATACTTCATTGGAGAGAAGACTTTGATAGGATTGGTGAGATTTGAGAATTAGTTTTTGAATTTTCGATAATTTCGACTCGGTTTTCATTGGTGAATGCGATAAATTATGGTTTTTTAGAAAATTTTTAATTCGTTTTTTCATTGTCTTTTTATCAACTGATTTTGTTTCATCTTCTGTAGGCTTTGTATCGATTGAAGAGTCATTTTGTGATTTTGATAAATGAAATTTCTGCGAAAAAAACATAAAGAATATCTTTTGTTACGAAAGAATTTACCTTTTTTCGATGTTTCTTCTTTGGTTGAGCCATACTAACATTCGTTTTGGAAAGATCCTCAGCGGGTATTCCTAAATATTGTAAATAAACAAAATATCTCCAAAGAAAAGTGCCAAATACTCGATGTTTGCATCAAAGTTAACGACGGTTTCTTTGGATCACAACGAAATGTTTCCAAGGATTTGATAATATGATATCCAACAATTGGTTTTCTTCCGAATGAACGATGATCGCGTACTTTAATATTCATTGGTGGTGTGTATAAATCTTCTATAGGTAACATTACATCCAGAAATAATAAAGGTTTGTCAAAATTCGGTGTTTTCTTTGCATTTTTGATAATTGTAGATTCGATCTGTTGTCCACCGACTTCGAAGACCACTTGAGGACAATCGATATCCGATAACATGAAAGTTTTCATATTTCTCACACCCCAACAGAGAATCTGAGAAGAATTTCATTTCTTGCGAGATTTTCGTAAGTCAAATCATCAAACCTCAATTCCTGTTCGAACGAGTTTAGGCCGAATGGATTCAGGGACCATGTACAATGAACCACGTTGTGGTGGATACGGAGGCATTGTTTTTCCCGAGTCATTTTCGGGTAACTAAAATGAACGAAAAGATAAAATTTAAAGATTTTGTTGTGGAAATCTGTACTAAGAATAATTCGAATGCGGCTAATAATTCTCCGGCTGGATCATTTCCTCGCATGATTTGTAACCATTTTAATTTGACGATTGGTTTTGTTTCGTCAGGCGTTAAGCGAACTACGGGAGAACATTGAACACGACCGAGAAAATCCGGACTACCCTAAACGAGAGCTTTTCGAAATCAAAGTCATTTAACCACAATCAAAATTTACATATTCATCTTTATCGAACAATTCAATAAGAATATTTGGAGGATTATGATGAATTTCATCTGGTTCACCGTACAATTCCACATTGGAAAAGATCAAAGTCTACAGAACACACGACATTTCTTCAAATAATCAAACATACATACAAATTTCTACTTGATCCCATGTTGGACACAACGTTTTTTGAATAATTTCAGTACGTTGACTCTGATTGATAAAACCAATTTGTGCATATGGATCTTAAACAACATTCAAAATTTCATTTTCTATTCAAAATCCAATCTTACCTGAAAAACTATCGTAATCCATCGAAAGAAGGTCTCTTGCTTGATAGAGATAAACTCGAAGCTCATAATAATACGGTTCTAGGAAAAACTATTGTAAAATTTCATTCCGATCATAGTGTGAGATATACTTTTGAAACTAAGAAACATTCTTGGTGCAGTTAATTCAATTTTAATATCCTTCGTCTTCGGTGGTGACGGATCATTCGGTTTTGGTTTCGAAATTCGAGTTTGCATTCGGAAGACGATATCCGTATTCGCGACAGTTCCGTGATTTGGAAGATTTGTATCGATAAGTGAATTATCAGGAACCATTTTTCTATGCCATCGTCTTCGACGTGTCATGTCCAAACTACGTTCATCGGCGTGAAATTTCAAATTGAACATCGGTGCATATTCCCATCCGCCATTCGTTGAGACATTTGTCATCGCTCGTTTCTAAGATATTTTAGAGGAGAATTGATTTGTTAAGGAAGATAATTTTACTTTTCTTTCGAGAACATTCGGATCTTCTTTAAGAATTCGAGTTCGATACCAACGTCGTCGACGTGTTAAATGGAATATTTTCTCTACTGGACACCAACCACTCAATGTTTGATTGACAGAATATTCAAAACCTAAAAAATAAAATCTACATTCAATGACCAATCTCCTATTATTATTAACCTTCTTCATCGACAGCTCGATTTGTATCAATTGTCCAATTATCTTCCCATTCCCATCCTTCCGGTGGATCATTTCGTTCATCTTTACTTGCTACTTTATCGCCAACCTAGAATAATCAAATGAATTAGAAGCAGAAGATTATTTAATTCCATCCTTACTAAATCAGTCCATCCAATTGCTTTGGGTTGCCATTGTGCTCCAGCAATGAGACGATATTGATGTTCATAAACTTCTTCAGTAAATTTTCTATGTCCAGCATCATCTGCATATCGCGCACTACAACATTTTACTTTTAGACTTGCAGCGTTCGCCACTGAATAGTGTTACCTTATTTCTGGACTGATATACCAATCACCATCCCATCGCCATCCGTCTGGAACTTTAAAATTTTGTTTTAATAAACTCATCTAGAAACTTGAATGTAGATAACGAAACAAAATATTGGTTTTCTCACATTTCCTGTTACATCTGACCACATTGGTCGAGTCATTAATGGTCCTGTTGTTGTCCATTGACCGAGAACATTCGTTTGATTCTCGTAGGTTTCAGCGTAAATTGCTAAATCCGCTCCTTTCTGTTGTGATAACCAATCTTGTTCATAGATTGATAGTCCAAACCAAATTTTCACTCGAATTTCCGCTGGAATAAAAAACCGTTTGTCTTTTTCGATATCTTTCTGCTTTCCAGGCCACTTTAATGTTATCGTCTGAACTTTTCCACAAAGATGTCCACGCCGGTCCGCATTCGTCGAATAGAACACTTCATTTGCCGGCAAACGATAATACGCATAACGTTTCCCATTTGCCAATAACCAAATAATCACATCTGGAATACTATTTTGCGGCTAAAGATGGAATAGTTACGAGAAGACAAAGATCAATGAACAATAGATACTTCTAATTGAAGATGTTCAAGCTTTTGTCGAATATCCTCCATTGTTTGGATGATTTCTTCCGAATTTTTCGCCCGAAGCTTCAAATCTTCCAATTTGTTAACCATATCCATCAAATCTTTTTCGCGCATTTGACGTCTCAGTCGATCGAGTTCATTGATATAGTATCGACCTGGTTCAAAATCCGGCAAAGGTTTTCTAAACAATCAGATGAGCGAGAAAAGTTCTTTTTCGAAGAAAATATTCACTTTAAATGCAATATGATCATATCTAACGATTGTTTATAACTTCGAAGAAGAACTTCTTCCGATAATCTCTTGATTTTCAATAAATCCAATGTTGATAAAATCCCATTCTGAAAATTCCGAAAGAAACATTTTTAGATTTTTAAAGTGAAAATTTCGATTTACAATGAATAATTTGATTTTCAAGATTTGATTCATTGCTTCTAAACGAAAGTTGATATCTTCCCATTCACTCGTCACTTGCACACATGGTTTCGTATGTTCCCACGGAAGGAAATAATAAGCTGTCCCATCAAATACTGGATTGGTTGGTGGAGTTGTCGAACAAGTTCCATTCTCCATGGGATTATCAAATTTATTACCATAATTTCCAATACTCATTTCAAATTCAACACTCGATTCGTGATCATATAACACTGACGCATCGAGAAATGCCGCATGTAATTTGTACTTCTTACGGGATTGATATGGTAACGTACGAATCAAATCGGAATTCGACAAGTCGCTGATAGTTTCTTTTGGTGTTTCGCCGACAAGTGTTTGCAACTCGATGAATAATCGACCACGATAAGCAACACCTTCATCCTGTTTGGAAGTGTTTAAATTAAACCAAGAATTTATAACCACTAAATCTTACTTTGCCGTTGTTTAGTACATCCAAAGCTGTAGGAAGTCCGGAATATTCACGCGGTGCACCGTAAAAATTTATCCAACATGGGCCGAACGTTGGAAGAAAACCTGAATTCTTCGAGGTAAAGATCGAATAGAATAATTCTTCACTTTCTTACCATTTCCTCGATCGTCACAAATCGATCGAACATGTAATAAAGTTGTTCCTGTCACATCATCGAATTGTAAACGATCCCTAACGGATAATCGACTCGATTATTGATCAGAAAAAAAAATCATTTTCACTTACCAGTCTATGATCGTCAGAGTTATTTTATCACACATTGATGGAAACTAAATATACGAGAAAATCAAAGTTAGTTCAGATCGAATCTTCGAGCTTACTTTTAGGCCAAGTCGAAGTTCTTGATTGAATTCCGGATGTGAGCATGTATAGACAATTTTTGATGAAATCTTAATAGAAATTTCCTTTCGATTATCAATTATATCAATCAATTGAGATACCTGTTGACCAGCGAACGAAAATTTCACATAGGGATCGATTAATTCTTTGACGTCTTCTGCTGTATGAAAGATCTTTTTAACTCCATTCAAAAATGCACTATCCACTAAAGTGTAAAACGACCTTTTATCAAAACAAACAAATCCTTTTCGTTAAAACAGACTTCGTGGTAAATCTTCCGCTTTGTAAACTTTCAAAACGAATGTTGCTGGTCGAAGCATTAGTCCTGTTGGTTTCAAAACATTACTTTCAATATCATCATCATCATCTTCGTTTTCTTGCGACTAAAAATTCTCAAAAACACTCAAATTTTTCTTAAGTTTTCATTCTCTTACTGGTGCTTCATCACCTGGTCCCAAAATATTAACTGAAACTTTCAAATAACCTTTTCCTGCAATCATTCGTTGATCTTCATGACACAATAACAACCATTTCCGATTAATCGAATGTTTGATTTGAGAATAAACATAAGAAATATCCAATTTAAATCCTCCGATTTGCATATCCGATCGAAGTGTTCGCGAATTACAAACTTCGAATTCGATGATTTCGTCGCATAATTCCGTTTCGGATAGATTTACGTTGAAAAAGAACACTTCATTGAAATACGGATGATTCGTACCAGTTTGAATTTTTGTTTGTTTGACTAAATTTAAGATCCGAACACGACAAATCGGATGAATGTTACTTCCGATTAATTGACGAGCTTGGAAAATTTTCACTCGAATTTGAAAATCTTGACTTTTTGTTGAACGAGTTTTAAATAGCTGATTCGAAGTTAACTCCGATTTCCATAAAATTTCGTTCTTGAGGTTCATAGGAACATCAGACGTTTCTACATATCAAATTCCAATTGGCAATACATCAATCACCGTAGAAAAGATGTTTACCTGTCAGATATTCTAATGTTAAGTATAGTTTTGTCTAAATTTTGAAACTAAGATTAAAATAAATTGAATTTTGATAGAACTTACATTTTTGAGAACAACGTGTTGTTTGATGAGACCGGTGCGAATAAGATCATTGAGCGTTAATTGAGTTTGACCAATGTGTCTCAAAGAGAAGAAGATATTCAACTAAATTAATCTATCGAAATGGAATTTACTTATTAGAACTGGCCTTGTCACGATCTTCTAAATGAATTTCTAATGATTCTGTATTTTTCAAAGGCACGCCATTTAAAGAAAAGTCGACTTTCTAAAAGAATTCAATCAATTCAACGAGATATTCTTGAGAACTATTTTGTTCTACTTGGTCCAATTTCGGAAGTTCGAGTGACGTTCGTTGCCAACTGATTTGTTTTGATACTCCTGTATATATCAAACATATTTTTATAAATTACAAAGAAGAATCTGAAGATTACCTTTAAGGGTAAATGTAACTAGTAGATCAATATTTGAAGAATGTTCCAAATTAGGAACATATTCGATGTTATGAACAGTGATTTGTAACATGATTTAATGCTGAAATCAAATGCGTAGTTTGATGTCCCGTTGAAAGCGCAAACATTGAATAAATATAAATTCATTCTTGTTTTCATAGGAATATTTTGGTACCAGATGGAACCCGTATGAATATCGTATTCAAATGCAAATTGTCAGTATGATTACAGTTACATTTGAGTAGGATGTGAATATCATCATTTTGAAAAACTGAACTGAATCGAACGTTTGGATCATCTGCAAAACACATCATTTCGCAACTCGTGTTCTTTAATTTCATGACGAAAACGATGTTTCGTCTGCAACTGATCAGCCATTTTAGCTTTTGTTAATTGAATGCTATTCACAAATTTTTCTCTCTCTACAACCATCACTTGATAACATTGAAAAATTTCAATGATAAAATCTGTGACGAAGTCAAGTATTCCAAAATAAACAAAGCAGATAAGAGAAAGGCTCGTTTTCTTTTTGTAATTAATTTATATTTGTGTAGACTAAACCATTCCTTTTCTTATCATCGATCAAAATATTCGTTTTGATAAATGACAAACGTATAATTTAAGTAGCTGGTATTGGTCAACTTCACATCCAGTCGTGAAAGATGAACTTTGATCTCATCTTTTTCTTTCTTTTCTATTCTTCAGACAGACAGTCATTTGACTATTTGTAGTGTGTGTGTATGCAATGGATAAAACACTGAAATTCATTTCATTCATTCTCTGGTTGATTCGTAGTTTTCTGTCCATATGGATTCATCTTGGTTTTCGTTTAATATTTGGAAATCAAAAGAATAAATTACCAGCGATTAAAAGCCAACTATTACTTCAACCAGCAACGGTCATTGCCAAACGTATTCGTGAACGACAGGTAATTCTTTTTCTTTCTCCTAAAAGTATTCAATTTTGTATTGCTTAGATCACAGCTTATGAAGTTGTTCAAGCTTACATCGATCGGATACGAGATGTTCAACCGTATTTGAATGTTTATGTCGATGAAAGATTTGATCAAGCTTTGAATGAAGCACGTGAAATCGACCGAATGTTAGATAATGAAAAAACTTTGCCTGAAGTCTGGTCCGAAGAACGAGCACCATTTCTTGGTGTTCCCTTTGCTATTAAAGAGTCGATGCAGTTTCCAGGCTTTCACAATTCAACTGGAATCGTTTCAAGAAAGAATTTCATCTGTACAGATACAGCAAAAGCTGTAGAAAATATGTTAAAATCTGGTGCGATCCTTCTATGTAATACAAATGTTAGTGAAGGTTGTATGTGGTTTGAATCGTAAGTTAGCTTACAGGAATCAACACAAGATGCGATTGTTCTTTTCCTAGACGAAATTCATTGTATGGCACGACCAACAATCCCTATGATCTATCACGAATTGTTGGCGGTAGTTCAGGTGGTGCTGGTTGTATTGTTTCAGCAGCTGGTGTTCCATTTGCTGTTGGTTCAGATATAGGTGGAAGTATTCGATTACCTTCATTTATGAATGGAATTTTCGGACATAAGACAACACCAGGTAATGATTAGAGGATAATTTTCACTGTGAGAGATGTTTATTTTCGTAGATATTGTGCCGAACGAAGGTCAATTTCCTCCACATAAAGATTATCATCAAAAGTATCTGTTAGCAACGGGACCTATGTGTCGATATGCAAGTGACTTACAGCCGATGCTTAAAGCTCTAGCAGGAAAAGATAATATTGAAAGATTGATCAGTTTTGATACTTCGGTAAGACTAATTCGAAAATAAATGAAAAGATAAATCCATGTTGGTATTTAAAGGTTGATTTAAGTAAACTACGATACTTTTATATCGATGAAATGGATGCTTATTTTGTGAATAAAGTTAATCATGAACAAAAACGAGCACATCGGCGAGTAGGTTCTTTTTTCATTCAATTCAATAAACTTATTTGCTTTGATTTCGTCTAGATTGTCCAGCATATTGAAAATAAATACAAGGTTCATGTCACACGACTACGTCTGACCCGTTTTCGTTATGCCGTTTCACTTTGGGCATCGATGATGGTCGATGGTCACTTATCTTCACGTGATTTCTCTTTGACACTTTTCAATGACACATCATATCTCAAAGGTTATCATGAATTATTACGCAAATTTTTATTCCGTTCAACACACACATTACCTGCACTTGGTCTCGCTATACTAGAAGCTCTACCAAATAAATATAATAAACGCTTCCATCACTTGGCTCATAAGTTCTACGATGAAATTCAAGTTTTATTAGGTAACGATGGAGTTTTATTTCTTCCCACGTTTCCTCAATCTGCACCATATCATGCTTGGCCATTACTAATGAACACATTTGATTATATTTATTGTGGAATCATCAATGCATTAGGTTTACCATCAACTCAATGTCCACTTGGATTAGACACTCAACGATTACCCTTGGGTATTCAATGTATTGCTGGTCGTGGACATGATCAATTGACATTAGCTATCGCACAAGAAATTGAGCGTGCACAACAAGGTGGATGGGTATCACCATCATCATTACCAACTTCTACATAAATTCAATTTTTCGTTACTTTTTTAATTCAATCTAATTAATTTATCTTTGTACGACTATTTATTTTCAACTAAATCAATGATTATCAGATGGAATACTTTGGCTCCTCTGTCTTAGGAGAGATCGATCGAAAGGGATCATGTTCGAGTCCACACTGACGAACACCGAAAGTGATGACACTTTTAGACCGTGTTTATGAACCGTACATGCGTCATGATTCTTCTAATCATATAGATCTGATTCGGTGAATTGGAAAGAAGAAAACTATATTTTCATCGGCGATGACGAAAACTTGACCTTGGAGATATGAAATCTCTTATGATTCGACACCCGTGTTACTGAGCCGATTGAGATTTTCTCTTCTTTCTATGATATTCTGGTAACGGAGAGTATTAGTAGAAAACAAATATCTATTCACAAATGTTCTCAATGAGAAATACAGTTTCAAACAGCAAAGAAAAGAAGTGAGTTTTCTTGAGATCAGTTGATTAATATGTCTTCCGCCTAAACAAAAAATCGTTTTCAGAAAAAGGTTCGCTTTTTCAAACATCCTGTTGACAAAAATATTTTCATTCGAAAATATATATGCATAAAAGGGATCTTGAAATTTATTACGACCGCTTGCTAACGGACACGAACGAGACGCTACACAACAAACAATGCTTTTCCATCAATTACTGCCACCTTTTTTAGAAAAGAAGAATGCAACTGAAATAAATATTTGCTTTATAATTCTGTTTTCTGTAACGATATGACAGCCGTAATTAGTTCAATGCAGTTGCATGATATCATACAAAATATTTGTTATGTTGACAACCCGAATATCTGAACAATATAAGCGGAGAAAAATTCTATCATTTGTTACAAATTTTATGGGCTTTGTCTTGAGCTATATTCTATGAGGATCCTAAGAAAATTCATGATATTCTTGTTTCGGATCCGTGCGTGGGATTGCTCGATCTGAGTACGCGTCTTTGCCGGCTTTTTCTCATTTTTCTTGTTATTCACATTATCTACTTCTCGCGTTAGCCATCTTTTATTGACATAAATGACCACCGATTCAGGTACTGAATATTTGTATTTATTCGGAAGAAAGAAGTACAGTAAATGGTTGCATAAGTTTTGTTTAGCGTACACCAGATAGCAAAGACAGACTGACCTGACACGATGAATTTTGCAGGAAACTTGGAGTTCTTCAAAACAGACTTAATATATCTGCGCAATACATATAATTGTGAATGACTGAACTTTTACATATGAACGGCGTGTTCATCGTTGTATATTCATATCTGTTGTCAAAAACGATTAAAGAAAATCGTATATATGACGTTCTCATTCTTTTTCTTTCTATGTTAAATCGATCATCACAATACATCTCGAATACAATCCGATGATCATATAATACTCGGAGATAGCTTTGCTCGAATGAAGAAATACGAATTTTAGGAGTGACAAATTAAGCTTATGTTATGTTTGGTTGCATATGAACTGATTGACATACTATCTTCTAAAAAGAGGAGCATATTATATGGCATAGTAACTCATTGATTCGTTTAAGAACGGTGGAACACATTAAATTATGTATGAAACCATAAAGGATGTTAAAATAGACACTATGATAGAAAATTCACGTTTTATTTGAGTTATGAGTTTTAGATTAACCATATAAGTGACATTTTTCGTATATATCCGAACTTTCAATCATTCAACATCTAAATTTTGTCTGACAGAAAAACTAAAGATAACTTAACGGAACAAATATGTTTCTGAGATGATCGATCGAATATTCATTTACTCATTGTCTATTATCATTTTATTAGAAGAATTTTTATTGCAATCAAAGTAATTACGAAGAAAGACATCAAAAGAAGTTGGGAGAGCTGTTATTTATATTTCGTTACTATTGTATGTCTCTCTATGGTATGTAAATGTTTTTATCAAGGTATTTTATCACTTTGCTTTTCATTCTCGATTAAATAAATGAAGAGTTTATATGTTTCTATGAAGAAATATGATAAGAGAATCGATAAATTACCATGTTCAATAACAAATACAATACTAAATCAAACTACTTTGAATATTTTATTTAGAAATATTTTTAAAAAAATCATACTTAAATAAGTACATTATCATATTTTATATTATCCACAGTTCTACCAACCATTGTTTTCTCAACATTTGATTTGAACAGATCGATATTTTGATTGTATACAGCAGCAGCATCGTGGTTTAATGGATCATGTGGATTTGGCTCCTGAAGAAAGGCAAAATGAATCTATTCGTTACAATTGTAATACTTCTACTTACTTTAAATAGAAATACCAAACCGATAACGATTGTTTCTATTGAAAGCATCGGTTGCCAATCTTCTCTAAAAGAAAAAGATGATTGAATGTTTACAAAAAAAAGCATCTGAAATCGTTACCTTAGAATATTTAAACAAACATTTCCATTTAAATCGATATTTGGATGATAAATGATCTGTGTACATTTGACTTTCGGTGGACTGAACGGATATTCATCAGACACGATGACCGAGAAGACAAAACGACCTCCTTTATATAAACCCTAAAGAATCAAATAAACGAACATTCCTTTTGTTTGCTCAACTAACCTCATCGGGTGAAATTGTTACAGTAAGATGAGAAACATCAGCAGGATCATCTGGAGCTACTTGACAAATTGATGGCAAAGAATTTAAATCCGCGAGATCTATAGTAAAACCATTTATAAGATACACAAGAAGAGATGTGTGGATTACCTTTGAGAAGTCGAAGACGAGAAAATGACGCGGATTTTCTATTTGCTTCGGATGACGAAATGCCAAACATGTTTTCAACAACTTTCTTCTTTTGCAATTTCGAGAAATGACAATGAATTCCACCATTTTATACTTTTTCGATGCGCTCATGACGCATAATACGTATAATTTCCTAGTAAATATAGTCATGACATGATGTGTCATATAAACCGAGCTTTTACGAGCACAAGTGAAGAAGTTGATTGATCATACTTTCATTCAAAATTGTCCATTCGATAGCGAATGACGAAAAAACAACAGAAACACACGCGACATCTTCTTGTAAAAGTTGTATCAGTTTTATATACCATTTACTAAAATTTTCTTTAGCTTTTAACTTGGTTACATTAGACATAGTTCATATCTCTCATAAATTTGTTTCAGGATTGTTTCCACGACAAAAAAGAAACACATCATATGACACTATTAATAGCAAACTTGAATAATATACTCTCGTCTTTTTTTCCTCATACTTTCTACGATGAAGTAGATCATGTTTTTGTGTTACCAATGTCAACTTGATAGTAGAAAAGAAAAGAATATTTTCTTTGTCTATAGAAAACGGTCTACTTTTCATCAAGAAAAAGGAAGCCGTCGGAAAGGAAAGCATATCCTATTACTTATATGTGATATTTTATTCACGTTTCATACGTTTATCTTCTTGTTCAATATTTCTTTATTCTTTTCCCATACGGTCTTGTCAAGGTTACACAAACATGTATTAGTAAGTGATGTCATGCGATTGTGTTGATATGAACATGGTTGTCATATAGTCATAGAAAAGAGAAGAAACAGCAAAACAATATTTACGTGGCAAATACTCCTTTCAATTGCATTGTTCTCTTCTAAAAAAAAAAGAGGAAAAGAGTCGTCGAGAAAAAAATTGCTTGTTGCTTGGTGTCTTGCGCCAGTTGAAAAGTGATTGTGAAATTTCAAGGCAGCTTTTGTGTATATATATTTTTCAAATTAAAAAATCTTCTCAACAGGATATTTGAAAAAGTAAATCATGGGTTGTGGGTCAAGTTTATCCATTCATAAGAATAAAATAGTCGATTCAACTGCAACAAGTAATACATCAATATTCAAATCGAGTAAATTATCTTCGATAAATAAGTCGGCTGAGAAACGTGAAGAAAATTTCGAACCATTTACACTCGCTTGCTTGGGTAAAAATTTCGATGAAAATGATCCAGATTTACGATCAGTGATTAATTATATTTGCTGTTTCAATGATTCGGATCAATGTGAAGAATTTCTCAAAGATACCAATAGAAAAACTGGCATTTTCCTTATCGTTTCTTATCAATATTTAACTAATCTCATTTCTCACATACACGAACTACCGCAAATTCTCGCCATTTATATTCATCAAGATGATAAAACGAAACATATTGACAAACATTGGACAAAAAGATATTCAAAGGTAAACAAAAGTCAGAAAGCATGTTTTTGACCGAGTAGTAATGCACTTTGAAGTGTATTTTTGTTTTTCGATTAGTAGTCAAGTTTAGTTTGTAAGGTGAATGTGTTGATTGCATTACGAGGATTGAGAAGCTTTAAAAGAGATCAGAAGTGTATTCATAAACGAGAAAAACTATACAGAATGTGGACAAGAATAAAGTGTTGTCAGAATCTTAATTAGAAGGGCGGTGATCAGCCCACCTATGACGCCATAGATCGAAAACGTTGATATTTTGCAAAAGCAACTGTTCTTTTTTTAAATTTAGATCAAAGGTGTTTATTTCGATCGTGAAAGCCTATTGGAACAATTGTCATGGGATGTGAAAATTTCGTTGAATATTCATGATTTAGTCCCTATAAGTGTTTATAGCCGTATAGATGCAATTCAAACCTCTAACAATTCTACCGACCATCTTCGTTTTCTTTTTTATCAATTATTCATTCAACAATATTGTTTAAACTCTTCGAAAACGTTAACCAATCATGATTTTCTCAAATTTGCTCAGAAATACTACCATGCTAATCGGAAAGAATCGAAACTAATCAAACAATTCATTAATGAATGTCATTCACCGAAAGATCTTTTCTTCTGGTTTCTTCAAAATTCTTTTCTTCGTCGGATGTTCACTCAATCTTTATTAACGTTGGATATTCAACTTTTATTCTTCTTAAGATATTTCATTCACGATATGCATAGTTACATGGTTGAACAAGCGACAAATTCAAATCAAAGATCGAATTATGGTGCCGCGAGGTCTAACAGTACACGATTAACAAGTGAAAAGGTGTTTTATCGAGGTCAAGCATTAGCGAAAGATACATTTCTTAAAATCAAATCCAACATTGGTAAGGACGATTTTGTAAAGAAGTATCTTCATTGATTTGTTTTTTGGTTATTTTAGGCGAAATGTTATCAATGAACAATTTCGTTTTAGCAAGTAAAAATCGTCAAGATTGTTTAGCGAATCTACGTCAGAATGTATCAACAACAAATTTAGTTGTTCGAGTTTTATTCGAAATCAAAATTCCATGGGAATATTCTCAACAAAAACAACGTCCGTTCATTGATTTAGATCAATCTTCATCAGATGACGATATTTATTCAACTGTATTTTTTATTGGTTCAATCTTTCGAATCAACACCGTGGAATTCGATATCAATAATGATTGTTGGACAATTCAATTGACCTTATATGACGAGAAAAATAATCAGGATTTTTCTCAAGTATTTACATTTCTAAATAATTTTAAAAGCGTGAGTACACAGAATGCAACAACACCTGCCAATCTTCTTCGACAAATCTCCCCAAACTCGGCCGAACAGTTTTACAAATATTTATTGAAGGAAAATGATGAGTCTTTGTCAAAAATCGAATGTTATCGTGGTCTCGGTCTTTGTTCGTACGCGAACAATGATTATGGTCAAGCATTAAGTTACTTTGAAAAAGCCTTACAATACAAGCCGACTGATAAACTCACGAAATCAACATTACATAACAGTATCGGCCTTGTCTATGCTCGACAAAATCAAAATGAACAAGCATTGAACCATTTTAACAAGGCTTTAGAATATACTTCATTGCCATTACATTCAGCGTGTATTCATCATAATCTTGCATTGATTTACAGTCAACAAGAGCAGTATGAAGAAGAATTAGAACATTATGAACAGGCGTTGAAACTTCGAACACAACAATTACCAAGTCAACATTTGCAATTGGCCTCGTTACATAACAACATCGGAATTGCATATTCGGATATGCATGATTATGATAATTCATTGTCGAATTTAAAAACAGCTTTGGAAATTCGATTGAAATTACTATCTGATTCTCATATTGATGTGGCTAGAAGTTATGCAAATATTGGTACGGTTTATTCTAAAACACAAGAGTTTCGTATGGCTTTGGATTATTTCACTAAAGCTCATCTTCTTTTGGAAAAACAGACACAATTACCTGAGCAAGATATCGAACAATTGAAGAAAAACATCAAAATTGTTAATGATAAACTTCGGTAAGATGACCAAAATCAAATCATTCTTTTTAAATGATTTATTTGTTTAGGCGGAAGACATATTAATCGACTGATCTCAAGAAAACTCACTTCTTTTCTTTGCTGTTTGAAACTGTATTTCTCATTGAGAACATTTGTGAATAGATATTTGTTTTCTACTAATACTCTCCGTTACCAGAATATCATAGAAAGAAGAGAAAATCTCAATCGGCTCAGTAACACGGGTGTCGAATCATAAGAGATTTCATATCTCCAAGGTCAAGTTTTCGTCATCGCCGATGAAAATATAGTTTTCTTCTTTCCAATTCACCGAATCAGATCTATATGATTAGAAGAATCATGACGCATGTACGGTTCATAAACACGGTCTAAAAGTGTCATCACTTTCGGTGTTCGTCAGTGTGGACTCGAACATGATCCCTTTCGATCGATCTCTCCTAAGACAGAGGAGCCAAAGTATTCCATCTGATAATCATTGATTTAGTTGAAAATAAATAGTCGTACAAAGATAAATTAATTAGATTGAATTAAAAAAGTAACGAAAAATTGAATTTATGTAGAAGTTGGTAATGATGATGGTGATACCCATCCACCTTGTTGTGCACGCTCAATTTCTTGTGCGATAGCTAATGTCAATTGATCATGTCCACGACCAGCAATACATTGAATACCCAAGGGTAATCGTTGAGTGTCTAATCCAAGTGGACATTGAGTTGATGGTAAACCTAATGCATTGATGATTCCACAATAAATATAATCAAATGTGTTCATTAGTAATGGCCAAGCATGATATGGTGCAGATTGAGGAAACGTGGGAAGAAATAAAACTCCATCGTTACCTAATAAAACTTGAATTTCATCGTAGAACTTATGAGCCAAGTGATGGAAGCGTTTATTATATTTATTTGGTAGAGCTTCTAGTATAGCGAGACCAAGTGCAGGTAATGTGTGTGTTGAACGGAATAAAAATTTGCGTAATAATTCATGATAACCTTTGAGATATGATGTGTCATTGAAAAGTGTCAAAGAGAAATCACGTGAAGATAAGTGACCATCGACCATCATCGATGCCCAAAGTGAAACGGCATAACGAAAACGGGTCAGACTTGTAGTCAACAGTGTTACCTAATTCGATTTTGTTCTCTTTCAATCCTTGGGCAAGTTCTGTCGAACGTATGCGACAGTTATTTGCCACACATCCATGATCAAGTAAAAAAGCTCGTAATTGAGCAATTTTCAAGGAAAGATATTCTTTCCATCAACTATCCGCAGCATATAAAATATCTTGGACACGGACTCGAGATTTTCTTGAACGGATTCGCACACGGGTGTATTCCAACTCTGATCACATTTGTTCCAGGTGGAACTCGGTGAGCTCTATCTACTCCAATCATCAAAAAACTTTCACCCATCCTCACCCTCACTGAATAAGATGTTGATTCCGTTGCGCAGTGCGAAATCTTTTTCCTAGTGTATGATTGTTTGTATAGAAAAAGCTGTGGTTTACGACGATTGATAGTGTAGGTGTGGGTGGAGTGAAAATTTTATGATTGGAACCGATAAAGCTCATCAAGTAGTACTTGAAACCAGTGTTGGTTTGATTGGAACCTACGCTGAAACAAATCCGCTCAAGAAAATGTTGAATCCTGTCCGAAGGTATCCTACATCAGGTTTTCATGATCGAGAGGAAAATATTTTTCCGAGTAGTTTTCATAGATGGCATGCATTGCATGACAAAAGTAATTATAGAAGAGTAATCTCTCACGCTAGATGTCGCTTTGAGTTTATATTAATTCGTCATTAAATAGCCTCTCGTCATCTTCTATTCGACTTCGAGTTAACGTTCACTTTCAAAAGTTTTTCTTTTCGTCCTTTTCTGTTTCAATACATCATGGTTCTACAAACCTTGCTTCCTAATCAACATACATATGAAAAGAAAATACGCGACATGATTTCGAGAAATTCGATTGAAATTAGTCCTTTGCAGTATGTAAATCCTTTTCCTCCCATCCAAATCAAGAGAAAATCTAAACAATTGAAAGTGTATGACTGACGAAACTTCTGATAGTATTTAAATACGATGATGTCCTTATTTCGGAATAAATTTTTTTCAATATTTGTTTGTAGATGAAAAAAGGCAAAGTAGCCCCGGTTATTGTTGAAACCAAGGTTGGAAAATTTCTTTTCCGAGACTTTCGTCCGCCTATTCAATTACGAACATCACCACGTAAAATCAAAACCAAAATTAAAAAGGATCTGAAAAGATTGGACGAAAATTCTTCAGGACTATTAACGACTAAAACACATAAGAAGAAACTGAATAAAGTGAAAAAACAATTAATTTTTCAAGAAGAGATCGATAACGGAGAAGAAAAAGATGACGAATCTCTTCTATTTGTTATTTCAAATGATGAACAAGATATTCAATTCAATGAAGACGAATTAATCAACAAAAAATCAATGTAAACGAAACGTTTTTTTCATCTATTATAATTCCTCATTTTTGAAAACTTTAGCCTTTGTTTTGTTAATTCGAAAACACGTCGAGCATTGATCTTTTCACCTCGATCATGTCGAATAACTTTACTGGGAATCTTTTCCTTACGACAAATCTTCGGTTTACCTGCGAATCTTCATGGCTTTACTCTTGAATTGTCTGAATCTTATTCAATCTTTAATCTTTCCTCTCAATCATTGATGTCAATCGAAACAACAACATCTTCATCGAAACACTCGCTTTCAGAAAATCAAATTCGAACATTTTTCGACGATTACCATCTTCAATTATCATCACCCGATACATTTGTTAGCGTGATTCAAAAACTCTCGAAAATTCATCATGGTTTATCGGTTTTCTATATTGAACAACTTCAAACTACTTGGGTCGAATCAATCAAAGAATTTTGTCAAAATCATCCATTAAATCAATGGTTATTCAATAATAAAAACAATGCTGATAGTGATGAAGAACAAACACAAAATAGCGACAGTTTCAAACAATTGTGGACGGGAATGGGTGTTTTTAAACATAGTTATGTAAGTAACGGATTTAGAAGACGAAAGTTATGCCTGAGTTTTGCCTTCGTTTAGACTCAATCGATCAGATATTCAGATGATATTGAATCTGTGACAGACTCGATTATTTCTCGTCTCTTAACGAGAACATCTGATAGTCCTTTGATTATCTTTGTTTGTGGTGCAAAAGATTCGGGAAAATCCACATATCTTCGTTATTTAATCAATAAATGTCTATCACGAACATCTGATTCCTTAAAAATTACGTTTTTGGACAGTGATATTGGTCAAAGTGAATTCACGCCGAGTGGTTGCATATCATTAATCACGGATCTTCATCAGCCATTATTTGGTCCATCGGCATCGCATTTAACCAAACCGTTGAAATCATTTTACTTTGGAGATATTAAAGTTGAAAATGACAAACTTGTTCAGTATTTGAATTATATTAAGTATTTATATGATTTCATTCAACATCGTCAACAAGATTTATTAGTTGTGAATACAATGGGATGGGGTTCAGATTCTGGTCTTGTAATCATGAAAGAACTGATCGATCTGATCAAACCACATATCCTTATCCAATTACGTTCATCGAATCCACATTTTCGTCATACTATGCCTGATCTTGATTCCCAATGGACATTAAGTGCACCTATTTCTGAATCTTATCGTCAAATAAATCATATTCCATTGAATTTCTCATACAATCATTATGAATATCATTTATTATTAACACCTGTTCGTCAACATAGTCATGGCAAATCGAATTTAACTCGTCAAGCTTGTCTCTGGTCATATTTTTGTCAATTAGAAAACAAACATTTTCTTCTCAAGCCGTTAATCGATTATGTCAATCAAATTCAAGTTTTTTCCTTTGATAAAATTGGTATTGGTTTACTACATCGACAAATTCAACCAAAATATTTCTTGCAAGTCTTGAATGGATCAATGATTGGTTTATGTCGAGTCAAGTCAGATATGGTTTGTTGTTTTTCTTTAGTTGAATTGAATAAATGAGGTGTCAGATGTGTTCGAACCTACTTTAGTTCCAAGGGCAATGATGAAATTGTAGCCGGAGTAATGAAATTTTCAATTTATGATTCTTTGCTTTTCTGAGCCCAATTTATAATCGAAGACAAGTTTTTTATTTATTTATTTTATAGTTATATCATACATCACATTCATATCCAGCTTTGATTGATGAACGAGCAAATCTTGAATGCTTTGGATTTGGTAAAAGATGAAAAATCAAATATTGATTTTATTTTGAATGAGAGATTTTTTCAAGGTTTTGTCCGTTCAATTGATATGAATCGTCGGGAAATTCACGTGATTATTCCTGATCAAACATTACCGAAATCGATGGTAAATGCTTTAGTCAAAGGACTTGATGATTGTCCAGATGAGTTTTATTTCATGTCAATCGATCGAGTAAGTCATATTTTTACTTTTGTAAGATCTATTATAAAATTCGATGAAATTATTTTAGTGGCGAGGTCAAATGCCTCCTTACGTAACTGGTATAATCAATTCAACTGTATGAGAAAATTCAAATTTATGTATAGAAGACAAACATGCATTGTGCAATTGTAAAATCAAATTGAAAAAAAAAAGAGATTTTGTCAATATACAAAAGCATCAGTAAAGAACGTGTGTGTTTTTTTTTCCTTTGTTCACTCTTCAAGAACTATCTAATAGATATTGATGCACATTCGTATAAAATTATCATAGGAAATATTACAAGGTATTTAATTGTTTTCCATCAATTTTCTTTAAATTATTTCTATATTGGAGATCAGAGACCACCGGATGACGATTTTTCTGTCTCGTCTTGCCTACTACAGAGACTTTTTCATAATTCATTTCTAATAATCAAATATGAGACGAATATTTTTCATTGTATATAAGTTTGTTTTCGAAAAGTTCAAATCCATCTAGCGAATCAAAAAACAAAGTTTTCTTTTTGATATGAGAACCTCTTGAGGCATCTCGTGTACACAAATGTATAGCGTGTATATTGTTTGTAACTTATGGAATTAAAAAGGTTTGCTTTCTCAAAACAGACAACGTTATGTACCTCAATCAACACTCAAACATGTAGAAGACATCGCAATAAAAATTTCGATTTAATTAAACAATTACCTATATCATTATTTGAAACACTGGGATATATTTTTAAAAAAATCATTTTTCTGTAGTTTCTAGTGTGATGTTTTCCTCGTCATGCTAATATTCATCGTATTCTACCTTTAAACAATTTTCCTTCTACAGTGGTGAATGTATACGAATAGAAGTAAATGGATAAAACTAATTCTATAGTATTAAATGACAAAAAATAATCACATATGGTAATATATTCAAACAATTCTAACTCGGAAAACTTAAGTGAATTTGTAACTGCGTTGAAGAATAGAAAATAAGAGACAAAACGATGTTTAAGAAGGTAGAGTATATGATATAAACGTAGCGTACGAGTTCTATAGCACTTCGTAGTATTCTCTGTAAGATATCTTAGCGACCGATTCGAGTTTTTAAAGAGTTTATTCGATTAGCTATGTATTCCAACTGTGATCCCACTCGTTCCAAGTAGAACTCAATGTTCTCTACCGATTCCAATGATAAATAATTTCACTCCTATTTTCATTCATATTTTCAAGATTTTTTTTTCTGGAACAGATCAAATCATCATTGCACCACTTTGTAATTGACCAAATAAATGTCTTTCTCAAGTTATTGTTGAATTTTCTCAATCACAATCACTTCAAGATGGAAAATGTCCAAAATGTGGACCAGAATGTACAGCTAATACGTTTATTAACCAACACATCAGTAGTAAATGTGTTTGTTGAAACATAAACGAATGATATTAAAATATGTGTTCGGTTAACATTTGTTGCTTTACCAGGGAATGATTCAGATCATTAGTGTAATCAAATTGTGTTTTATTCGAAGTTGTTTATGAATCAACACAAACAGAAGTTTGCATTCAATAACCACAAATAAGTGCAATTGATATTATATCAAGCGTTGGTGGACAAACAGATCTTTAGATAGGAATTAGGTTTCTTTCTTTTCATTTGAAGTTATTGAAATGATTCATAGAATAATTCCCCCGCACTTTTAAGATTTACGAGAGCAAAATTAGGAAAACATTCTGATTATTTTTATTCGAATAAGAGAAAAATTTGAATGAACTCACTTCTCCGTGTAATATATCCATTATGTAAAAGCATATTTATACGATTTGTTGATCAATACCGCCCTTTACAAGTATTAGACAGCATAAAAGCATAATTGTATTGATTCGTAATTTAAGGATGATGATTTTTGAAGAGAAAAAAATCATTCATATACAGTGAAACAAATTTTCACCATTCGCATATCAATTGAATAAAATGACAAAAACAAGAACAGAATCTTCGATTGAAACTCAAATCGAAAAACTCCCTAAAAAAACATATCGAAGTCGTTCAATAATTCAAGAATTTGGTTTAAATACATCAACACATGGTATTCCGGGTATTGCACGAAGTACAAGTCATCATAATCGCATATTTTGGTCAATTTCCTTACTAATATTCGTTGGTATAATGCTCTATTTCATCATTAAATCAATCATTGCTTATTTTCAATATCCAACACAAACAAGCATTGATATTATTGTTGAATATCCACAAGCATTTCCATCTGTTACTGTTTGTAATTATTCTCCATATGTTTATTATCGTTTTATTGGTCCATTTTTAAATTATACAAATTCAAATAATTTAACCAATACAACTGATACAACAAAGTTCACTCGGCAATTAGCTTCCTATGTACCAAATTTTCTTCTCTACAATCTTCGACAAGAAAATTCCATTCAAAATCTTGCTTATCCACTTGAAACAATGTTAATGACTTGTAATTACAATGATTTACCATGTACTGTAGCCGATTTTATTTCATTTACATCACTTGGTTATGGCATGTGTTATACATTCAATGCACAAACAGAAAACTCAACTAATAGCAGTATCAGATACAGTTCGGATAACGGAGGTTCGGGAAGACTTGCATTAACATTCTACATTCATCGACATCAATATGTTCCCTATGTCACTCAAAGTAAATAATCTTTTTCAGAAAAATTCAAAATTTTTTTAAGTATAAATAGATGTTGGTATGATGGCAATGATTCATGATAATGATCAATTTCCAATCATAGCACCTGCTGGATTTCAACTTGCGCCTGGAAAAAATTATAAAATGAGTTATAAAAAACGAACGAATATATTTTTACCATCACCTTATACATCCTGTGAAACTAAAGTTAGTCTTGCTATGCAAGTATTATTTGAGCGATATCAATCTATAAATTATGCATATTCACAAACACTTTGTTATACAATTTGTATGCAAACATTTGTGTAAGTGTAAAATAAATGATTGATTTTGAAACAAGAAAAGAAAAAAGAACGGAAAATTTTCATATTTTAGTTATGAAAAATGCGGTTGTGTTAGTCCAAAGAATTGGGCAGCACGTTCTATTGTATTTCCTGGAACAGATAAAATCATTAATGCACCACTTTGTAATTGGACAAATAATTGTCCTACAGGAGTAACCGTTGAATTTTCTCAATCAGCATCATTTCGAGATACAAAATGTCCAAATTGTGGACCGGAATGTTCAGCTAATAACTTTCTGGTTAAATTATCATCATTAACAACACCTGTTGAATCACAATTCGATAGTATAAAATCATTTGTTGAATCAACATCGGTTCCATTAGCAGCCAATTGGTCAGAAGATTGGCGAAATGAACTTCCAAAGAATTATATTTCATTAGAAGTTGTTTGTGAATCAACACAAACAGAAGTTTTGACTCAACAAGCAGCAATAGGTGCAGTCGATGTTATCTCAAATGTGGGTGGACAAACTGGTCTTTGGATTGGAATTAGTTTTCTTTCTCTATTTGAAATTATTGAAATGCTCTATCGATTAATGCGTTCGCAGTGTCATTTTCTACGAGAGAAAATCAAAAAAAGGTCAAAACAAGAACATACGGATATGGGACCATAAATATTTCTGTTTTGCATATTATATCCATTGTCTGGAATGAATTTATTTTAGTTATGATTCATGTTTATAATCACAAAAGATTCAATTGAATGAGAACACTTAAGAAATAAAGATGCGAGAAAAAAAATGGGAACATTGTTCTATAAATTGTGTCTTCGCGTTCGAGTTTAATCGAATGAAAAGTTTGTTTTTCTCGTTTTAAAATCAATTTACATTCAAAGAAATAAATGAAAATCTTTCAACACATTTTGAAAATCTTTCAAATAAACTTTTCTTTGATATTATGAATAATTTACATATTCGTCATACTTGGAAACCATTCTTTGGTATCAACAAACTTTTAGATTCATTTATTACAATGATCAATGATCATTCGAATAAAATCACTTTTCAAACAAATTCACAAATGTTACAAATCTAATCAAATGTATTTCATCGTCTTAAATATTTCTTTCTTTCTTAGTATTCCAGAAGACGAGAAACATCTCATGAGAATTAATCAAAATATCTTCATCGGTTGTTTCTCTTACTTACAATGATATGTTGTACCAATTGAACCAGAAATTGATATAAATTGATCGATATTGACTTCGCATCGATAAATGCTGTTCTTGATCAATTACTTATTCGAACATCAGATCTTCAACATTTGTCTTTACAAAGTCTCTTATATCAGCTTCTACGTACTTTCTATCAACGTGTGTCCAATTTAAAAAAGATTATTTGTCATAGATGTTTAATTTTGGAAAATGTACATTATTCTGTTTAAACCGTTGTAAAGTTTGTGAATTATTTTCAATTCAGTGGTAAACTAACCTAAAATCAACAATATATCGAATTATCAACGTTATAATACAGATTATGTTCGTTCATTGGATTCCTACATCACAGTAAGACAGAGCACATTCCAGTATTTGGAAATTGAATCAACTATTACCATTAACAAATCAGAATATGTGAAAAATGGCAGCGACATTAACAAAAGCCATGAAAATTTGCACAGTGCATCATTACTTGAATGACAAACGTATTGTTCAACTAAGATGCATAGACAAAAAATTCCGCCTCAAGTCCAATCAGTTTAACTATATGAAGAAATTAAAATTTATTCATGCAGAAGAAATGAAAACGAAAAAGAAGAAGAAAAGCAAACAAAAGAAGCGACAAATATTCACTGTGCAATTGTAATTTGAAGTAAAAAGAGAAATCTTGTTAATATATCACAATAACAACAAAAAAAAATGAATGTTTGGTTTCGTTTTTAGTGTTGTTCATCTTCTTCATCATCGCTGTCTGGTGGATACATTAGTTGATGTTGATGTTGCCGATTTTGACTTGTTGTCGTTGGTTGAGACTTCTGATTGTCTTGATCATTTGATTGACCCGATCGATTTGTCAGCTCATCAAAATTCATCGGAGGAACATAAACTGGTTGTTTCTCATGTTTTTCGCTGGAATTTTGTGAGCCACGTCGGGTTTTTGGTCGTGGTGGAGGTGTACGTGGTTGTGAACCTAACTCGTATTTATTTTCTGGGTCTAATTTTTTGAATATTGTTTTGTAATTTGCATCATCATCATTCATACTTTCGAATGAATGTGATCGTTCAGGTTTACTTTCACGAACTGGTGGAGAAGGCTTTCTTGATTGAGTTTCTTTGTCATCAGAATCATTTGAAGATTTGCTTCTGAGATTAGTTGGTGTTGGTGTACCTGAAGCAAATAAAAGCTCTTGATTGTCTTACATGAGAAGTCTACTAAGATTATTACGCTTGCGATCTGTTTGCAATTCAAATGTTTTCTCTGCGCGATAATTCGTATTATCTCGTTGAAGGGTACGATTGCATAAAAATACAAATTCTTTGCGTGTGTTCATGTTGGTTAAAACAATCTTTAAAAAAATTTGACATTTTAGAGGAAAAAGAAGACGAAATTTACTTTTTCAATTTTCCATTGTTCTGCATCGGAGTCTGTATTCACATAGCCAATGGTTAGTTTCTTTACAGATTCATCTTGTTCCTGATTAAGGTCAACAACAAATGTCTGTTGGATACCCGCTTCAAATGTTGGACATAATTGATCATGATCTGTAGTCAAAATCGTTTCTTTCTTATGATCATTAAGACGTACAAACATTCGACTGCGTGGAGCTGGTATGAAATTTCCGTCAGGATCTTTCGATGGATGAATTGTAACACGGTACGAAACTTGAATTTCTAAAGCAAAACAATGAAGAAGTGTGAGATTGGGGGAGGAGTGAAATTTACCTGTAGATTCTGGTGAAGAATGACGAGTTGAATCATTCTTGATTGGCGATTGTCTTTGTTCGGCTCTTGGGGTTGATTGATCGCTTTCTTGATCAGATATCATTGGTTTTTTCGCCGTTGTAACAGGTTTAGTTGGTGTTGATGAACGCGACGATGATTTCGGTTTTTGAGGAGTCTTAGGAGTTGACCAATCACTTTCATTATCTGCTGATATACGTCGCGATAATGATGCACGTGTCGATGGTTTCGGTTTTGAGAGTTTACTTTCTTCATCTGAAGAACTTGCTCGTGTCGGTTTGCGTGAAGCTTTTGGCGGTTTTGGAGAATTAGTTGGTGTGGATGATCGTGAAGAAAGTTTTGGTTGTTGTCGAGCTTTTGCGCTTGGCTGACGCGTTTGCTGTGCTCTAGAAGATGCTCGGGAACTGTTCGATTGTGCAGAAGAAGGACGAACCACCTCCGTTTGTTTCTACAAAAGTTAAGAAGTATGAAACTCGAGGTATGAATTATTTTGCGAAGAAAATTTTACTCGAGAAAGCTGAACATATTTTTCTTCGAACGGAACAATCCAAGATTTACATGGAAATATATAATGAGATTGAGTTTCAGGGTCAATTACTTCAATCTAAACATCAAATGTCAGTTCAATTATTCCGCTATTCGAAGAGATCTTACATAATCTAAATGCCATTTGATATCTTGCTCTTCATCATCATCTTCGTCATCTTCATCTTGTGTTGTTATCATTTTTAGTGAAATTTGTACGGGTTTTCCTTGATTTTGAAGCTTTACCGGCATTGAGTATGGTTTTGCCGATTTGGAATTTTCGATCAATGGTTTCATATTAAGTTCATGCATTTCAGTTTCATCATCTTCATTGTCCAAAATAAACGAAAATTTCAAGAAGAACTTTTTCGATGAACCATTGGATCCGAGATGGAAACTGCCATTTGGAAGATTTGATGGATGAAATATGATCTGCCAAGTCTTTTTCGACGAGTTTTCTTCCGGTGAGATATCGAATGTGGAACCAGATTTCTCTGATGACGGTCTTTTGGAGATTCGCGGTGCTCGCGGAGCAACCTGAAACATCGATTTGTATAAATTCGTTTCTCTGCAATCAAAAATGAAACCTTCGGTGTTGAATCAGTTGATTTCGACGATCGCTTGCTGATTTTCTTGGCTTCTACACTTGAATCAGTCCCATAACCATCTTTCTTTGATTGATCATCGCGATCAAAATCTTGTGAATAACTATCATCTAAAATAAATCATCTCATCATTATGAATCATCCTTAGGACAAATCTTCATTTACTCGACATTGACGCGTGTCTGACAGGTATGTGAACAGGTGTTTGTTGATTTTTTGGTCCATCTGAAACAGATACTGACACTGTTAACGGTTTATCTTGTTTTCCTTTGGGTGATTCGGCGTATTTCTTCAAACGCGCTTCTTTCTCAAACCGACATCTACAAATACTTCAATCAAATCCAGCTGATTTTCTTCGAGTTCAACATACTTGATACACGGTTTTGAACCAGCAACTGAAACAATAGCGAAATGTCCTCGATCACCACCTAATCGAACACCATGTCGATGTTTGTATTCGCAACATGTAGATATTCGACTATCGATTAAACCTTTGACGTATAATGATAGACCAAATGGATAGTCTGACCGACGCCGCGAATTGAACGTGAATTCAGCTAATAAATCATTACTTTCAGATTAATTTCAGATTGAAAAGAAAATATTTTACCTCCAGGTTTTAAATAACCTTTATAAACAATGAGATTTTCTCCACCGCAATGTTGTTGCATAACCATGACTTCATCGACATCAGAGAAAACCATTCGATCATAATCAACTTTTGTATGTGGACCGTAGTAGACCATGGTGATTTGACATGGAGGTGAGTTTGATGTTGTATCTGGGTATTTGCTTGGTCGTTGCTTTTAAAGTAGAGATAAAGATTGACTTTTTTAAGTAGAAAAAGTATCAGTTTGAATATTTACTGCTGATTTTGGCCGTTGAAGCGAATGAGGACGACGTTTGCGAGTTTTTGATGAAGGCTTCGTTCGACGATTGGCATTCATACTAGCTGATTGAACACGTGGAATATGATCATAATCCTCGTCCTATTATTTGAAATCGATATCAATAAAAACTATTGAAATGAATGATTTCTTACATTATCGCTTTGATAATTTGCACTTCGGGGCCGTGGTTGTGCCCAAGATGAATCTACTGATAACATAGCCATGTCACTCGAATTGGACATATAACCTGATAGATTTCCACCAGCACGTCTTCTTGATTCCTTGAAGAGAAGATTAACCAGAAATAAAGATCTTCATTATCTATAGTTTTTCCTACTTTGATGTTATTCACTAACGCCGCTTTGGACATTGTTTCGAAATAACGTTTCATTTCAGCATTTCGTGATCGTTCCATGTCAATCGCTCTGAAAGAGATGTTTCTCATTCGACAAAATAAATTAGAAGACAAAGTTTTTCTTCATTACCGACTAACAATATTCTCTGCCAACATATGTCGAACATGTCTTCGATGTTCACGCTGTGCCAATCTTGTTCGATATTCCGGATCGGAAAGGATTTCTCCTCGATTGGAGATCTAAATAAGTCGTTTCTTATGCAATTCAATTGAAAGTTGTTTATCTACTAGTCCAGCACGTTTTAAGTGTGATTGCATACGTTCGTTACTAAAGTAACTTTGCAAATAAGGATCTGCCAAAGAATTGTATCGAGCTAATGTGCTGAAAAAGACAAGGATAAACCTAACTTTTGCATAGATATCCAATACCTTGTTTCAAGATGGCTCATAGTTGGTTCGATATTGTTAAATAGAGAGAATAGATATGATTCTCTTGATCAATAGCAACTTTCCGTGGATATTAAATAAACATAGGAATTGACGCCATTTATTTAGTTGCATTCAACGTGTCGTCGAGCAACTGTTAGTTACCGGATGATATTTGAATTAAGAAGCAAATCAGGACTATCGTGATTGTTTTATATATGATCGACTTTATCGGAATTTTCTACGAAATTATCTTCTTTTTCAATTTCATGTATGTGGCGCCATCTGAAGATCGTCTTTGGCTCCTTATGAAAATCAACTTAATATGACATAGGATGCTGAAGAGAAAAGAAAACGAAGAAATTATCGTACTTTCTGTCGAGGTCATCATGAACGTTTCATTTAGAAAGAAGTTTAATCGTTCTCTCTCAAACCCTGGATAACAAATTTTGTAATCATCTTCTATTCTAACATGATATTAACTATCATCAGTCGATAAAACAGCATAGACTGTATTCATGTCTATAGTAAAAGATGACTATAGACGATATCACCTTTATTCTTTCTTTGTTTAATCTCTTCTATAAAAGAAAAATTTCTATCGAAAGTGATTCTTTACAAGAAAAGCTAACTTCGTAATCGAATATTCTTCCGTTGAATATATCTTTTAAACAATTATGGCTTCGTCCATTTCTATTCTCTCACTTTTTGTATTGGTATTGATTAGCGGTTACTTTACCTTCCCTCTTGATAATTTCTCATCGGAATCATCACCATTATCATTCGAAAATGAATTAACAACTGAACATAGTTTCAATGCACGAGTAAGTCAAACTGATTACATTGTTTTTCGTGTTTCTCTACGAAACATTTCACCTATTAGGCTGCAGTTGGTGATGACTTCTTCACAACACCGTCAGAAGAATCAACATCATCAGTGACTGAGCCATTCTCATTGGAATATACAACAATTACAACAGATGTCAAACGTTCAGTTGGTGATGGATCTGATATCTTTGCTACTACTGTTGAATATGAATTCACTACCGATGCTGAACGACGAGAACGTATGACCGAAGATTTCTCAACTGTTGAATCATCGACATTCACCGACATAACCGAAAAAACACCAGAAGAAAAACGTGAAATGGAACCAGCATCAGACATCGTCGAAGAAGGAACCACAGAGCGTGTAGAAAGTGCTGGAAATAGCAGACGTGGATTAGATGTTGAACTACCATTTGGAAAAGAACCCAAGGAAACACAATCTTCATTGGAATTTACCACTTTCGCAACAGTAAATATTGTCGAAGACTTGTTGTTCTTAAATACAATCTTATTCTCCTCATTTAGACATTATTCGCATCAACATCATCTGATATCGCTCCAGAATTCTACACACACACATCAACTGAATTCAGCCCAATGGAATTAACCACCCAAAAATACGTTGGTTCCCTTCGTAAAGGTGATGACGATGAAGAACATGAAAGCGATCGAAAACAAAAACCACAGGAAAAAGCCGACGAAGAACTTAAACCCGAGAAAGAAGAAGTTCATAAACCAGAAGAAGAAGAAGAAGGACGCAAACCAGAAAAAGAGCACAAACGCAAACCTAACAAAGAAGAACGTAAACCCGAAAAAGAAGAAGAAGAAAAACACAAATCTGAAGAACATGAAACAGCTGTTGATTCAGACAAAGAAAAAGATTCCAAAAAGAAACTCTCAAAATCAGACAAGAATGATTCATCAGAATCCGATGAAAACGGCAAAGAAAAATACGCAACAGGACAATTACTCGATCAAGATTCATCGAAATCATTCCAACAACGACCAAAAGATTTTGCCATTCTCGTTGAACCCGATGTTTTCTTTACAAGCATGACAAATGAAGTAGCTAAAAACCAACGATTTACCACTGAATCAACGAAACTTGCTCAAGGTTCGACTCTTCTTCTCTTCCTTCTAGCTGGATTTCTATTTTGTGCGTGTCTAACGGCGAGCACGCTCGCCTTTGTAAGTTCGATTCAGAACGAAAGCACAAATTGAGAGAGACATTTTTCGAATCTTGAAAAACTTTTCTCCCGAACAGTTCAATTCACTTTCATTTTGTTTGTTTAGGTGAAAAATCGACACAAACTGAATAGAAAAAGTCGAATTATCGAAATGGAAGCTTATTTGGATGAACATTACACTCATCCATTTCTATTTCATCAACATTATGAAAAATAATCTTCTTTAAACAAGAACAGTTAGCTTTTCGAATAATTTTAAATTTTACGAATGATTTCCTTTTATTTGTTCATTTTTCTCATTGATTTAATAATAAAAATTGATTTCCATTCCTTTCAAACGTATTGCACACTACAATTTTGACGAATATCATCCGCACAATAAAATGTCATGACAAGAATCACCACTTGAATAACAAGAGCACTTTCAAATATCGACGAGCTTGGTCCGTTCAAATGAATTCCATATGATGCTTCAGTGATTGTTACAAATTGAAATATAAATGCAAGAAAGATCAATAATGGTGTTATATAACACATAATGGAAGGTTTCGGCGGCAAATAGATGAACGCGGTGAGAAAACAAAGAAAACAGACAATTAGTTGAATAAATACTGCAACAATCGCCAACGGTGCTGCATTATAAAGTCGTCCGGAAAATATCGGAGGAGAATTCATCTCGGAATTGCTTGTTTCATACTGATTCTTTGTACATTGAGAATTCAAACATGTTTGAAAGAGACCGATCGAATATAAACCAAGTTTCGACCCTTTTTAACAAAGAAAATCATCGAGTGTGAAGAACTTTCGACGAATGACTTACAATTCGCACTGGAAATACTATAGAGAGAAAGAATGACACTTGTTAAAGAAAGTACACCAGCAATAATCAAGATTATACCAATTTTTCTGTCAACCATTTCTGTTTTTGGATCGAATGATTGTTGACTGAATATAAAAATAAACATTTGCTCATCACCATCTGTGACCTCATGTTTTATTTATCAAAACTTTTTTTTAGACATTCTATTATTTTCTCATGTACCGATAAAAACAATGAGAAAGAAAAGTTACACATCAAGATCGGTCGCACTATTTCGAGACTTTTTCAAAATCGATCGAAAGACTTTCCACGGTTTGATGTCGACCTCATTTGAGATAATTTCGTAGTTTTTCTCTTGAAATTCTGCTTCCGAGAGAAGAATTGGTCTGTTAACATGATGTTGTAAAAGATAAAGCAAAAGAATTTCGCCATAGATGAACAGTTTTAAGATGATTGAAATAACAATTAACGACACATTTAGAGGTAAAAAATAATTCTCCGATGAACATGACGAACCGATCTGACCGATAAGTGTAAGAAAACTTATGATAATGATTGTTGTTGCGAACAAAGTCGAACAGATATGAAGGAAAAAGGTGAAACAACACGAAACGACGTTCTGTTTCCATAGAAGTATCCAAATACTAATTGGAGCTGCAAATAACGACGGAAATGACCAAAAGCCAACTCCGATCCGGTATGAACACGTTTTCGTTACTGTTAAAGTGATTTGTAAACCCAAGATAGCAAAAACACAACTTAATTGAAGAATTGAACAAGAAAAATGGGTTAAGACATAAAAAATCGATTGAAAGCGCTTTTTAATCGGGATTGTTTCCATTTCTTACCGAAGTTGTGCAAAAGAAGAAGAAAGGTCATCTGCACGACAACCAAAGAAGAAGTAACAATGATTTTCACTTTTTTTTTCTTTTCCTTCTCATATGTTCATACGATGCATAGCGTGAGATATTATTAAAGAACACGACTTGACAACAGTCAACAAAAAAGAAAGAAAAAAGAAGCTTCGAGAACGAGTGAAGAAGAAATAAAATACTTGAGTTATACGATCTGTCGAGCGTTCATATAACCGATGATTAAAGAGCACGATAATACTAAGTGCTTCGCGCATGAAAATAAGCTCGTATTGGATAAATATTGATTTTCTACTGACTCCGTTTCTTTTTTTTATTAATTATACACATGAAAGAATCTATAGAACGAATAAAGAACAAAGATTGAAATGGAATAAAACAAAAACATATCTGGAAGAGTTTACTGATTTTCGATTAGATAATCATCGGTTGAAAGACATTGACCTGCTTTGATTGAATCTATACGAAGACAAATCAAATTTGTCGAGAAAATTCCGAGCAGAAGTCATACCGATTGCCCATTGTTCATGAACTTGTGGATGAATGATTACCTGGAGAGTTTTGGACGAATGACCAATAATAATTTTCGCGCGTTCCCGATGAACAGTGATCTTGAAAAGAAAATCTCGGTTTGAGTTTTATTAGTCTTTTTTTTTTTTTACATTTCCGCCAAGAATCGTGATTAATTTGAGTAATAAATCACGTTGTTGTACGAGGGATGTCAAATAGATTAATCCGCATTGATGAAAGAATTGATTTGAAGTTTTTTGTCGAGGAAATTTATGATAAATATTCACTGAAGGATTTGAATTAAAGAAATTTTTCGGTTCAAATTTATTTACACGTAACCATTCACCAATACGTGAGGATGATTTTAACCATTCAAATACGACAAGACGACTAAAACAAATCATCAACGAATCCTTAGTTTTCATTCTTATGAAGAATCCATCAAAGTTTGAAAGTGAGAATCAGCATCACGGTGTGAAACTTACCATCCATAGATTAATGCGAGAATAAGATCGAGAGTAATTGTCATTCGGGGATCGTCATTGGGTAAGATAATGTGTGTTGTTGTGATATCGATGATATCCGATGTGAAACAATCACCCATTCGACGAGTTAATCGTTTGGCTTCTTCGATTTGTCTAGAAGAAAGAAGAGTCAGTTTTGTTTGGGATGAATTACAACTACGAACGTTGATGTAAAACTGTAGAAAACAAATGAATAATTCGCTGGCGAATGTGGAAGATCTTTGATGGATGAAAATCGATTATTTAATTTACTATCTGTTAACTTTTCGGGATGTTTTGCTTGAATACTTTGAGATAAGACCATAAGTGGTGGTGGACGAAGGAAATATCGATCTTCTTCGTCATCATTTGATGTGTCCAATAGAACGGGAGATTTAATTTGATTGTTGATATTCTGTAAAGGCGTTACATTGGTGACTGACGAATATTCAAATGTAGTCAAACGTTGTTTTTTATTATTTCGTAAAATTGCAAAGAGATTTTCATTGGTTTGAATGGAATTTACAGATGTTCGCGGAAGTAAAACAGGAGAAGAGACTGGTGTGGATTGAGGACGAGTTAAAAATGCTTCATATTGATCTTGACTATCATCCTCAATGGAAGTATTTGGAGAAACATGAATTGGATTCATTGGACTTGAACCATGACGAACAGTCTTGGAAAAAAAACAAAGAGAAAAATAAATAATTAAAGAAAAAGATCTTCGGAATGAAATTTACATTGGTAAAATGAACAATTGGCGAAGATTGAGATTGAGATGGAATGCTCATTTTCTATGATGACACAGTTGTTTGTTTTCCTTAAACTGAACGAAACGATTTATCTATATAAATTCATTCTTTAGCATAGTTATGCATTTTCTTAGTGTACAATCGAATTTATTTCAAAGAATTTTCCTAGTAAAGAGGAACAGAATCATTTCTCAACAGAACTAAACGAAGATAAAAACGGATTTGTTAACGTATTTTATGAATTGGTCGATTATAGATTAACCAGTATTTGATATTCCATGGAAAAAAACAAGAAAATTTGAATGGAATGACTCGTTTGTACGATGTTGGATATCGTTGTTTGACAAATTCCATTGGAGGATTAGGCGCACGGACAAAACCATCAGCAAACGGAATGCTCACTGTTTTCTCGAGAAAACTTGCATTGAAATCATTGAAAACTTCTTCAATCAGATCGAAATCTCGATTACTTCCTTTGATATATTTGTAACCACCTTTATCATCCGAGATTTTCTTCCAACTGAATATATCCGTTTGTAGACCTTCATAAATGATAACCGCGGCATTTAAATACATATTATATCTTCGTTTGGCGATCTTGTGTGCTGGTCCACCATCATGAAGTAGATATGCATATTGTCGATCATAAGAAACATCAGCATCGTGATCCCAAATGATGATATTTTCATATCTCAAAGCACCGAGAAGTGTCCCATAGTCAACCCAATGAGTTATATTCAATTCAGACATGATTTCAGAATAGGATTTAACCATATAAGCCAATCTCTGACGATGAGTTTCCGGAGTTATGCACGGATGAGTCGATTCCCAGATATTCATTAAATGTACAGATATAGTTATGATGATCAAAAGACAAATAATGATGGTGAGGAAACATCGATTACATAAAGGAGATCGACGATGACACGGACGACGTTGACTTATTGTCATAATTGAGGATTACACAAGAAATGAAGTTGCCGCTATTCTAAATGAAATTTGGTTAATGTATTCGTAAATACGAAAATATAGATGGGTTCAGGGTGTACATCGTATACCTGTCCTTAAAGTGTAGACGTACTCAAAAACGAATGACAAGAAAAGGTAACTTAATTTCGATAAATTAGTATTTATCTAACTGAAATTTTTTTCTTTCCATAGTGAGAAGTACGATCATAATTGATCTGATTTTGTTCGATCTGTCTCACAACGAAAGATTATAAAACCATAAGATAGACTGTGATAAAGTGCAAACAAAAGCATTGATGACGAGAAAAGTATAATAAGATATATATGTTAATATTCAACAGAGCGAAACTAAACGAGAAAAAGTAACACAAAAAAGCGCAAGGGAAAAGGAACAACGATGAGTCACGTGTAATCTACTCTTTGAATAATATTCCTATTAAAAATAGTCCAACATATCGTCGGTAATTTGACGTACGATAAAATAAATTAGTTTTTTTTTTCTATAGAAAATTCTTGTTACAATGAAACTTCGTCATCGAGATGAACGAACCGACGAGACACTTTTTATTATGCAGTCTTTTTTTTTTGTGTTGTTATATAAACGGAACTATCGATAAGATATGAAGCAAAACGAAAGAATAATTATTTCAAAGTACACTTATATGATCATTTGCAAGATATGACAGTTGAAGGGAAAGCATTTTACATCGTTATATACGCAATTGGGAAGAGAATTACAATGTTTTCTAATCATCATTTTATGTCCTTCAATTACTTTACTGATGCAAAAATCATGATCTATTCGTAAATTACTCAATGATTGAATAACGTCCTGTGACTAAAGATACTCTGTTCTTTAGACAAAACATATATGAAGATCTATTCTTTTATTTTCATCCTAAATATGTTTTCAACGTAGCAAAACAATCGACTTCAATCCAAGGATCACAAAAAAGATGACTTGTCGAATACAGAGCAAGAATTGTATACATCCATCTAATAACAACTGGAAATAAAGGTTTTCGTTTAAACAATCCTTCAAGAGTTAATTCCAATCCAACTAAAAGTCCATGAATCAAAAAGAATAACATATATTTTCCACCTGACCATCGATCCATTGAAACAGTGTACATAAATTCATGTAAAAGACCCGAAACAAAGAACGCAAAAACACCTGCGGAGATAATTCGTGCGTTGGATTTGTCTTTAACACCAGTTAATTTCGGTAGAGCAATAAAAGCAATTCGATGAAGAATTGTTTTTATGTAAATATTCCATCGACGTGACCAAAAATCATGAAGACCTAATGGTAAAAATGGATAACCTGGATAAACAGAACGTATAGGAACATTCCAAACGAAACCCATGAAACCAAAAACAAGATTAATAACCATTCCAAGTGCAAAATAGAAAATAAAACCATAAAGTGCGTAGATAAAAAAATGAATGATTGAGAAAAAATGAGAATTTTGACTGTGAAGACGAAGAACTGTGTAAGGAGTAGAATGAAGAAGAAGACGTAGACATAGTAATTGAGATAAACCACGAATGATTATTAAAAGATTCTTTTCACGAGGTGAAAGTTGATGTTCATCACGGCCGAGAATTAAATAAGTGAAATAAGTTAAAAACGTCGGAGAGATTGAGCTTGATCTGAAAAAATCCAGCGAATCGAAGAGAAAATTACGGATAAGAAGTTTTTACCTGATTGAACGTGGTTCAACTTCATATTTATATTGTGGAAATGTCGAAAAATCGATGAGAATCTGTTTCAATGTGATTTGTTTTTGTACCGACCATGGATATGTAAAGATTAATTCGATAATTTTCAAAGTAAATAAAAAACCTGTCACTGCAGAGAAGATACTGACTAATGCATCAGCGAATTCAGTGTATGAACAATGATATTTCAAAAATATTGGAACATATAACGCTAAACTCGCACAAATTATCCCGAGAATATGTAAAATTTTCTCCGATTGGAGAAATTGAGCGATCGACACGGATAAACAGGTGAAAACGATGATAAAACCGTAAATGATATAAAGATGAAGAAATGTGATAATGATCATTGTTAATCGGAAGGAAGAAAATGACGTTTAGAGTGTTGATTGAAGTAAATATTCGATTGATTTCATTTGACAAACATAAACGGTTACTTTTGATTAATCATTCTTAGTTTTTCAAGAACGGATACTCATTCGATGATTACCTTGACAAATATTTGCAAGAGAAAGTTCGAGATTTATTGATACAACGATTCGACTATGAGATATCAAACCTTTTCAAGAATTTCTTGGTATTCTCAAGCATAATCATTCAAGTGATATACATCCCGAGAAGAATTGTAGAAATCATTAACCTTTTTCTCGAGAAAAATGCATTTCATGATATGATAGAAAAGTCATTTTTATTTATAATTCGTTTTTTTTCTCTATATACCAGAAGAGTATTCGACACTGTCTGATGTCATGAAAGGTAAATATTTATGTTTCAGACATATATCGAATTCTTCATACGTGACATTACTCGAAGATTCTTGTCAGTAGAGAAGAGTTTCTGTTTGAATACGCTTAGACATGTGAAGTATCTATTCGTGTCATGGTTTTGACAAAAAAACAGTCGGAAGAAAAGAAAGTCAAGCGCCCTCTTTTTCGTTTTTCGTGTCAACTTTCATTGGTCATTGGATATTTTAAGTAAAAGAATTTCATCGCGATGATAAAATAAAAGTTGAAAGTAAACTTGTTTGTTTGCCGGCATGAGTAATGTGTCTTGAGAAGCGTTTAACGACCTTTTGTTTCTTTTATTCTAGAGAATGTTTCCATGGTTGACCATTTCCAACGAAATATAAGTAGACTATACACTTCTTTATAGATCATCGAATGACTCGAATAGACACGATATAATGGGTTGTTGTTTTTCAAGACCGGATCTTCTGCCACGTGAGATTACACTTAACTCTATCCCTGTGACTGATGAACCAAACCTTAGATCACGTGAAATTTGTAAGTTGAATTGATTTTGAATAAGAAGTTTTATGTGAGGTTTTTTCCAAGTAGCACCTCCTTCGAAACAGAGAAGAGTTTCGCATAAATACGAGAAGATTTACGTTGCTATTTATGATTATGAGGCACGAAGTAAAGATGATTTGACTATTCATGTTGGCGATCTGTTAACAATTGTGGATGATAGGTATGGAAAAAATCGTTTTTACAAAGGAAATCTTAACAGATTTGAACTCTATTTTAGTCAAGGTGATTGGTGGCTTGCGAAACATTGTCAAACTCATGTTCAAGGATATGTTCCTGCACTTTATGTCACTCCGCATGATGGACTGGATGTTAATCAGTAAATTGGAAGACTTAGAAAAGATCAAATTTCAAGGTTTGATTTAGGTGGTTTCACAAAAATATTGCCCGAAAAGATGCCGAACGACTTCTACTAAATTCAACTAATACTCGAGGAACATTTCTTGTTCGAACTTCCGAAAATTCTCCTGGTAAGGTTTTTGTTTTGAAATCACAACATTTAGAATATCTTTCATCAGGTCCTTTTTCACTATCGGTTCGCGATCATGATGAACAACGCGGTCCACATGTTAAACATTATAAGATTCAATTTACTGATCAGAAACTCGGCTATTACATCGCACTACGTCGAACGTTTCCATCGCTCGAAGAATTAGTTAATTATTATAAAAGTACGGATGGTCTTTGCTGTCGATTAACTCGTCCATGTCCACGAACGAAACCATCGACATATACAATATCGAAAGATGTTTGGGAAGTTTCAAGAGGTTCTATTCTACTTCTTCAAAGACTCGGACAAGGAATGTTCGGTAAGATTCCCTACTCTCTTTTGTTCTTTTGATTTCTTTCGTTAGGTGAAGTATGGGCTGGTAAATGGCAAAATAAAGTTGATGTTGCAATCAAAACAATGAAGCCCGGAACAATGTCTACCCAAGCATTTCTCGAAGAAGCGAATATAATGAAGAAATTACGTCATGATAAACTCGTTCAACTAATTGCTGTTTGTACAGAACCAAAAGATGAACCGATTTATATTATCACAGAATTGATGTGCAATGGAAGTTTATTGGACTATCTGAGACAAGGAGCTGGAAAAGAATTGAAACTACCCGCTTTAATTGATATGGCCACACAGGTAATCGATCATTTGAGAAAATATCATTTGGTAAGGGAATGCCTTCTGTAGATTGCATCTGGAATGGCTTATCTCGAACAACAACGTTATGTAAGTGAATAACGAAGGAATCTTCGAAAATATGCTGTGTAATTTAGATCCATCGTGACTTAGCTGCACGAAATATTCTTGTTGGAGAGAATGGCGTAGTTAAAATTGCTGATTTTGGTTTAGCACGTATTATCAACGAAGACATCTATGAAGCGCGACCAGGTTTGTTGAATATATCGATTGTACTTTTCCAAGAAATACGTTCTCATTGTCAGAAGCCAAATTTCCAATCAAATGGACAGCTCCCGAGGCAGCATTACGAGGTAGATTTACAATCAAATCCGATGTTTGGTCATTCGGTGTCTTACTCTATGAATTGATCACGCACGGTCAAGTGCCTTATCCCGGTAAATTGAAACGGAAGGAATTCTTTTGGAATGATTTCTTCTTTCAGGTATGAGTAATCGAGATGTACTCGAACAAACCCAACGTGGTTACCGAATGCCTCGTCATGAAAGTTGTCCTGAGGAGATCTATCGTTATATGTTACGCTGTTGGGATGCCTCTCCTGAAAGTCGTCCAACCTTTGAAGTAAATCAAAACGAACTCCTTTTTGTTTGTCTAAATTGGACATTTCATTTAGCATTTACACGCTTTCTTCGATGATTACACAACTTCCACCGGTCCGCAGTATCAGAGTCAAAATTAATGTTTTTTTTATTTTCTCAGGAGATCTTTTGTGTTTCGTTTTCTCTTCCACTACTTCGAATGATTATCGGAACGAAAATCAACAAAACGAATGATTATCGTGTTCTTTGTTTTTTCTTCTTACAGATATTGTCCTGACCACGTCGGTCGCAAATTTTTGTTTTCTTTCTGAGTGCGCAATATGCTTCTAAGGATATTCTTCATAAATTTCCTTTCTTTGCTGTTTTCGCCAGATATATTTAATCAACAACGCTTTTTTCACGACAAATTTTCATTCTAATTCCTTTGTGTTAATTCTTCTTTACGAAAACTATTTCTTCATATGTTTTGTTTTTTTATGAAAAAATAATCAGAACTTGAAATGAAATGAAATTTATCCAAGAAACATATGCTTTGTTTTCAGATGGCGTCAATGCCGTCCACATTAGCGTCTATCACGCAGGAAAAGGTTAATAAGGCGAAAATGTCAATTGAGAACTTCTACGCAAATTTAGTTGCTCAATATGAAGAACGAGAAGAAAGGTATTCAAGCTGAACTTTACTCTTTGCTTTTAAATTCTCCGTTGTTTTTCAATAGATATCGACGATTAGAAGCGACAATGATCACTGAAGGTTTAACGGATGAAGAAGTAGACTTTCGAATTGCTCTTCATCTGATTTCCGATGTTTTCGCTTATAGAAATCGGAAAAACGTCATTTACATGCGGCGAAAGAAACAGAATATTTACGTTTAAAACGTGTAAAAATGAGTGCGAGTGATTTCCAACCGTTGAAAGTCATTGGTCGTGGTGCTTTCGGCGAAGTATAAATTTTGTCTGCTTATATTTGCAAACATTGAAAACGTTTTTCATTCAGGTTCGTTTAGTACAAAAACGTGATACTGGACATATCTATGCAATGAAAATTCTTCGAAAAGAAGATATGTTATTACGTGAACAAGTCGCTCATGTCCGTGCTGAACGTGATGTTCTTGTTGAAGCTGATCACACTTGGACGGTGAAGATGTTTTATTCGTTTCAAGATGCGATAAATTTGTATTTAATTATGGAATTTCTTTCCGGAGGTAAAAATTCGTTTTGTTCAAAGACAATTCGACATTTCTATTATTGTATAGGTGATTTGATGACTTTATTAATTCAAAAAGAAATCTTCAGTGAAGATATGACCCAGTTCTATGTGGCTGAAACAGCACAAGCAATTGAATCAATTCATCGATTGGGATTCATCCATAGAGATATTAAACCTGATAATATTTTACTCGACGCCAAAGTACGTTGTTCTCTACATGAATTTGCAAAAGAAAATTGAAGTTTGTGTTTCTTTAGGGTCATATTAAACTATCGGACTTTGGTTTATGTACTGGACTGAAAAAAGCACATCGGACAGAGTTTTATCGAGATATTCAAAGTGTTCGACCACATGATTTTAGTACGAAAGATACAAAACAATTGTCGAATGGAATTCTTCATATTTGAAATGTTTTAGCAACGACAGCACCGATGGATTCGAAACGACGTGCTGAAACTTGGAAGAGAAATCGTCGTGCATTAGTGAGAAATTCTTTCGATTAAATATTTCATTATCAAAGATCAATATCTCAAATAGGCTTATTCGACTGTTGGAACACCGGATTATATTGCACCTGAAGTTTTCAAACAAAATGGATATAATAATGTAAGATTAAATTGTTTATCATAGAAATTCGAAGAGAAAATTGAAATTTAGAAAGCAGATTGGTGGTCACTAGGTGTGATTATGTACGAAATGTTGATTGGTTATCCACCATTTTGTGCTGAGAATGCTCAAGAAACATTTCATAAAGTAATGAATTTCCGAAAGACACTTGTCTTTCCTCCCGAGATTCCAATATCAAATTCTGCTAAAAATCTTATTTTAAAGTATATACACGAGTTTTTCTTAAAACAAAATTTTTCTCAATCAAGTATTCGATTAGATTTTGTACTGATGCAGAACGACGTATAGGTTCTTTGGATGATATTCGCAATGATTCGTTCTTTCTGGGTGTTGATTGGGATCACATACGTGATCGACCTGCTGCTTATTTACCACGTGTCAGATCGATTGATGATACATCGAATTTCGATGAATTTCCTGATGTTGATCTCAAATTACGTATGTTTCCTCTATCAAATATTTTTGTTCTACTTTGTTTCTCTTTCTCTTAGCATCACCAACAAGAGAAAGTGATGTTCAAGTACACGATTGGCTTTTTATTAACTATACTTACAAACGTTTTGATGGTTTAACTGCGAAACCTAAATTAAAAATGTCGTCATCGTTAGCATCGTCATTTAATTGAAAGAAAAAAAGAGAAATTTAATCTCGTCTGTTGAGATATAAGAACAATTATTGCTTTTTTTTCTACAATGAAATATTTCCACAAAATGAGTATGACAAAACCCGTTGTTATCCTTTCTTTTTTTCTTTTATACGAATAAATGTGTTCAAATTTTGTACAAAGAAAGAGTGAATAATTTGCGTGTCATCATACAAAATTGCATATTTCTCTAAACGATTCGATGACTATAAATAAACTATAATTTACTTTTTCGTAGCTACATTTCTTATAATCATAAGAGAATAAATCTTTGTGACTAACACCCATGTCATATCGATAATATCTGAAGAATGTCAATAAACGTCATTAGTGACAAAATATAATGTAAAGAAATGTATAGTTAAAAATATCACTTTCATCTTATGCAATATCGATAGTCGTAGAAAATAATTATTAGATATATAATGTTTTTGTTGACAAGTCATTTTTTCAAAGATCTGGACAAACAAATGACGATGTTGAATAATTAAGAAGACAAAAGCATAGTTTTGGTATTCTAAATAGGATAATTATACTATCGTGTCAGTCAAGTGTGTTCGTCGTTGCTTGTATATGTTGATAAAATCAAGTAGAATGTGTTTTCAGTTGATTAAAGGAACAATTAAGCTTTCGTTTAGTATTGCTGATAATATTTCTGAGATTGGGTATTTCGCTTTTGCGTCATTATAATCTTTTGAACTTTGATGTACTATTGACATTCTCTTTAATTTGAATAAATCAACAAAAGTTAAGGTATTAAAATTAGAAAACAACGAATACTTTGCATTTTATTTGATAAGAAGTTTTCATTCTTCGAAAAACAAAATTCTCGAATTACAGGTACATCATCAATGTACTGCGCAGGGACGATTCTTTATTTATTTTAGATGTTTTATTTGCTTTAAGAAAAAAAAAATCTTATGCGACTCATATCTATGCTGTTTGAAGACAAATTGAGTCATTAATGAAACATTGAAGAAAGAGAATAATACAAACATCACCAATGACACGCTTGTATAGGTACAGTCACACATACGTCATCGATACTTTGTATTGATGGATCATGCAGGCGATGCATGGTTACTATTCATGTACTTTATGACATTATATATATATAGAACCTATTACTATTTACAGTTGTGTGTAAGTTGAACAGAAAACTATACTCATCTAGTGTTTGATATGTCCACTGAAGATGTTTCTCCAACGACTTTATCTACGAATGGTGCTGATGAACAGAAAGCGAGACGGAAGATAACTGGAAGACAAATACGGACAGTTTTGGTATCGTCAACTGGATTTTTCATGGATGCATATGATATTTTTGTTATCAATCTTGTCTTGCCAATGCTTGGTTTTGTTTATTATAAAAATCAAAACAATACTGTTCCATCGGATATTCAAGGTATATTAAAAGGAATTACCAATGTGGGAAATCTCTTTGGTCAAATTATCTTTGGTATTTTGGGTGACAAAAAAGGACGAAAGAGTATTTATGGAATTGAATTATTGATTATAATAATTGCTACACTTGGCTCAGCTATGGCTGGATCAGCTGCAACAGGTGTTGGTGTACTTGGATTTCTTGGATTTTGGCGATTTTTATTAGGAATTGGTATTGGTGGAGACTATCCAATGTCTGCTACAGTGTCAAGTGAATGGTCAAGCGAAGGTCGACGTGGACAAATGCTCGCATTGACATTCTCTATGCAAGGCTGGGGACAATTTGCTGGTGCTCTATTCGATATAATTCTTTTAGCAATTTTTAAACATCCAATCGAATCCGATCAAATAAACATTGATTATGTTTGGCGTATACTCTTTGCACTCGGTATATTACCTGCTATATGTACAATTTATTCTCGATTTCATCTTCCAGAATCAGCACGTTATGCAGAAAAAGTTCTTCAAGACACAGAATTAGCTGAAAAAGGCAAAGCCTATGCACTGGGAAAGAAAAATCAGGATTCCAATGGTACTTCGCCAACACAACGAATCCTTCCATCGGATAATCCATCCAAAGAACGACGACATTTCCGAGAATTTTGTTCACATTTTTCACATTGGTCTAATTTGAAAATTCTACTTGGCACTTGTTCAACTTGGTTTCTACTCGATATCGCTTTTTACGGTTTGTCACTCAATCAATCGATCGTTCTTTCTGCAATTGGTTTCGCACCAAATTCCACTGCCTCACCATGGGAAGTTCTATGGAAACAAGCAATCGGAAATTTAATCATCACTTTCCTTGGTTCATTGCCAGGCTATTATGTCACTGTGTTTACAGTTGAATATCTTGGTCGAAAAACAATTCAAATCATTGGTTTTACAATGGAAATCATTTTATTTACTATTGTTGCTGCTGCTTTTAATCCATTGAAAGAACATGCTGAAGCTGCATTTATTGTTTTGTTTGTTCTCATACAATTTTTCTTTCAATTTGGTGCTAATGCAACGACATTCATTATTCCTGCCGAAGTTTTTCCAACACGGTTTCGCGCGACGGCTCATGGTCTTTCCGCTGCATGTGGAAAAGCAGGTGCGATTCTCGCGGCATTTGCATTTAATGTTCTAGTCGATCACGGAGGAAAAAATGCGTTTCTACCACAAACACTCGGCATATTTGCCGGTGTTCAATTACTTGGTTTAATTGCAACAATCTGTCTTATACCTGAATCAAAAGGAAAAAATCTGGATTATTTCGAAGGAGTACAAACTTCAAATCCCGAAAGTACAGTTCAATCGTAATGCGAGTTTTTTTGTATATAATTTTCATGTATTATATGGTTTTGATTAATCGAAGCGCTTCCGAATCGTTTTCATTAGTATTTTTGCAAGTAAACGAGTGAAATTAGACAGGAAACATGTTGTTTCCTGCAAGAAAGTATCTTTATTTTAATATAAGAATAGCAATCGAAAGAAATGAATGAGTTTTTCTCGTAATTCTCATAGGTTTATCATACGAAGAGTCATCTGAGAATGTTGGATCAAAAATATCTTCTCAAGTACAATTCAGATCTTGTTCGAAGTTAATGAAACAGAATTTGTGTCCCATTTTTGACCCGATATAAAGAAACTTTTAACCCTTTTCACATTGTCAAAGTATAAATGAGTTAGAAAAGAAAAAGGAAACTACAAAAAATTGAATTGTTTGCTTCTTGTCAAGTCTCGGCAGTTGCGTTTTCATTATTTCTTCATTAGAAACGAGACTAATTCAGATTCGCACATGACTTTGTTCTTACTAAGTTCTAAAAATGAGTTCCTTGTGGAAATTAAACATATCCTCTACCCAAACACACCTGAAAATAGCACCTCCACAGAATATCATCGGAATTAAATCATGAAAAGATGAACATTTCTTTGTTTAAGATGTGAAATATGCATCTAATGAAGGCGGAAGCCACGAAGTTCAAATGAGAACCTCTACTCTCTAATTTTCCCTGACAAACACATTTCATTTATAGAAAATTATGTATTCTTAAGGTTAAAAAGTAGTATTTATTATAAAAACAAAAATAATCGAGATTTTAATATTCCTAATAAGTCCGACATTCTCTATCCCAACAAATGTTGTTTTTTTCCCTCGATTTATCTAATTCATACGAAACACGTTGTTCGCTATTCGATATTTTATGTTGATTTAGCTGATAATCGGTTTCACTCGAATGAATATTAATCGATTTGGTCAAGCAGATCTATCTCAACAAAAAATTATAATTATAACCGATCAATCAGATAAATATCTATGAGAAACGATCGATTGTGTCATTCTTATGATAATATTTTCTTTTGAAAATCAAGATTCTTCAGGTACGATCATTATAATCGCATCGCTTTTCTTTACTAACATGACAATTAACGGATTGATTGTTATTATAGAACGGATATCTTTGTATTCGATCGCATAATCTTATTTGCCCTCAGCGTTAACATTGTCTTTATGTTCTGTCGAAATACAAACAGATTTTGCTTTCGAGAGGAGAGAAAATTCCAGGTCAATGAGATACAGTAAGAAATCTTATTATCTTAGATGAAAAAATTCCATTAGAGATATAAAATATCATTAATCGATGTTTACAATTTAAAGGAAAAGTAAAGCATTTCTTTTGAAGACTAGACAATCTTTACAATAAATGAAACCCCAATGAAGTTAGTTGATGAATATTCTAAAACATAGAAAACGGAAGAGATGAACACATTTTCCGAAGAATTCTTATAAAATTGGTAAAGATCAAAACAGATAATTCTGTTCCAATACACATCAATGCCAGATTTTCTGTTTACGAATAATAAATATCAAGTTACCAATACGATATTCTTAACTATTTTCAGTATATCAATTAGGTTGAAATCGATAAGCACTAAGAAAAAGAAAATATTTGACAATAGAAAGAGAACAAACTTTGTCTATTATTTTCACTATTCGATTGCAATTTCTAGCTGAAAACATAGTTATTTTCTACGAATTTAATGATCCATAGTCGAACAAGGAACAAATGTTTTCTTCTGGAATATCTCCGTCTCTCCATTCACGCATTAGCATAGCAAAATATAATAAATATGTCGCGTAGATCGTTTGACTTTGTTGATTAATAATGATATCTTAACATTATCAAGATGATTCACAATTACTAATGATCTTGTCAAGAAAGGAAAAGAAATCTATTATTGTACAACAAAATAATAAAAGACAAGAAGAAAAAAAACGAGTCAGTACTGTGAGATTAAGTCAAGAATGTGATTTTTATTCAACATGCATGGTTTAATTATAGATTTTATCAATTAAAAATTACTTTTTGAGAATTTTCTTTCAGATAAGAACAAAAGCTGCTTATACACATTATTCAATTTTTCGGACCAATCATTTTAATAGAAGAAAAACGCTTTTTTTTCCACGTCAAAATCATTCTAATCAGAATAAATCCAGACAAAAATCGACAAAACAAAATAATTCATTACAAAATCTATTGAACACTGACAGATCACATATCTTTAATACGAAATAAATAAATCAATTACACTATAAACATCTCTTTCATTCCAAAGATCAATTATAATATAAGAAAATATCAAAAGAACAGTTCTTCGTCGTTAGTTTTTCTTCATAAATTCGTCAATCATAAAATATAATAAGAATCAATAATTCAGATCGCGTTTCGGCTTGTTCACTAAAGTCAAAGATTTTCTTTGAATTGACAGTTTATCAATCTTTGTGAAAACTACTTAAGTATTACCTAGATTGTTTCATCTCGTTTGTAGTTTTCTTCTTTTCATAGAGTAGAAAAGAAACTAAATGATTTATTTGATAAGGAAATTTATTCGTATGTTTTAACTAATGAAGGAATTCTTAAAAGTTTCTTTCCTTCTTTTCATTTTCAAGTCGTTTAATCAAAAAAAAAAGAATAACAACATTTGGCTAATATCTTTTCCTAAGATTTCTCATTCCTTCTCTTTTCTTTTTCTTATTAAACGATACTTTTGTTCTATCACAATAGGTAACTATTGAAAAATCATTTACATCAAAGACACCAGTTGAACTTAGTGTTGTATTTCTGTTGAGAAAAAAAAAACAAGAATATCCTTTTTTTACATGTCACGTATCAGTTTACACATCTGTGATGTTTTCGTACAGATTCATTAGTCTATACAACCTGCTACTCTAATTTTAGCACTCAGTAAAGAAAACAAAGACAGTGCTCGACTTATTTCCCGTCATCATGTTACGTTTTTTCATAAATTCAATGTTACACCATCTGTTGTTGAAATTCGAGATACAAATATGAAGATATTTGTTCGTTGGAAGTCGAATAAAAGAATTTGATTGTGTAATTCTTGATTGATTGTGAGATTAAAAGTTCTTTTTCTTTTATCTCTTCTCTGGTTATTATCAGGAGAGAAAATATGTGTTAGTAAGCGAATGTATCTTCTTTTTCATCTAGACATCTCTTGAAGTTGATGGGAAAAGAGAGAAGAAGAATAGAAAGAAGCAAAATCAGAAAATAATTCTTCTCTTCCTTTTTTTTTTTTCTTCTTCTTTATTCAGTGAAGAAAAGAAAATGAATAGCAGAAAAAACAACCTTACGCACTCTTTACTAACAATGCCGATCATGTTCATAGTTTTCCCGTATGAAAATATCCCATAGAGACATTCACGATCGTGTTAATAAATCTAACCATAGAGAATTTTCTTGTTTAAGATTCGAAAATTTGCAAATATGACAAATTCGAATTCGAATACGAACCAAACGACAAGTAGAATGTCAACTTTTGTTATCATCGAACAATACATGTCTATCTATGGTCCATTTGTATTAACAACTCTTGGAATTATTGGAAATATTCTTTCAATCTTAATTTTTTTATCTCCACGTTATCGTCGTCAATCTTCGCACTTCTATTTACTCTCACTTGCGCTCTCCGATCTTTGTTTTCTGATTATTAATCTAATTGAAGATACATTTCGTAATCATAACCAATTATATCATTCGCGTATAAATATTCTTGATCGAAGTTCAACTTTAATTTGTATATTTGTTCAGTATGCACGAAATACAACGCGATTGTTATCATCATGGATTATTGTTTCATTTACAATTGAACGTCTTCTCGTTGTTTTCTATCCATTACAACGAGCGATTATATGTCGAAGGAAAATCGCACGTTGGGTTGTTATACTTCTCTTTCTCACATGTTTATTGATCCATATTAATGTTCCATTTCATTATGGAATTATTAAAGTTTCAGTGACGGATGAAGATGAAGAGACAATCTGTGATATTTTACCACAACATCGTCCGATTTACATGAGATTTGCTATAGGTTCAATGATTGCTGTTTATTTAGTACCCATGTGTATTATTAGTATTGTTAATATGCTGATTTGTTGTAAATTATGGAGTAAAAGTTTATTAACAGAAAAAGATGAGATGAAAGAATCTTCTCAGCGAAAGTAATTCGACTTGTGAACTCGTATTCGAGAGAAATTCAACTTTTTCTTTCTTAGAATACAATTGCAACGACCTCGTTCTCGATTTTATCTATCTGATTTCATATCCTGTTTACGTTCATCTTCATCATCGTCATCAACTGATCTTCGAAATCTAGAACAATTCAGAAAACCACGTAAATCTTCATTAAAACAACATCCATCTAGTCGGCTTTTACTGCTGACTGAACCTACAACGTCACAGGTAAAAGATTTCGTCAGTAGATATGAATATTTGATAGAAGATCATGATATTTATTATAAGATTAAAACACAGACACACTCAAATGACATCTGGCAGCGTTCGAATTCTTATTGACAGAACTTCCTCGAGGCGGGTCATACACTTTCCGAGTTGACAGAGGAAGGAAAGACCGTATTCTTTCCTAATAATGAACTAAAAGATTCTCTACAAAATGACAGTGAAATCTTTCATGATTCGGAAGTAATACAACGCCTACATATTCACAGATCTCCTATGAAATTAAAGGCTTGTAAATCCAAAATGACACAGATAAGACAATATCTTTTCTTTGTATTCCTGATATATTCGAAGTTAACGAGTCATTCGGAAACAGATCTTATAGTATTAATCGTTTTTTGATTTCTTCGCTAACCTTTATTCAAAAGTATTTAGACAAAAATACTTTTCCATTTGATGAAATAAATATAAAGGTTAGAGAAAAGGATAATGTCTAAATGATTTCTTAAAATAGGCATATGGATGTTCGGTGGTCGATGAAACAGGAAATCATTCGATCTCACGCTCACTATCAAATCCCTCATTATCAATACAATCATCGACACACGTGAAAACTTATATTCAAGCTCGAACAAACCGCGTTACCCTTACACTTTTACTCGTTTCCTGCTCATTTTTATTATTGAATTCTCCATATTGTGCTATATGGATTGCAAATTATATTCATTCATTTGGTAATACAACATTAAAATCAATTAAAGAAATCACCGAATTGTTCATGTTAACTAATTTTTCCATAAATTTCTTATTATATTGCGTTAGTGGACGAATTTTCCGTGATGAATTGATGTTTATTCTTCGATGTCAATGGAAAGATTTGTATAATAAACAAGAAGTAAAGAAACCTATTCGTCCAAAGTGTATCATTCAATTACAAGAATCAACACCGAAACATCGTTCAACACAATACACACACAAATGTCCATGAAATCAATAAATTAATTTGCATATGAAACATTTCTTTAGTCTTTGTTTTTTTTAAAGAAATAAAAATCTTGAAAAATACTTTTTGCAATGTAATTTGATCAAGTTAATCAAACTTGACTTGTTCGAGATTTTGTATTTATTATGACATTTAATACTTATTATCCAATGAATGTATATTAGATGAATCCATTTGTTTCGTTGGATATGTTAGAAACTGAGTTTTTACATAAATATTCGCTTCAATTAACATTTGACATCGTTCCGTCAGAATATTTGTTTTCGATGTCTGTCAAGATTTTCTACATGAATTAATCGAAAACTGGCGCAATAACTTTTGACAAAGTCTATGTTTAGTTCTTTTATATAATTATGTCAACACCGAATTCTCGATCATAATTTTCCTTGTTGAGAATGTTAATTAAAGTAGACAAGATGTATTTTGTTTGAAACGTATTCTCCTCCTCTTCATAATGACAAGTTTATTGAGTTTTAGAAAATCATAAATGAATTAGTTTTGATGTTTCACATCATAGACAACAAATAATAAGTAATACTATTCCTTTTTCTCATCGGAATTTCAACAAAACAACACTATTGAGAAGAATTCTTCGAAATATTTTCGTAATATACACATTAACAAACGTAAATGTATTGATTATTCTATCAATTTTCCTATGTGACGTGTCACTTAACATGTGAAACTAGAAGTTTTCATTTGTAAATTGAAATCAAAGGAAATTCATAAGAACTAATGGTCAATAATATGAAAAGAATATTAATACAATCTTTCGAGAATTAAGATCTTTATCTTTATTTCTACGAACATTAAAATCAAAATTTCACAAGTGAAAAACAAATTTGATTAGTTTCATGTACATCCATTAAAATATATTTGTAATAATCGAGTCGAGACATCTACGATGTACGAGAATTGCAAATGAATGGAATATGAAATCAAGTTAATCATCTTTGTATGCAGAATCAGTAAATCAACATTGACTTTCTAGGAAAAGTTCATCAGGATGAATATGAGTAGGTTTTGTTTTGTTTTCTTAGTATTCTGATTACCATAATGAACATGAAGTTCGTAGGTACATCGTACGATGTCGATGGAAGATGAAAAAAAACCTTTTAGTTAATCTGTGGAATTCTTCCAAATCCGGAAGAAAATTAGACGAAATAAAGAAATTTTTTATCAAGAGACAAAATATATTCTATTCGAGTAGTTCAATCTATCTGTTTTGACATTTTGATTATTTTCTATAAATATTAGTTAAAGTATTTCTTCAGATCAAAGAGACATAAGAAAGTCCACAATTTAATTCCGTATGATTTAGTACTCAAAATATCTCCACAACTGGTTTGATAAGTGACGCAGAGATATATATATACACAATTCCAGACTTATAATTAAATACTAAGAAAAATTCATTACTAAGTATCACAATTGAAGTATTGATACAGAATATAAATATACTTTGTTGTTAACATATTCCTCTTTAGAAATATCTCATAATTTCACATTTTCCACACTTCTTGGATTGATGACAATTGAAGATGTAAGAGATATAATTGCAGTGAACATAGGTGTAGACTAAAGTCTTCAATATTCCGTAAAGAATAAAAAACCTTTAGTATGTGTTACTAACATAGAAAATATGAAAACAAAAATCGTAGATTCATCCGGAAAGATTTTGGAAATCTTCGAGTTCACTCGATGAAAGATGTGAACTATTTCATAAACAATCCACATTTTGAAAGTTCCCACAAGGAAACTTAAAAAAATCTACAAATTTTTATTGATATGAATATCGAAATAATTCAATAGTGTCAACATTAGTTTCTTCTTCTCTCGTTCTTTCACATGAACAAAATCAAGAAGCTTCGTCATTTTCGTAATTCAAATCATTACAAGATAATTATAACTTACAAGAAAATAAATCAGAGACGATTAATTATTACCGAGATATTTATAGAAAGTGTCCAAAACCATTGACTGTAGTGGATTAGTATAAAAAAAAGATTTCCTTCTAGTCTCAATAATTTTCTCGTACATAAAAGGATATTTCTTAGACCTGTTGGTGAGTATAGCATTACAAACACCCTCATTATCATCCCTTTTATACGAAGAATATGGGATTATGTCTTAAATTGATAATTACGGTTTTGCTCGACAAATCTTCTTTGTCAAATTAACATGGAAATATTTTTAATCTAAAAAATATTTCATTGAATGAATCCTCCAACGCAAAAGTTATATAAACTTTCAATGATCTAATTGATTTTCATAAAGACTTTCATTTCGATGACCCAAACACCAGACAACATTGATCTATCATTTGCCATTATTTTCATTCTTCATTTTTGTGATCTAAAAGAAATAAATATCGAATTTGTTTTAATCTACAATTGTAAGTGTGAGAATGATGATAATCATACTGGACAATAGATCTGTCTACATCCTACAAAAAGGGTAATGACCCACCGATGGTTTATAGTGTTTTTCTTCTCAATAGTAATTCACATTAGAGAAAATGTTTTTTTTTTGTTAATGAGAGTGACTGTTGACTGAAATATAGAATTCATGTATCTCCTATTGTCAGAATGTATTCGAATCTTTGAAGAGGATATTGTCGTGTGTAATAAATCGATGAAGTCGAATTAATATTAAATTTATTCACGAAAATTTTATTGAATAATCATCTAGAATTTGTGTAACATGAATTTTATGTAGATTTACAAGTGAAAGAAAAGAAATTGTTTATTTTTGATTTAAAACTCATTCAAATGAAATCATCTTCATTATCCGTCTAGCCGAAATTGAAATATTCGGATTTCGAAGATATTCTTTTCTTATTATCAAAGTTTATTGATCGACAATGTAGTCGATGATTTGTAACTTGTGCATATTCAATGTATCATTAATAAACAATTTCATCCAATCTTACTCGATAATTCCAAATATTCTTCCACCCTCAACTACTCGATTATGTAATTTTTTCTCTGTTGCTTTCAACTGTGTACAATAATGTCCGACACAAATAATTAATAAACATTCGATACTTTGATCGGATTCTCCTTGTAAACAATGGGTTTTCGGTGTTTCAAACTTCATCCTTAAAATCCATTAATCATCAATGACTAATCAAATAAAATTCATTTATCGATCATATACGGATCACCGTGGAATCTTGAATGGTCATTTGATTATCTCATTTCAATGGTACACATTGGAGACAAATAACAATATAAGTCATTGTTGTCAATTAAATCTTCAATCAGAGTTAATGCTAAACGAAATTATTTCGATTTGACTAATCCAGATGTGAGTTTTGAAGATCGAAATAACGAAATGTAATTCCTAGAAAAAGGAATTCTTTATTCTTATCCTTAAACAGATCATTTCGAATAAGAATCCTGCAGAACAACGTTTTCTCCCTTAATTGATCATTCGGTTTCTATAAATAATGAAAACATCTCAAAATTATGCACATGTAACTTATTCGTTCCTATCAGAAATATCATTTGATCAGTGTTAATAACAAAATCTATTGACTTCTCTTTCCATTGTGAAGAATCTTCTATTTTGAAAATGTTATTTCACTCTGATTGTCTTGACTGTGACATAAATTCCGCATTATGAAGAAAATTCACAGTAGAAGATCTTTCCTACCAATAAGAACCTGAACATTTAATTATTATACTAAACAAAAACGAAACTAGTAACGTGTGTTTGTTATACCAGATTAATTCTTAGATTGATTGTTGATATCATACTACTTAAATCAATCGATTGTCCAATTTAAAAAAGCAATGACGACTGATTGTTTTTTCATAGTAAATATGATTAATCATTGTAAAATTACGATAAGAACGAAATCCATGATAAATTTCTTACAAACATTTAAAATTCTTATTTCAATTGAGTTGTAGTTTTTGTTTTCATTTCTGTTATATGCGTTGCGTTATGACATAACACAAATACACTATTCATTCAGATAGGATAATGCGATGAGTAATATAATGAGAAATGTATCGTGCAAACAACACAAAACATTGGAGAGAAGGGACCCCTATTGGAAATTTTTTTGATATCATTGAATATGTATTAAGTGTTTCCGAGTGAAAGACATATTCAGAAGAAAATGTGATCAAACGAACAAATATGAAAGATTTCATAAGAATATGAATAAACGCAACGAATTTCATTGTTCCGATAGCTTGAACAATTATCAATTTGAAATTTTCTCGAAAAAAAATTGTTCAGTGGATTGTGCATCTTTTCCGTTCTCCAGCCATTGGTGGCGTGTTTGTGACCCGTGTATTTATTTCTCTTCTATAGAAAATAAAACGTTTTATACTGAATGTTCGGGTCTGCGCGTCTTTCTTGTTCTGTTTGTCCATCGACCAATCATCAGTGAACGACGTCGTTAGTTAGCTTTTTTTTCTTTATATTTCCTGTCGCTGGTTGCATCTGTCGAGAAAGGATTCTTTCCTTTTTTTTTCTTTCGTTCTGCGTTCTTCTTTCTAGTCAACAACAAATCATTGCAGAAGCACGACACTCGGTTGAAAAAGTGTATAATTGTTTATCTTGTATTGATAAAAGAACTTCTTTTGCTGTATTTTCGAGTACGAACAACGATGAGTAGTGACGATCATCATCATCATCACCATTCGCACAAACCCAAAGTTCTAGACAAAATTTCCCATAAAATTGCCAATCTCAAGGAAGATATTGTCGAAGCTGTTCGTGATCGAACACATTCAACATCATCCGACCGTCGAAGTTCAATATCGAGCGATAATCTTTCTGTTAACTTAAGTAGTGTATCATCTATACTACATGGCGATGTACCACCGATGAATTCCGACACGGGATCAATGTTCAAAGGCTACGGTATGTATCGAGGTTATATAAAGGTGTGTTTTTTACATTGCGCACTCTGTGAACCGAAGAAAGAAAAAAATTCTACTTTTTTACAAGATCAATAAAAAGTAAAAATAAGGATACTTTTCCATTTTGTAGCTGAGTATGCAAATGTTCGATTACAAAACGTTTAAGACGATTTATGTAAAAATCATAACTCATCCGTTAGTACACAAATGCTAATCTTGGGCGGAGGTATCTTATGTAGATAGTTCAATTTTCAACTAACCTTCCGATTTTTGAATTTTGTGGAAAAAATGTGATTTCACTCTTATTCGCTTTCGTACAGATACAACATCGTTATCGTCAATTCATTCATCAGTATCCACGACTTCAACGTCGGCTAGTGCTGCACCTGTTCGTCATGGTATTGATCAATTAGCAATAAATATGGGTTTCGGTGGAAGAAGATCAAGTATTGTGAATTCTGCAAATGTTTCAACAGGATCAACGACTTCGTCATTGGTGACTGATACATCAAATCCTGTATTTTTACCTACATTAACACCTTCGAATTCAGTTCAAACATTTAATTCATCAGATAATATTTCATTAGATCGAGAAATTTTCAATGAAACAAAAGATGAAATAAAAGAGCGTACAATAACAAAAATCGATCCAGTAGAAATGGTGGCCGAACCTGCTGTTGTTGCTGTTCCAAAGGATCCTGTTCGACGAGCAGCTATGCTCTTAGCTGGCCCAAAATTCCAATTGAATTACAAGGAACTTCCTAAAGAGAAATTACCAATCAATACTGATATGATCTATTCAGTTGCAGTGAGTGTTTTGATTTAATTATGAAAAAATTCATATCTTGATTTTTNCAGTAGAAATGGTGGCCGAACCTGCTGTTGTTGCTGTTCCAAAGGATCCTGTTCGACGAGCAGCTATGCTCTTAGCTGGCCCAAAATTCCAATTGAATTACAAGGAACTTCCTACAGAGAAATTACCAATCAATACTGATATGATTTATTCAGTTGCAGTGAGTGTTTTGATTTAATTATGAAAAAATTCATATCTTGATTTTTGACAGATCGTCGTTGGATTAATTTCGCTTATCTTTGCAATGTGGAAACCTGTATCGTCGTATTTCTCTGGAGCAATCGTTGGTTGTTTATTTGCGGGTGCATTATTTTATATATTTGTCCGAACATTTATCAATGCAAAAATCGAGGAAAATGGTATTGAAGAATGGGTGGATTTTCCCGCTTTAGAAACGATGTTAGCCAAATGTGACAAAGAGGACAAGAACACGAATATTCAAGTTGGTTTTCATTGACTTTTTTTTTCGTTGAGAAATATTTGCATTTGTTTTCTTTTAGGTCACAGGAGCATCGATTGCGTTTCAAAGTTATGATGCGGATCGTGACGATGATTTTGCACGTTACCCATGTGATATTCGTCTGGATGGATATCGACTTATCATTCAACTTGCAAGTAAACCTTGGGGTGAAGATAAAAAAGCAGATAAAGATATGAAATTTATTGGATATAGAGAATACTTAATCAAAGGTGCGTCTTTACCATTCGAAGATCTTATTTTTATTTTTATAATTTGTTCAGAAGCACGAATGATTCTCGTCCCTGAAGCAACGTTAACACGTGCAAAATATTGGATGAATGACTATCCAATTGTTATTCAAGATTTACAAATTCTCGACAAACAGATTCATAACAAACAGCTACTTGAAAAATCAAAACTTGATGCAAATGATTTCTTTACAAACACTGCAACGATCCTTTCTATCTGGTTCGAAACTGCTCCACAAAAAGAAGAATGGTTTCATAAGTAAATTTTAATCAAGCGAAATTTTTCATTTCTTCGATTTTACCTTTCGTTTAGACTTTCATTAGTTTTACGAAAAGGAAAAGAAGAGATCGAACGAACGAATATTCTCACTGGAGGATCAAATCCTTCTCTCTTATCATCAGTTTCTAGTTCATCATTATATCGTCGTCTAGCGCAAACTGATTCGGATACTGAACTTGTACCAGGTCCTGTAATGGAATCTGATATCGAAGCTGCAATTACCGAAACTCAAGCCAATGCAGAAGAATTGCAACAAAAAGCTAAAGTATGTTGAACGAAATTACATTCTCTCTTCGGATATCTGAACGAATCAGAAGGTTTGAGTTCGAATTTCCTACAATTTCAGAAACCTCCTCTTTGTAAACCTATTAAATCGCCTTCGGTATGTAAAACATCACGAAATCCTTTCGTTAGTCATTCAATTCACTTTGTGATATGTAAATTGTCCTTATTGTCTTGTGCACATTGAATATTTCTTTGTAGATCATCGAACCCGAGAATGACGAAGTTGATGCCAGTGGAACACATCGAACAGCAGCAAGAAAATCGAGGAGAACAACTCCAAACAATGCTTGTTTACAAAAAGTTCTTCAATCACCAGAATGTTTAGACGAAGCTGCAATAACAATCAATTTTCTTACTCGTCGCTTACTTTGCGATATGTTTGATATTCCTGTTTTTAAAGATTTGATCAAAACAAAAGTCGAAATGAAACTAAAAGAAGTCGCTGTATGTGTTCAAATGAGAAAGTTTCATTGTTACGAATTGATTTATTTTGTAATAGGTAAAAATTCTCAAAAATCTTCGTGTTACATCGATTGATATCGGAAATACATTTCCCGTTATTTTAAAAATCGAACCCATGCAATGGAATACTCAAGGAATCTGGTTTAATCTATTTGTTTATTATCGTGGAAATTTCAAGTAAATGAAAAAGTTGAAAAAGCAAATTTATATTCTGTTTTGTCTAGATTATCGGTACGAACAAATGTTTTACTTCAGAAATTGACCAATTACGATCCAAAGAAACATAAACCAATCTTTGCTCAACATCATTCAGCACAACTTGTTCATAAAGATGATGAACGAATTGATGAAAATGATTTAGTTCAACGACAAAAGCTTTTAGCTAAAGAGCCCGAAATTCCCGAAATGTAATTTCAAAAACAAAATCATCATTCTTCTCGAAAATCTTGATCATTTAGGGCAGTAACACGAAAAGTCGGTTTAGCATTGACCAATTTGGCGTTAAACAAATACTTTCAAATGTTTGCAAATATTCCATTCGTTAAAAATTTATTTGAGAAATTCTCGGAAAAAGAAGTCGGAGCTGATGTTGAAGTGACCGGCTTCAGTGGAATACTCACCGTAAGTTTCAAAACCGAATTTATTTTTACATTCATTTTCGAATTTACATCTATCAGTTAAACATTCCTCCACCACCAAGTGATCGAATTTGGTAAAGACAGCAATCGTTCGTTTGAAGTTTTCATTTTTTATTTTATTTACAGGGTGGGATTTCCAGAAATGCCGGATATTAGTATTAAAGTCGTACCTGTCTACGGTGAAAATCAATATGCATATACATTACTTCAAGATTTCTTATCTGCAAAAGTTCGAGCGGAATTGAAGGTTTGAAAATGTCAACTATCTTTTCATTTTAAACACGAAATCTTCTCATATTTTCAGAGACTTGTGGTCCTACCAGCAATGGATGATCAACTTCTTCCGTTCTTTCGTGATTGGGCCATTGATATCATGTAAGTTAAAAAGCAATATCTCATCAATAATCTCATTCTTTTCGTGTTATATTCCAGTGGTCAAATTGTATCTAAACCAATCAATCCATCAACAGATAATTACAAAGAAAAATTGAATGCTCAAACATCAGTTCGAGCTGGATTAGAAGAATATAATAATATGAAAGAGACGAAACCTTCAACATCTACATTATCAGCTTTCGAGTCAACTCAACTTTAACAAATTTTATGTTTCATTAGTCTTTTGTGTATTTTAATCCAGCCATTTTTTTTTCTTATACATGTACATAAGTGTTAATTATTATTAAACAGGCGAAAAAAAAGTGTTGTAAGCGAATAAAATCAGTCGTTAAGAGAACCCATCTATCGAAGAGAAAAACCGATGGTGTCAGTATATAACAATGTCGTTCTCTATTCGATGATTCAACTTTCCTTCGGAATACTATTGAGAACCACATAAGAATATTCTTGTATTTGTTATTTGGTCGGACCAGTCACATTGCTTTCGACACGAGACTCTTCATTTGTTCTCGTTTGGTAGTCGTTGTGTTTTTCTTCTCTCGTTCTTTTGTCGATCAAAAATACATGAATAGCAATTGTGACATGTAAATATGAAAGGGACTGTTTGAATCTCTCATTGAAAAGTTAGTCATCATTATGATTTCACAGTTATCTTGACGGAAAATTGCATTTTCGTGTTTTTTCTCTCAATAATGTTCGATGTTGATACTCGTCAAGATATTTATACAAAAAAAGATATTAAGACACAATCAGTCAGCAGATCAAACATTCGAATTAAAAGATTTTGTCGAAGATTACCTACACAAGTTAACCATACAGATCAATTTCTGAAAATATCTACCGTACTGACATGTATTTTCATAACAATGATCTTTTCGGTAAGTTTTTCTTCATTTTCTTGAAGAATGTTTTATGATTGTATTTATTTGAAGTGTTATTGTATTATATATGGTCCTATTGGTTCTATAAACAAAGGATTGTTCATCTTATTATCGATTTTATTTTGGTGTTTTTATATGATTCTATTTATTCCTCCTATTCGTTATTATCAATGGTATCAACGTGTTGCTGATCGACGCTCATTATGTCAAATAATTCCTACATTTGCATATGTAAATGTTCCAAATGTACTCAATGTCTTATCAAATATTCCATTGATATTTATTGGAACATTTGGTATTCTTTTACTTTCATCATCGAAAAGCATCGTTCGTCAAAATACATTCGAACAATTTACTTGGATCATATTTTTTATATGTGTTACTTTGACTTCTATTTGCTCATCTTATTATCATTTTCGACCAACAAATCGTTCTCCTCTTTGGAATCATTTTCCGATATCCATTGGATTTTTATCACTGATCACCCTGCTCATTGATGAACGTATTAATCCCGTTCTTAGTCGAATTCTCTTTCCATTTCTAATCATTTCTAATTTGACATCATGTATTTACTGGTATTATCAAGATGATCTTCGTCCTCATCTTCTTATTCAATTTTTCCCGATGATTTATATTCCATTCTTATTGTTAATATCATCATCAGTCTATAGTCAAACATCTTGTTACGTCTATGCGTGTTTTCTTTGTATATTGGCACAATTGAGTGAAATAGGAGATAAACAAGTATTTCGTTTTACATCGAAAATAATTAGCGGACATACGCTGAAACATATTCTATCTGCGTGCAGTTTTCTCATTATTTTGTATATGTTAAAAGTTCGAGTCATTTTGTAAAAGAGATGTTTTGTTCGTTGTGTATGTTTATTCAAGCAACTTGAAAAGTTATTTCGTTTCTTTTTCTTCAAAATAAACATAGGTCGAATATATTTTTCAGGATTAATCTTTTCATTTTCTATTCATCGTGGTTATTCTTCTCTTTGTTTTTAATGTAACTATTGGTTCGACTGATATGTGATTTCGATGAAAAATTACGACCATAAATCCCTGTCCTCGATGTAAATCACGCCATAAACCAAAGAGACAAACAAAAGGGCAGAGAGTGGTTGTCAAATAAGGTAAATAAACAAAATATTCCAAGAAAAGCATTAAGGAAGTCGGCGATTGCATTTGTGTAAAAGAATTAATCTGTCCGGAAACTAAAAATGGCATCCAACATATGGTGTAAAGTGATGCGACGCTAATCAATTGAAAAAACATTCGAGCATTTTTCGACCAAAGTTGAGTTTGCTGCATGCGATGTTTGTGTCGCAAGATTCGAATAGTCAGAACAACATTTGCAATGACAAGAATCAACATCGGTGTGCCATGATCAACCAACCACGAGAAAACTTGCCAAAATGGAATATACATATAACAAGGTGCACCACACCAAAAAATAAAATAGAAAAATTCATTTGTACATGGAAATAAGAAGACGAGAAATATATAGAAAAGTACAGGGAAAACAAAACAACATGTTAAAGGGAGATAATGAAGAACAAGTTTGTGTTTGTTTAGAAAAGCTGAATGAAAGATAAACAGGTGTCTTTCAATACTTCCGACCGCTGTTGTCCATAGACTCATACCGATGAGTGAAGCACTCATGAAACACCACCATTGACAAAACATTGGTGAAGCAACAGCTGCGAAATTTAAACGAAGAAATGCCAATGACAAGGGTAACTCAGCAGTTGCCTATAGAAAAGAAAAGTAATGACAATGAGAAAGAGAGAACAAGTGAATTAATGTAGTTAGTTAAACCTGAATGAAATTGATGATGATTATACAAATGATGAACAAGTTTGTATCACGACGACGAACTTCCGGTGTATGAAGGATCCGGTAGAAGAGATATATTGAACAGAGAATCGATGGAACAAGTAAAATTATTAAAAAATTGAAAATGATCATTCGACTTTGGGGAATTGTAGATATGAAGTCATTGGTCGGTAAAGAAGAAATTGTTGTATTGTCTAACTGTGACGACATTTTCAACGATGCAATTCAGTGTATAGCTCAGAATTTTTCCATCTCAGCTTTTATACTCAAAAATCACGCGCCGGAAAACTATGAAATTAAGAGCTATTTACTTATTGGCAACAAACATGAGAAGCCTCTTGAAAGGGATTTTCATGCTGCTTTTAAATTCACAAGAAAATTTATGAGATTAAAAATACAGATCAAATTGACAACGAAGTAAACTCATTGCTCCTAATAGTCTTACGTGTGTAACATCAAGTCACGAGAAAATCTAAAAACAGAGTGACTTTCTGTGAGAAAAGAATCTGCTTGTAATCTGAACAATTAAATAATTATATTCAAGAATAAGAAGTCTAACAAAGTTGAATTGTTTGTTTGGCACTGCTTGGTCTCGTCTGGAATTCATTAGTTTGTGAAAAGTTCTTTTGTTTTAATGTAGTTTTTATAAGAACGAAGGTAATATTCGCATCTTCAAGTGAGAATTCAAATATGTTATTTTAAAAGGAACAAAGAGTTTAAAACAAGACAATAAGTTCTTTTTGTTAAATATGAAAAGTCCTTAAAGTTGAACGATGTTTTTCTTCCATCAGTCGGTAATCTTCGCTGAAAGCCATTGAATATTTAATGTCACAGTTTATTTTAAGAAGTAAGTCATTCTATAGTCAGCATGATATTGAAATTGCGAACCGATTATAATGATGAATTTGCATTTTTTTTTTCGGATTCGTTATCTTGTGCACATATAAAGAATGAGAAAATGGAACATGTTTTATCATTTCACAACGATTATTTTTGTCAATATGCGCATATTTCTTATCTTCGTTGCCATTTTCGCTGTTTCACAAGCGGTAAGTGAAGATCAACATCGAACTCTTTGGAATTCCTTCAAAAATGTTCATAATAAAGTTTATTCGAATAAACAAGAAGAAAAATATCGGTAAGTTCAAAAGTAGACACACATTCGGATCATTTTTCACACATTTTTTTCAGTTTCGGAATATTTAAAACAAACTTGGCTAAGATCAATAAACATAATTCCGAAGCCGAAATCGGTTTACATTCATATACACTAGGAGTCAATCAATTTGCTGATCTGGTAAATGATGAAGTTGTTTTTATCTTTCTTATTCATTGAATCGTTTTAGACACATGACGAATTCGCTAAGAAAATGTTAGGTGGAGTGAAAATTCCTGCTGATCCATTGAAAAGACCAACTGGACAACGATTTAACCCACCAGCTAATGTTGAAATACCAGCATCGGTCGGCAAGTTGACGTGACATTCATAAGAATTCAGCGATTCATGTTGAATATGTTTTCAGATTGGCGAACAAAAGGTGCGGTAATTTCAGTCATTGAAAATCAAGAACAATGTGGTTCATGTTGGGCATTTACCGCAACAGGTGCTTTGGAGGGTCAACATTTTCTCAAAACAGGACATTTAGTTCGATTATCTGCACAAAATTTAATGGATTGTTCCGGTAAATTCGGTAATATGGGTTGTAATGGAGGCTTGATGGACGCTTCATTTGAATATATCAAAGCCAATGATGGTATCGATACTGCAGACAGTTATCCATATGAAGCCAAAGATGGTAAATGCCGTTTCACTCGCGCAAATGTTGGCGCAACTGATACAGTTCGTATTGTGATCGTTTTCTTGTCTTATTATTACAATCGTTGTTGACTTTAGGGTTTTGTCGATCTTCCCGAAAAGAATGAAACAGCGTTACAAATTGCTATAGCTACAGTTGGTCCAATTTCAGTTGCAATCGATGCTTCGCACAGTTCCTTTCAACTCTATAAATCAGGAGTTTATTATGAACCAGCTTGCTCATCAACAAACATCGATCATTCATTTGTCTTAGTTGGTTATGGTACATTGAATAACAAAGAATATTACATAGCCAAAAACTCTTGGGGAGATACTTGGGGTGACAAAGGTTATGTTTTAATGAGCCGAAATAAAAATAATCAATGTGGTATTGCAAATATTGGTAGTTATCCTCTTGTTTAATAAAATCAAGAAAATCATTTATTGTTTTGTATTTATTTTCAATGAAATTCAGTAGAAAAATAATCAAAAGTGAACTTTTTTGTTTTATTATTGAAAGAAGATTGAAACAACATCCGGTTGTGTAACGGCGTTCTCTGCGTCCATCTTCCGTCGTTCTGGACCTGTTGGAATTTTACTCCAATCAAACTGAGAATATTCCGTTAAACTTCTCTGTGATGCTCGTTGACGTACCGCATCATTGAGCCAATTTCTATTCGAAGAAAAAAGAAAATCAAACAGATTCGAATCGATTCTTCTCATAAAACTTTTACTCTTCCAACTTTTCATTTTCATTCAAAACTTTCTTGATCGTTTTCGATCCTGTGAGTAATGGTTTCTTCGGTAAAATTCGTTCTTGTTTAAGTACAATATGAGATAAAAATCCGACTTGATTTGCGACACGTTGTCGGTCAGGATGACAATCACTGTACGCCTGAGCACGTTCGATACTCGAAATTGCTAAACAAAAAACATGATTTTATATTAAAATTAGATTTGTTTCACGAACTTCTTCGATCCAGAACGCGTAATTTAGGAAATAAATCTAACATTGTTGATTTATACCCTTGAACAAACGTCACTGAATTATCGAAAAGATCTAAATGAAAATTTCATTTTTCTAATATACGTAACAATTGTCCAAGACGTACTGAGATCTTCCAATGCACTTAAATGTCGTAATTCATAAGCAAGAGTAGTTAAATTCGAGATTTGATTATTTTGTAAATGAAGAACTCGAAGATTTTTCAATTGTCGAAATGTTCCTTGAATATTCGATATGTGATTATTTCCTGCATAGAGTTCAGCTAATGCGTAATTTGTTCGAATGAAATCTAAGTTTTGAAGATGATTTCCATCAATTGAAAGACTTGTTAAATTTGGAAATTGATCAAGTGATGGAATACTTCGAATATTTCTATTAAGGCAAGAAATTTTCGGCCTTTTTTTTTAGGAGAAAATCAACGTACCGATCGTTGAGATGAAGTGTCGTCACATCTTTTTTAACTAAAACTTTCGAATTTTGTTGTTGTTCGGATAATTTCAAAGTCTTAAACGAAGAAAACTGAGTTCTAATGAAAGAATTAACGAAATCTTACATCGATTAGTAAAGTTCCTTGATCTTGCTCACCATCGGTCTTGATGCGAAGCATTTTGGCAACTAAGCGACGTGTTTTCTTGTTGTATCACACAATGATTTTCATTAGTTCGAAAATAATTTTCCTAACAGACAAATCCGACGAGAATTTCTGAAAAAAATCTCGATTTGACCGTCGGAAAATAATCCAACGAAAAAACTTTTATTGAAAAGCGACAACTACCGTGGAAATTCGTCTTCTTACAAAGACAATTCACCAATAAGAAAATGAGATAAAGTAAAACTCCAATAGAACAAAGAAAAATTCGCATTCATTGACCGAATTTGAATGTTTTATTAATGAATTCAATCACACTCTTCGGATATAACTCTATCGCATCTCATCTCGCTCGAATCTTCTCTTCCGGCGGCCTTCAAATCTATTTATATCCATCCGAACATGCTTCGTCATATTCATCGCCATATTTTACGGTTATAAACGATGCGAATGATATTCCATACTTATCGTCGATATTGATCAATTGTCAAAATGATTTTCATTTGGTTAAGAAGCTTGTCAATTCATTTCCGAAAGAATATAAACAACGAATGGCGTATGTGGAATGTTCATCGACTTGTCGATTGAATCAATTGGAATTGTTTTTTGAGGAAATGAAATTTTCGTTTTATCTTTTTATGAATTTAATTGAATTGGATACGAGCACGTTGATTCAACCACATTTTCACCTGATTTGTAGTGGCGATGAAGTCGTTTATGAGAAATTACTTCGACAAAGACATCTTTCCGTGAAAATCACACTTTTATATCAAACGAGGAGCCCATTCGATGCATTTTATCTCTGTTTATTACATCGATATTCTCAGGCAATTCATTTACTCATTTACGCAGAAATTATGGCCATTCTCAAAGCTGCGAACGAGGTTTATCCAGGTAAATTCTCATTTATTTTTTCAAAAGAAACTCGACATTCGAATTTACAGGTAATCTTCAATATTTATTCGATTGGTCTTATATCAAACGTCCATTGATGCGTCAGATCATCCTTGAATCTTCCCCTTCATCATTTACATGTACAACAATCAATGATTTTCAAGATCTTCTTGAATGTCTTATTGATTATTTTCCGAAACAAATGTTCAATCATCATTTACAACAAATCACCTATAAACTTCACGGATTAATTTCAAATTTAGATTCCAATCAAAAGCAAATTCCCCTTTTTCAATTATTTACACTTTATTAAATCAATGTTTTACATTTAGTCTAATTTGATATTGTCATAGTAATAATCCAAATAGTAATTCGATGTTGTTTTGTTTCTTTAGATAAAAAGAAACTTTAGAGAAAGATATTCAATGGATGATTATTCAACGAAAATTAAATTATCTGCTGAACATTTAATACGTGTAGAATTTCCGGAGAAAGCTTTAGAACTTGATACACTTGTTTCTGTTTGTATTCAACGAATAACAACTTTCCGGACATAAATGAACTTTTTTCTCTTTAGAGTCAAGTTTTATCATTCAGTGAAGTGACTAAAGTCCGAGCAGAAATTCAATTACCAACAGCTGAAGATTTGGTCGCACATAGTAATAACATCGGATCTGGTGATGTACGTTTCAATTGACTAAAGTCTTTCGAACTTGTTTTCTCTTTGTCAATGATTACAGGATCGTCATAGTACCAGTTCAGCATCGAATAGTAATGCAACAAAGAAACGTAAAACTGAATCGAGTGATCATATCAATCATGATGTTCTGAGTGGTACTCCAATTTATGTTTTTCATGGTGTTGTTCCATCGAATCCATTGATAACAACTCTTGAAGAAAAACTCAAACCATACATCTTTCATTTTCTTGATAGTGTAAGTTTATTTTGACTTTCAGCAATGATTTATCGATTCGATTGTGTTTAGATCGCGATTATTAAATTGTGGATCCAATTAATGATTCCAAAAGTTGAAGACGGAAATAATTTTGGTGTTAGCATACAAGAAGTAAATATTAAGAAGTTTTTATTGGACACGAGAGAAAAGATGTGACTTTGTTTAGGATTCATTAGCGGAAGTGCGAACATTGGAAACGGATGTGACACAATATTTGGATTTGACATATAAATATTTGATTTCGCGTGGTGAATTAGTGAAGAAAGTAGCGAAGTATCCTCATGTGGATGATTATCGTCGAAGTGTTCAATCGTTGGATGAAAAACAATTCGTTTCAATGCGTTTTATCGCTCTTGAACTTCGAAATCATTATGTAACGTTAAAAACACTTGTTAAAAAAATATTTGTAAAATTATTTTCTCGACTTAGACGAGTGTTCACGATCTTTTGATGAAGAATTTGGAGAAGATCAAAAGACCAAGATCAGTTCAAACACATTCAATGTATTAAAGAAAAATCTAAAGAATGTTATTTCATAAAGATCCCATTTATTCTCTAAATCGTTCATTTTTTTTTCGTGTTCCTGTTCTCAATAAATTGTTACCGTTCTTCATTGAAATGACAGATAAAAATTCATCTTTTCAGTCGACAAATACGATCAAAATTCCATCTTTTTGAACTTGGTTATATTCGTAATCTAATTAAATAAAGAGATGACGCACGGTAAACAAGTTTGGAATATAAAAAACCAGCTTACGTTGAACCGATCGTGACAGGTAATTGAAGATGGATTTGCCGAAGCTAATCGTCGGAGTTATTTCTGGAAATACATGAACACTATGAAGATTTGTCGTACATTTAAAACTAAAAAGCCTTTAGTTGATTATCCTTATGATTCCATTGTTTAACATTTCTTGAATACCGGTCGTCATAGTTTACATTGTTATGAATATATATATCTATGTATTAGCATTTTTGTAGACAAAAAATACGATTGAAACAAGAGCTATACTCTTTCTTTTTCCATTGAAACGAGAAAAAGAACAATTATTTTTTGCTCCTTAGCAAAAACTGACAAGAGATATTCCCTTTCTTACTTCGATTTCCGGTACAATTATGCAATTTCCCGTGATTCTATTGATTGTCTCCATTTTAATGATTCCATCATTCCATGCCATCGCCATCGATGATTTTCATTGTAAAGTGCCAACTTGTCGTGATTTCCACTATGTAAGTTCACATAATAGTCTTCTTGGTTCTTTGAAACATATCATTCTAGGGTTTAATCGGTCATCGGCATCACCAAAAATTTGTTGATGTTTGTTATGAGACTGTCTATGCTCTTCAAAATATTCCGAATCAAGATGGAAAATGCATCGATGATCGAACAGGCAAAGTTCATCCACCATGCATTTGTAAGTAAAATTCACTTCCACAGAATTGTCAATTGGATGTCTTGATTTTTCTTTCAGATGCATTGGCTTATACAATTAAGAAATGTATGTTTGAATTGAAAGAATTGGGCGTAAAAGAAGCAAGTTTCTATTGTGGATTTACGTTGATGAAGTATTGTGCAGTGCATATTGGTCTCGATCATATTCCTTTGAACAGAGACGGAAAATATAGATAGAGATGATTGATTTCCGGCATCAACAACATTGTTAAGAATTGCCTGATTCGAAATTGAATATCGATCTTATTTATTGTTCATGTTATGTTGATGCATTAGGAAAACGAAATAAAAATTGGTGAGAAAAAAAGCGAGTTTTTTCAGGTTTTTTTTTCTGTACAAATTCTTTCAGGAAATAATATTTTCGTACAATATTGCTTGCGTCTTAATAAAAGGAAATTTTCTTTTTAATTCATATTTCCGGAGTAAATACACAGAGTCGATTTATGACAAAGTATATCGTATAAACGGATTCAAATTCCATGAGAATCAAAGTACCGACTACTTACTTAAACATAGAAGCAATAGTTGCATTGACAAATCAAATTCACTTCAGTATTTTTTTTAATAAGAAGGCATTCTCTAAAATTTGATAAACAGACCACATACATATCGTTCTTTTATTTCAGTAGGCACAAAAAATACCATTTACTTTTGTTTATATTCATATAAGGTATTTCGGGTATTTTCATGTTTATCTTTGGAAAAATTAGAAAAAAGAGCCCTCTATTTATTGTGTGGGTTGCTTATGGATCATGAGTTCTATTTGTGGATTATGGATTCGTAATCCTCTTCTAAAATTTAACTTCAGTCTCATGTTTCTCATTATTCAAAACGAGATTCAAGTACATAAGGACTTCATCTTTAATGTCACAATCATATCAGATTTCTCAATTGTGAATCAACTCATCAATGTTCACAAATTTCTTTTTCAAATAAATTTTCACAGAAAAATTGTCAATCAAAACTGACAGTTCTTCGTTCTTTTGCTAAAAATAAACTACAAATTATTTTCGTCTTGACAGGAGCTTTTCTCTGATAGAAAGACAATCTCCAGACGAATATTTCGAATAGTTTCGTTTTTCACACGTCGACTATACGACATAAAAGCAAAGTATTTATAATACTCGTAGTATTAAAGAAAAAACGGACAAGAATGTAAAAAGAAGAGAAGTATTTCGTTTGACTTCGTAAAATTTGTATCCAGATAAATATGAAGAAATCAACTCTTTTGTTCATTGTGATCACATTGATCAATTCATCTCTGATCAATTCATCTCCGATCAATTCAGTGCTGTTGGAAAATTTTCACTGTAAAGTGGCAACATGTCGAGATTTTTATTTTGTAATTCCTTGTGATCATCTTGTCAATTGTGTTACGACCTAATGATTTTAGGGTTTGATAAACAATCCACGTCGAGAAGAATACGTTGATGTTTGTTATGATACAGTTCATGCTCTACAAAGTATTCCGAATCAACATGGAAAATGCATCGATGATCAAACAGGAAAAGTCAATCCGCCTTGTATTTGTAAGTCAATATAATTGAACAAAATTAGCAATTAATAATGTCAATTTTCGTTCAGATGCATTAGCTCTTACAATTAAGAAATGTGCGTTGGCATTACAGGAATTGGGCGTAAGAGATGCAAATTTCTATTGTGGATTTACCTTGATGAAGCACTGTGCAGTGATTATCGGTCTCGATGATATTCCACTGCGTGTAGGTAGCAGATTTGATTAAAATTTTGTTTTTCGAAATCAGTAACAATATTACTGATTTGTCGTTTTGAAATTAAATAGAGATTTCTAAATACTGCATGCTTTGTAGAAGTATTGGATAAATCAAATAAATATTGGAAAAAAACTGTGCTTTATTTTGATTGTTTTTGAAATCGTATTTTCAATTCGACTTTATATGTGTCTAACGGAACGGTCTAAGATGAAATTGTAGCATTTTGTTCTGAATAGATCATATGAAAATTCAAACGTAACAAGTCATATGTTTTAATGTTTATTATCGGATTTGTCTGGTTTGTATCTGCTAAAAACAAGTTTAGGAACCTACTTGGTATTGTTGATAGACATGATTTATGATAAAACACACCCTATTAATAAATTTCCGACAACTCACGCAAATATGAAATGAATAATAAGTTTAATCTGTGTGCTCCATTCGAGTACTTACATATAAAAATAAATGAAGAGAATATATGAATATGATTTTTCTTGAGCTAAATAAGAATTAAATGAAGTTAGTTTGGAATATTTCGATTATTTTCATGACGAAAATCGTCTATGAATGAAAAAGATGAGTTCTATTATATAAATTTTTCAAAAGTCTTCGATTACATTTGTAATCCTTTTCTCAAATTTGAATCTGATAATTTCATTTTTTCCATGATAGAATCCGAAGACGAATACATCAAGTTCTTTCATTTTGTGTTATTAACAAATTCTATCTATTGATTATAGATAAAGTTAAACATCACTCGCAAAAAGTCTGTTTTCTCAACTGTTCTTCTCTTACTTACACATTGTTTTTATTCATAGGTAATTTTCAAAAAGAATTTCATATTCAAACTGAGAGTTTTTCCTTTTTTCACTAAAAATAACTTTAAATTTATATTCATCTGCAAAGTACTTTCTTTTATATCAGTTTTTATTCTTTTCGTTGACGAAAGTACTCCTTCGAAAAGAATTTTCTTGGAATATTTTGAGTTCCGATCATCATCCTATCTGAAGGCCGATTCCAGACGAATATTTCGAATAATTTCGTTTTTCACACGTCGACTATACGATATAAAAGCAAAGTGTTTATAATACTCGTAGTATTAAAGAAAAAACGGACAAGAATGTAAAAAGAAGAGAAGTATTTCGTTTGACTTTGTAAAATTTGTATTCAGATGAATATGAAGAAATCAACTCTTTTGTTCATTGTGATCATATTGATCAATTTATCTCTGATCAATTCAGCGCCGTTTGAAAATTTTCACTGTAAAGCAGCAACATGTCAAGTATTTTACTCGGTAAATCTTCAATTACATTCGTTTTCGTTCTAACAAATGAATTTTCGAATAGGGTTTACGAAATCATCCTCGTTACCAAGAACATATGGAAACATGTTACGATACAGTCGCTACTTTCCAAGCAATTCCACGTCATTTTGGTAAATGCTATAACGAAGCGACTAGACAAATTAATCCCACTTGTATTCGTATGTTCTTTGATTGAAAAGGTCAATGCAATGCATTGATATAAATGTTAAATTGTAGATGCTGTAGCAAAGACGATTAAAAGTTGTATTGTAAAAATGCATGATGTGTCTGATATTCATGCACGATATTATTGTGGTTATACATTAATGAAACATTGTGCTGGAAATGTTGGTTTGGATCGATTTCCTTTGAATTTTCCATTACGTCGTTTAGTGGATGAATAAGAATTTCAGAAGCAAATTAGACATTCGATTTGGTTTTTTTCTCTCTTCAGATTTCGATAGTATAGTTTGAGTTGGATATCTTGTCTTCATCGGTTAAAATTCATATAAAAGAAAGTGTATATTATACAAATAAAAGATCAGTCCTGTGTTGTCTTATAATGCGAGTAGCATTTGAAAATATTTATTAAGAAAATATGTATGTTGTATGATGAAGTGAATTTACTTTTAGTAAATATTAAAGACAAATTCACAGTACTGGATCATACATTTAAGATCAGACATATCCTTTATATTGGATACTAATTAATAAAGTATTGAGTTATGGTACTTTTACCTTTCTTATTTAGTTTCGTAGATAAACATTCCGATAAAATCTTTTTCACTTCATCAGGAATACACAACACATCATTACATTTGAAGTACGCACAACGTTCAGATTGATAGTCCAGTTTTCTACAATCAGTTTATTGTTCATTTAAAGATCTAATAATTAACAGTAGTACTGTTCATTCCTGAGGTCAACCATCTTATTACAAGGACGATATAGTACTACTAGTATATTTTCCTCCAGATAATAATTTATCATTGTTTTTTACATTAGTGAAGATAGTCATTTAGATGTAAAAACTATACACATTTCTTTTTCAAATGAACAGTAAAATAAATCCGGATGTACCATTTGAAAATACCTCAATTCCTATAATCATCAATATATTCTCGACCGAAGTTCTCGAATCCAATTAGAATGAGAAAAAATGATACTGATCATGATGTAATATAGACTTATCAATTAAGTGCGGATTTCAACACACTATACACGATCTGTTCATAAATGATATTGATTGTATTAATCTGTGTTTTGAGTTTTGTGTTATCTTAGAAGAACCTTATAATGGATACACTGCACCCATGATCGACTTTACCACAAGACCTTTCGTCAGCCTGTTCATTTTTCTCACGATTATTTCTACAGACGATCTATTTGGTGTACAATTCTCATTTTGTTTTCCTTCCAGACACGTGGGCGACTTCGAATAGTGGAAGATAAATCGGAATATCGTCCGATTACAATCATCATTGTACTAGGAACACACAATCATATGTATTATACAAACCATTCTTCTCGATCCAGGGAGAAAATAAAAATAGTTCTTATGTGACCGATCGCTATCGAGGGTTACTTCTGTGTTTGTTATTGTTCACGAAACAAATACAAAAGAAGTAATACACGATTGGTCGTCGTATCATATAAACAGAAGTGTTCATGAAACAAATTCTATCATTTATCCATCATTAGATTACTATCTGTTAACTATACTTGGTGACTTGATAATCATGCAAATCTTCAACTTTTATTGTTTATTATTATGCAGCATGGTCATCTTTGCTGTACACCAAATCAATGCAAGTGAACGTCTCGAAGAAACTAAAAGTACTATTTCATCTGAAATTACTGCCACAGGTATGTTGAGAAATACTGACCAACATGAATGATTCATCTTCTCTTTAGATACTCCTGAAAAGACACTGACACTACGTGATGTACTTTTTCAAGGACAACAAGATGTTTCTGAAGGTGAGTGTGATTTTCGTTTGACTATGGGCATTGTATTGCGAATGAATGCATGAGTAAATATGTGTTAAAGACGATAGACGATGATGAGACGTTTCATGATGAGTGAATGTACTAGATAAAGCTGTTACTGTGATTTTGGAGATCAGTTTATTAATCAATACATTTTTCTTTCGTTTTAGCTAGCGGTCCATTAAGGACACGTCAATTTGGTCAAGTAAGTGTTTCAAATGGTCAAACAAATCTTTTGCTCGTCAGTGACGGAAGTGGTAAATATTAAATAAATTAGTTTTTCTTCGTTTCTCGTATGCATAACTGTACTACTTTCACTTTAGTCCCCCAATGCGGTAAAGGCCAAGTTTCACTTTCGCAAGCCGCAATCATATGTAAATAAATAAGACAGTTGGCGATTGATAAATGTAATTTGATGAAATTCAATATTCTCTTTTTTTTCTACATTACTAAAATCTTGAATCATTAATAAAATATTAAAACGTATTTTGATTATGTGTTATACTCGAGTGAATTTTGTGTGAACAGATACAATTACTGTTTGTTACTGAACCAAATATCTGTGAAAATAATCATGAGCAGTGATGAAACAACTTAGTTGAGCATCGAAGATAAAGAAGAGTGGAAAACGACTCTGAATCACAAGATAGATAATGAAATACGAGAATTGCAAAGCTATCTTATGACTGTATGAACTCTTCATTTCAATATCAGACTTCTCTAACGAATACTGTCGAAAAAGTCCAAACGCATTCAGAATGTAAGTATGATGACATGCTAAACAAAGTAGTTAAATGTATGGGATACTAGTGCGTCAATTGACTGAAAGTAATGTTCATTCGATATGTCATAATCGACTATTCACCAAACGAAAATTCCGTAAAAGTAAACATCATTCACAAGTTAATAACTATTCAGTAGTATTGAAAAATAAACTCAATACTTTGTTACCATGACAATTTTCTCTGATTAAATTATATAAAATGAGAATACAGTGTCTACATGTGCAAAGATCTTTATTTATGTTTTTTTAAATTTGTTTATTTATTCAAGTTTTTTTTTGTATTGTTCGTTTGTAATATTTTTTTGTTAAGTTACACACTCATACTGATAAAGGCAAGAAGTGTTTAATGCGTCGCACAATTAACTTGTGTTGGTCCACCACGAACGCGTGGATCATCTTCGTCATACATATCATGTCTTTGCGATCGTTGTGATTGTCGAGGATCAAATTCTACCAAAACACATTCTTCAGCATCCATGGGTATTGTAACTTCTGAACGTGCTGGTAAGACGTTTTCTAGTTGTGTAATAGCTTCTGATCGTAATTCATTTTTATTTGGAAATTTCACATCGAAATGCAGAACCAATCGACCTTTTTCCATTGGATTTCGGTAAACAGGCATACCTTCATTTAATACACATTTTATATCTCCAGGTTTGACGATTTCACCTACAAAATAAACGCAATGTTCGATTATGGAATGAGAAAGTCAATTGTTTGTACCTGGTAATGACGTTATAACTAATTGTCGATTGTCTAAAGTTTTAATAACTTTTTGAAATCCACATAAAGCTTCTGTTAATGTAATTTGCATTTTCATATGCAAATCGGTTTTGTCTCGTTTAAATGTCGCATGCTCTTTTTCATCCAAAACAACGATAATATCTCCTGGTTCGAGTCCTGGTTCTTGATCTCCTTCACCACTAAACGTAATTTTCTTTCCATCTTCCATACCTAGCCAAAATAAGAATCCTTAGAAAATTTCTTCGACTTTCACATGAAATTTACCTTTATCAATATGAACTTCGATGATTTTTCTTTCCCGGACGATCTTTTTTCCATCACATGTTTTACATTTGTCTTTCTGATTGATTTTTTCTCCTTGACCATCACAATCTGAACAATGGGATCGCATTTGTTGGATCATTCCCGGCGCTATTTGATTAACTCGTACGACAAAGCCACTTCCATTACAAGTCGTGCACTTCGATACCGCACCTTTCTTTCCACCGCGGCCTAAATATTGAAATATTTCTTCTCTTAATCAATCAAAACTCTCTTCTTTGCTCACCTTCACATTTGTCGCACACAACATTTTTCTGTAAAGCTAATTTTCTAACGGCTCCATTGTAAAGTTCCTCTAATGAAACAGCAAGTTGATGAACGAGATTTTTTCCCCGATTATCTTGACGACCGCCGAATGGACCGCCACCACTGCCGCCAAAGAACATATTGAAGATGTCGAATGGATCCGATCCGTGAAATCCACCAGCGCCTGCGCCTTCTTTCATTCCTTGTTCGCCAACTTGATCGTACAAAGTTCGTTTCTTTTCATCAGATAAAACTTCATCTAAAAACGAAAGGTTTTTTCCAGGAAAAAATCGAAATTTTTCATTCAATGAAAAACAAACTTACATGCTTGGGATAATTGTTTGAATTGTTCTGGATCATTGTCCGGATTTTTGTCTGGATGTAATTTCAAAGCTAATTTTCGGTAAGCTTTCCTAATTTCATCCACAGTTGCAGTCGGTTGTACACCGAGAATATCGTAATATTTCGTATCTTTAACCATAATTGGCAATGAATTTGAATTCGAGAAGCTTCTAGAAAAGTCGACGACTATGAAGTTACTAGCAGTTGAATAAAAACACTCTACGTTTGCTTATATTTATATATATACGGCAAGAAAACGGATGGAGAAGGAAGAAAAAAATTCAATGGGGCAAATATGACTCAGACCAATCAGATTCTAGACGACAGAGAACACACAAAAAAAAACAAAATATAGATGGTTGTTCTTTTGAAACTTTTCTTAGAANAGGATCGGTTGTGAAGTGGCTGATCGATGACGATGATAGGTTCGTGGTCGTTTGGTGACAACGGGAAAACGATCGTTTGTATGTGTTGATGATGAAGTGGTCATGTCATGATGAGTCTCTTCATCGTCGTGATCATCGTCGGCAGCAAGAAGAAGTGCTGCTTTTTCTTGGTGTCCTAAGTGATGCATTGAGGCTTTATTGAAAGTTTCAGTTAAACAATCAGCATAATATTTGATTTCATTTCTATTCTGCACTAATCAATAAATTGTCATGAGTAAAGGATGAAACACGAATCGGATAGCGGCCGATACTAGATGGCGTAGGTGAATGCGTAAAAATTGAAGCGTGCTGCTGTTCGTTTCTGAATTTCAGTCTTTTGTGGTTTTATCTAAATTAACATCATTAGGATGCAAATTGTGAAAAAAAATGAAAGGAATTTTGCGATTGTTATCAGTGTTTGGGCTCCTAATGGAATGTTTGTCATTCCATACGATAGGATGGGAGACACTGGATTCTCCCATCACATGATGATAACAAAGAGATCTTCCATTGGGGTTGTCAACAAAGTTCTGGCGTTCTTTTCTGAAATCTTGTGGAATAACCTAGGAAGTTCTAGAAGTTTCCATCCTAAGGGTATATATAGGACATGAAAGCTTTTCGAATGATAGAAAAAAAATCATCGATATAGATGTTGATGTCGAACCAAAAATAAATCCTTCTCATGAGGAGATTCGGGTGCTTTTACTTCATGAATTTCGTTTGGGTCACGAAGCAACGGAAGCAGCCAACAACATATGCAGTACGCTGAGCCAGAGTGTAGTCTCCATTCGTACCGCGCAACGTTGGTTCAATCATTTCAAGAATGGGGATTTAGAACTCGACGATGTACCTCGATCCAGTAGACCAATAGAACTGGATATGGATCTTTTAAAGCAGCTTATCGAAGAAGATCCTCGATTGACTTTACGGTGTTTAGCAGAGCAGCTTGAATGTTTTCATACTACGGTGGAAAAAAATCTGAACGAATTAAGCAAGGCCTGGAAAAACGGAGTATGGATACCTCATGAATTGTCATCACATCAACTGCAATAGAGAGTTGATACATGTATGGATTTAATCACATTTCATCGCAACTATCAATGGCTAGCCAAACTGATTACTGGTAATGAGAAGTGGGTGTTATATGTTAATTACACGCGTGGACGTCAGCGATTGAGCACTGGTCAAACAGGCGTTGCAACACCGAAGACTGATCCACATCCTAAGAAGTTGATGCTGAATGTCTAGTGGAGTATTAAAGCAGTTATTCATTGAGAACTTCTACCAAATGGTTACACCATCACTGCTGATCTATACTGTCAACAATTGGATCGGGTGGCTGAAAAACTCAAAGGAAAACAGGATCGAGTTTATTTTTTACATGATAACGCAAGACCACATATTGCAAAGTCGACTCGTGAAAAATTATTAAAGCTTGGCTGGATCGCCGTTCCTCATCCACCTTATTCTCCAGACTTGGCTCTAACAGACTACCATTTGTTTCGTTCTCTTTCGAATGATCTACGTGATAAAAAGTTCAAGGACGAAAGCGACGTCAAAACGGAACTTATCAAGTTCTTTGATAAAAAAATCCCAAGACTTCTACGAGCGCGGGATCATGTCTCTGCCAGAACGTTGGCGACAAGTGGTAGATAGCAATGGTAAATATATATCTGGAAACTAGTTTTAATTTTGAAGTGAAAAAATAAAAATACAATTTTCGAAAAAAAATGCCAAAACTTGGTTGACAACTTAATACTTTAAATAAAATTGATGTAAGACTCAGATGAACCTCGTCTAGCTGACATATTCAAACCGAAGAATGAAACACAAACCGAAATGTATCCGTAAGTTTGCGATCGCTTTTTCCATTTTGATTTGAAAAATGATTGAATTATGCATATCAAAATGTTCGTTTTTCTCTCAACTCTTTTGCAAATATCTTTGTTATTCTTCTCAGCTTTCTCACTTTTCTTCCTCTATCACGTTTTCATAAAGAAAATATTGCGTATATGTTGTATTAAACACGATCAAAGTCGCAGATTTCAGTTCAGGAGGCTTTCTAATTCTGGTACAACGCCTTTTTGCTTCCCCAGGTGATTCAATCCGACTGGCGGATCGTGTCGGGTTATATAGAATTACATCGGAAAAATAACTGGATTTTATCGGATCCGATGGGATTCCGTCGGAGTTTGCCGGCGTCCTAACCACAGGATTCCGATAGGCGGTTCTGAATGTCGGAATGATCACGATACTGCGGAATTCTGGAGAATCCAACACTTTCCAACATCTAGAGCCGCCTGTCGGAATCCTGTGGTTAGGTTTCCGGGAACTTCCGACGAATTCCCCATCGGATCCGATGGGCTGAGTTTGAGCTGGGATCTGTAATGTTTCGTTTAAATACAGATCTAGATGATCTAAACCCATTTATCGTTCAATTCACCAAAGAAATACTATCTATTCATTTTAACCAATGTTTTTTGAAAGATCGCAGAGCTCAGTCGTTGAATCATTGTAAAGTAAGTAAAAACCTGGTTGACAATTAAGAGAATGACATCATACACTTTTTGTTAACGGTTAATGATAATTTATCTAGTGTATTCATTGTATAGTGTGACACACTACTGATGAAACCCCGCACAAAACTTAAACCATAAAGAAAAAAGAATTAAAACAGATGGCAGAAGGATAACCTGCAATTTTTCTAAAGTAAACAGGAAGAGCGAGACACAGAAGAGTATGTGACATGAAAACATGACATTGCAACAGTTATAACGGACGTCAGATGAAATCATGAGCGATAATAAAAGTACCCAGAAAGTGATTGCATGTTTCTTGCTAAGTAAATCTTCGAAAACATAATCTCCGAAGAATATAGATTAACACAGTTAAAATGCGCCATCTAGTCACGTCAACTTTGTCATTCGTCCGAATTCTTTTATAGATCACTGTTAACTTGTTGAGAAAGAAAAAAGCACAATTTAGCTACTATGGTGATGACGATCGTTTAGTGTCAGAAGTTTCTCCTACTCATTCCCAATGCCACGTTAATAAACCGAACGGAAAAGTACGCATTACTTGTCGTACTTTGTACTTTGATCGTAAACGACGCATTTACGATGTATAGTTTCCATCATACTCTCTTTTAGATTTCCATCAGTAGCGTCTGTTAAAGCAAACGATAACCATTCATGCTCCCTTTACGTAACGAAGAAAAAGCAGCACTTCTTCTTGCTGTCGACGATGATCACGACGATGAAGAGACTCATCATGACATGACCACTTCATCATCAACACATACAAACGATCGTTTTCCCGTTGTCACCAAACGACCACGAACCTATCATCGTCATCGATCAGCCACTTCACAACCGATCCTCTGTTTTTTCTTTATCCTCGCAGCTTTTCTCCTCGGATCTGCAAGTGCCGTTGTCATCATGCTCTATCGAATGTCTCAAGATGCTGAAGGTAGTCGACCATCGATCCCAAACATCAACCAACAACGTTTCAATGTTGACTTATCTATCCAAACAAAGCTGTCGGAATCTCTCACAACCAGTGACTTTGTCAATGTGAGTTCAGTCGATAATGAAGATAATGCTGCAAACAAGTTATTTGACATCTGGCGATCGCTTTCGCCATCGTTGGATCGTGTGAATAAGTTTTCGTATGATGTTATGTTGTCCAAATATGTAGAATCGTCTCAGTGGAATGGCATTCAATTACTGGATGGTCGAAACGATACAGAACTTCTCAAGATTGATCGCTTGCCAACGAATGAACTCATCTCATTTTCATCGTTACTGAAGTCGGGAACAATTGATGGCAAATTCGTGTATTATGTGAACTATGGGCGGCAAGAAGATTTTGCTCATCTGTTTAGCAGTGGTATTTGGGCCACCAAACGGGCAGAATCGATTATTTTTATGCGACGACGATCATCGATTATTTCTCAGACTGAACAGATTCATCAAGCAATCTATTATGGTTTTGGTGGTTTAGTTCTCTTCGATGACCATGTTAATCAGCAGATAGCAACCAACAATCGACATACATTTTTCGAAGAATGGAGACGATATTTAGCTATGCAGGGTAACCTACATGAAAGGCACGAGATGAATTTTATGTTTTTCATATATAGACCGTGATGACTATCTGAATGGAAGAATGAAGAATACCGGTCATTCGATATGTGTGTTGACTCTTTCCTACGACGACGTTCAACGTATCTTTGGCTCTCTTCAACCTGATTCAAATCAGTGGCCAACATCTCCACTCGAATGGCACAATCAATCTACACCAATGAAGATCGGTGGACCACTCACAACTATTAAACTCAGACTTGTTGTCAACATGCAACAAGTTAAAGTAGAGCTACCAATCGTCATGAGTTCGATTCGTGGTTCGATCGATGCTGAACATTTTGTCATGATTGGACATCAACTCAACTCAGCTCAACAAAATCATATTGTCAATCAAATCGTTCAAACTTATGTCAATCAGATGAAAAATGGATGGAAACCAAAGTAAATGTGTTGTCATACAACAGTTCATGTTGTTGTATCTCTCATTTTGTAGACGATCGATTTTATTCTGTGGTTGGTCTGGATTGAGCTATGATCGATATGCAGGTAGAGAGATTGTGTTAATATTTAAATAAATATTTTCATTATCTATGTCATATGTAGTTCGTCGATGGATTTCAGAGAATTCTCTTTTGATTGATCGACATATGATTGCTTATCTCGATTTGGGTAATGATATCAGTGGTAATTCCATTCTAAATCTACATGGATCACCATTGTTGGAACAGATAGCATTTCGTGCTGCTAATTATGTTATTAGTCCTCTCGAACATAATCGCACATGTCATCATCGAGAGATGACAACAACGATGACAAATGAAGAGAATCATCATCATGATCACAATCGAAGACGACGACAAGATGGTGATAGTCATGGTCATGAACATGAGATGAAAACAAAACAAGTAGAAGAAGAGAAATGTGAACAACATAAATTGTTAGATGAATGGATAAAAGCAAATCGAAATCGAAGTTTAGGAATTGTACAAAGTATTGATGTTGAATCATCAGCATCAATATTTTTACTGGAATATGGTATTCCATCAATTGTAATCGAAATGACAAATGAAAAGGTAGTTTCAATAAGCATCGAGTATATTCGAGAACATTCTTTTCTTTTCTTTTCTTTTCTTTCTTCTCATGAAGATATGGAAGAGATGAAATGAGGAATATTTGGAAACAAAGATTAGATTAAAATTCGACTAATAATTGATTTGTTTTTATTTTGTATAGGGTTTATCAAAGGATACATTTTATGTTGATCATGAACGACTTACATTTTCATATGAAAATATTCAACCAGAAGTATTTGTTGCGTATACACAATTCATTATCGAATTCATTCGACAGTTAATCGATGAACCAATGATTTCATTCAATTTAACAAATTATGCTGATCAACTTGATAAATTAGTACCAGATTTTGTTGAACATCATAAGAGTGGATATGAATCTGTCGCTTATCATATTGGTGAATCAAGTAAAAATATGTTAAGAAGATAATTTATGAAATGACATTTTGATTTGTTTTCTAGAAGTGTTTATGAAAATATTAAATGAATTAATAAAATCTATTCGACAAGTTCAATTACATATTGATGAAACATCAAAAACTGAGTATAAATATCGAATTGAATAAAGATGAAGATGATTTAATTGTTTTTACTTTTAGTTATTTTCTATTACAACTTGTCAATGAACAATTAATTGAATTCGAACGTTTATTTATCAGTAAGAATCAATTATATGGAATGAATTCAGAAAATAAAATCTTTAAGTAAGTTGATTTCGAATTTTAGAAAGATTAATTAATATTAATATTAATTTAGACATATTTTATTTGGTCCAGTGATTGGTTTAACAAATACAATTGTTCCATTTCCATTATTATCTAATATTATTTATGGATTACCAGGTGATCCACCTACTGAACTTTGTGATGCTTCACGATTTTATTGGTTGAAATTAAAGGATCATATTTTACTTGTGAATCGAACAATAAATGGATTTGATGGACTTTTAACAAAACACAACTAACTGTGATGAGAAACAGGTGATCATCTTTGTATTTTTTCCATTTTTTTGTCAGATGTTGCTTTTTCTTATTTTAATTATTAAAAAAATTCATATATTTTACGTTTTTTGCCTGCAACCAAATTCTCAATTTAAGTTCTCAAAGAATAAGTATCGATATTACTATGCATGAGTACGGCGTTTAGAAACGTAACTACGAAAGAGTAGAAAGTTGATTTCAGTTTGATCAGGAAAAGTGCTCATAACATTTTCTTCTCTGTAACATAAAGAAAAGATTTTATGAAAAACAATACAAGATTATGATTTTATTCAATTTATAATGAAATCATTTCGAATTGAATAGTTGAGAAGTTTGATTTCTATAGTTGTGTTTAAATAAAATGGCAATATCTTATTTGACGTTTCGTTTGTTGTATACAGAATGAATGGATCGATTGACAGTTTTCGCATGAATAGTCTTTAGTTGCACTATTTGAAAACAATTGGCTTCGCTTTTCGAAAGGACGAACGGAAATTTCGATAGGTTGATTGAATAAACAATGTGAAAATCGGTGTTCGCTGGATTGCAAGCATAGTCTAATTGTTACATATTCGAACTGTCCGAATGTCTTTGAAATTCTAGATAATTTCAAATTATTTTCAGTTTTTTAAATAAGTGTGAGACTGATAGATGTTTATTATGTAAAAAATAGAGTGAAACTACATTGATAAAACAGAAAACGATATTTATTTTTGTGATTGCACTGAACTATGACTTTGAATTAAATTAGCATAGATTGGTAAATGATCACCAAGTATTTTTCCAAAACCTTCAACATCATTTCTCCAATCACGCTGTAATTCAGATCCAGCTGCAAACCAATTAATTAATTGTGCACCAGCATTTTGCATTCTTAACCATGCAGCATCACGTACAGCTGCATTAAATGTTCCACTACAATCTGTAATGACAAATACTTCAAAACCTTCTTCTAAAGCTGATAATGTTGGAAATGCAACACAAACATCAGTTACAATGCCAGCAATGATCAGTTGTTTACGACCAGTTGCTTTAACAGCTTTCACAAAATCTTCATTATCCCATGCATTGATTTGTCCTGGTCGAGCGAAATAAGGTGCATCAGGAAACATGTTTTTCAATTCTGGCACCATTGGTCCATTGGGTCCTTGTTCAAAACTGGTTGTAAGTATCACTGGTAATTTAAAGTATTTTGCAATATCAGCTAATGCCAAGAGATTATTTTTGAATTCATCTGGACTGTAATCACGTACTAAAGAAAGAAGGCCGGATTGATGATCGACAAAAAGTACAGCAGCTTTGTCTTTATCTAATCGATTGTATTTGAAAGACATGTCGATTGTTTTGATTATTGTGGTTATTCAGTGAAACGAGGAAAGAAGAAATACTTGAGAACCTCTGTTAGAGGCAAGACATATTTATACTCACGCGAACAAGTAAACATTCATCATATCATGATACGTCACAACGGGTATATTTAGATTAGACAAAAGAAATGCTTTGTCAGCATGAATACACATTCTTCGTTTTATACATTGTTTGGAAATAAAAATAAAATCGCGCATCTATTTTTTTGCTACATATACGAATGAAAGGACATTTTTTTTCTCGTCCGTTTCTATCAGAATTTATTATTTGACTTGAATTATATAAATAAATAAATAAATAAATTTTCTTTAGATAAGAATACGTCTCTCAGCATCAGATAATCTAGTTGACGGTGTTGATGATGAACTTGTAGAAATATTCACATCATGAATAGGAATATCCATTTGATCTTCTGAACTGAACAATTTCGAAGTTAAATTCGATATTTCATCTAATTCTGGATCACTTTCATTATTATAATTTTCACGATATTTTGTTATTTTCGGACAATTAATATTGGATGAATGATTCAAACTTGGTAAACTGTTATATAGATTATTCCGTTTTCGTTGTGGATAGCATAGAGAGATTGATGACGATGACGATGTTAAAGTTGAATCAGCATCATCAATTGTTGATGACGAATATTGAGTGATATCAACAGTTGGATCTCGATGATCTCGAAATTTTGAAAGAACATTTGAATCATTCAGAATTGTTGGAGTAACAAAAAGCGATTTCGGTCGAAATTTATTCGTTGTTTTTGTTGAAGATACATGTGTACGATGTGCTGCTATTGGTGGTTGAGATGATCTGAGAATCACATTGGGTTTTTGAGGAGATGTAAAATACAATGGAGACGAATTTACAGATTTTAATGGAGTTACATGAATTTGATGTACAGTACTGAAAAATACGAATGATTTACGTAAATTTTCTCTCAAATGAGATGTAATGATAATTAAATTGGTAATCAAGTTCAGTACATTCTATTCGAAAAGCAAAAGTGTCCTTCAAGTCTACCTGTCACTTATAAGAGAAAAAAAAACAAGTAATTGCCTTTTACCTTGGAGATATTTTTGCTTCATGTTGATCATGAAGAATATTATTCAAAAATTGTCTCATTTTATCTTCAACCGATCGATTATTTACATCATGTAAAAGACATTGAGCTGATTGTTTTATATTTCTAAAGAACAAATACTAAAATTGAAGATTTTCTCATAGATAATCGAACGAAATTACTTAAACTGTTGTTCATAATGTGATAATTGTTTTTTCTGTTCTTTTATATTCGATTCTAATTGATGATTTTGATTGAATACTGTGGCTAGATCATCGTAAACATGATATAACTTTTCTTTAAGAAAGATAATTTCTTCACGTAGGAGAAAATGATTGTCCGTTGAAATCCATTCTGTTCGTTGTGCGACTGATCGAATATTCTTTTGAATAAACAAAGAACAAAAAGGTTTAATGAAAATATTCACGTCTTTCTTACTTGTTGAGTTAATCGTTGAATAAGTTGTACATGATTTCGTTGTAAATGATCGAATTTGTCTTGTAAATTCTGACATTTACTTTTTAATTGTTCATTATGCAACGATAATTGTCGACATTGAATTTGATTTGTATCGAATTTCTTTTGTAAATCTACATCTATAGAACATAATCATCTATATAATAGAATTCGATCCGAATCTTGAACTTACATCGATCGTCATTTTGACGGATTAGATCATTTTTATAGAGATGAATATTTGTTGTTTGTAATTGTCTTGATAAATGAAGAAAGATGAAGAATAATAAAGAAATTGAAAAGAATTTTTTACCTTCGAAGTTCGAGTATTTCGCTTCGTAATGGAACTAAAGATAATTGAAATTGAATATCAGTTTCTGCATAGGATATCGCTACTGAAAGACAATTTTCAAGTTCATTCCAAAGGAAAAGACTTTCCTTATCTAAACAAATAAAAATGATTAGAAAGAGAAAAGAAAATCGAAATTTTACCATTATGATGTGATCGAATTTGTTTCGAAATCATTCGTATTCGTGATAAATAAGTCAGGAAATGTTCAAGAACGGAATGCGTCTGTTCTTTTTGCATCAGATTAGATTTTAATGAGCTAAGATCACTACACGATGAACTACGGATGAGTTCGTCTTTAATTAAACTACGCGAACATGATTTTGTCGAGTTTTTATTTGTTGGTAATGATGATATTAAATGTTGTCTAGTCGTTTGACATGGAGAAGGCTGCTTACGAGATTTATTTGGACTGAGGCGATTTTTTGATAAGCCGGAATCCTAGAAAAGAAAAGAAAAGAGAGACTCATCTTATCTTTGTCAAAGATTTTCATGTGACATCTGAGAAGAAGTTTAATTATATGCAAAATGGAGATTTTTCTTTTCTTAATGGATTCCTTTCAAGTTACGCACAACATCTTTTAAACAAAGAAAGAATGATTTACTTCTTTCTTTTTTTTCATTTTCATTTCTCGTTCAATTCACACATTTAGTATTCTTTTCTTTTTTACAACAAACCTCGACTGTCGGATGGGAAGATTTTTGCGGTGAATAGAACGATCGTCGTTCATGCTTGTTTGTTCCATTATAATTATCTACAAATCGGATTATGTATTTTCATTCGTTTTCTTCTTGTTAAGCTTTTGTATTTTTAAAGTGGATAAACATACTTGTTTTAATGAAAGACGTTTTCGTAATCGTTATTTTACTACTTTGTTTTTTTAGTTGCCTATTTGTCGACGAATTTTGCTTTTCTTTTCGATTGTCTTTATGAACAATTGGTGATGAAGAATCACGACGTGATTCTTTAAAGAAGTGTGATTCAAAGAAAAATGTTCTCACGAAAATAACTTATTCAACTTACTTTGTGCGTTTACGATACTTCGTAAGAGTTCAGCACATTTATCAAACTCTTTATTTGTTTGATAAACAAGTGTTTTCGACATGAAATTTGCTGACTAGAGAAATCGTTTGTGGCAATTTCTACTGAATTATCACGATGACATTCTATAAGAAGAAGAAAAGATTAATCTCAATGTTACCTCTTCAGACAAACGGAAATCTTCAGTTTCATTTCCTTCGTTCTTTTCAAACATATCAATTTTCATTAATAATATCTATAATTATTCAAAAAGAGAGAACAAACCACAAAAAATTATTTTATTCGAACATGGGTTCAGTGATTTCCGCGATTGAGTAGAGCGGATTCAGACATGAGAAAGCACACTTTTGAAAATTTAACGATGTGAAAGAGAAATGAATCAGAATTGATTTGTGAAATTAGACATACCTTTGCCGCAGAATGAATGATGAATAGAACACTTGTTTGATTTTCCTTCTTTTTCGGTTTTAAGGTAAAGTTTCTCCGAATGAATGCATCAATGAGAGTGTGTGTGTACCGTCTCGTTAACAAATGTGAAGAGAATTCCAGTTAATATGATGAAGAGAACACTTCATTCATCATGTTAAATATTTGAAAAAAAGAAAAATGACGATGGAAGAGAGAAAAACGTATAATAACGAGATGTTTGCTGCGAACAACATGTGTACGAAGAAAGAAGAGAGAAACCGAGACGATAGACCATTGTTTATCTTCATTCTCACTCTCGTTTTGCATACTGAAGATAAAAAAATGTGTGTTCACAAGTAAATGCTCGAGGCGACTATATGTATAAGTACATAGGACATTTTGTTTCTTTGATTAAGTACAAAACGAATAAGTAGAGGCAACAATGGTAGTCATACAAGTGCATTATATACACTACTTGACGTCAGTTTGAATTCAAATCCAATATGTTCAAATTGATTGTTAGAAAGAAAGAAAGAGAGAGAGAGAGAAAGAAGAACAATTTATGCAAATGTTGACACGTTTTTTTTTCTTTTAGTAAAAATGAGTTTTTTTCAGGAATATGACGAAATTCATCTGTTGTTGTGAAAAAATGAAGAATATAGAATTGCCTTTTTGAGTTTGAAAAAGATCATATATCGTTCTACATTTCCTCGAAGTTTTTTTTTTTCATATCAAATAGAAGTATTTATATCCAATCGTAAATAATCGAAATCATAATGAAAAAAGATTTATTATGCGAATAGACGTTATTAGAATTTTTGCGGTCAGATGGAAATTACATTTATAAAAGTTAGATTCTATTGATTGTCTGTTGTATTTTGACGAATGGTAATCAATTTACGACGTTCATCTTTCGTATACGGAGGACGAGGTCCATTACCATACGCAAGAGAGACAATTGCACTTTGCCCGTCGTTTAATTCAATCTAAAGTAGAAGATAAACGAGAATTTCGAAGTAACCGATTCGTAATTCTATACTGGAAAGTCAAGATCGTATCCTTTGACAGTTGAATGTTCAATATTTGCCGGTTGGATCGAATGTTTTGAAGGTAAATTTGGATATTCATCTCGTAGTTTTTCTTCAATTACATCGCGATACTATAAATAGAAAAGATTATTTTCAAATGACAAAATACGTTAAAGAAATAACCAATTCAAATCTTTGTTGATACCACGGATTTGTTGCTAATGGTGATGTCGGAGTAGTTGGTAAAGTTGTTGCGCGTGTTATTGGTGGACGCGACGGTTTACTTGCCGTTTCATTCATTTGATTATCTTTAGTTGCCGATGTTTCACTCATTATAAGATTATATTCAAAATGAATAATTATTCAAATGACGACATTTGTATCTTTACGACCAGATGTAATATGCGTGAGAGAATACAGTAAACAAAACAAGAGAAAAAAAAGAGAAAAAATAACTTCTTTGTTATTCTTAATTATGCACACCTTTCATGCTTTGTGAATATATTAAGAAAAGAAGACAACAAATGATATTTTGTTTCTTAGACGTAAAAACAATTGCGATTCGATCATTTGAGAATATTGTTGTTTGACCTTATAGAAAATGATGATTAACGAAGGAAAGAGTCGATCAATTAGTTAGTTCATCTAACGACGCGCGTAACATTTCATTGTCTCAATGTATATTTCCACCATTTCTATCGTCATTTGCATTATTTTATTCGATTTACAATTCATAACTACTGAAACACTCTATTGTAGTATTCATTTCATCGTTGATTATCCACTATGGTCATTGGTATTCCCATTTCTTACAAGTTCAGCTTTCCTAAGACGTTATTTCATCGTTTAGACATACACGACACGAGCAGATCGTGATTATTTTCGAACAAATACATTACTTTCCACTTATATCTACCGAAATGTCGAAGGTTTAAATGAACTTTACAATCAATACCGATTTCCATATACATCAAAAGCAAAGAACACAACTATCCAATTCTTTGTTCATGGAATAACAGGTAGTTGATGATAATGAAAACTAAAGTTTTTCAATTCAACTATTTGACTTTGAAGTTGTAACACAACATGTTTGCGATCAGAAAAATCCGAATAGAAGTCCAAGAGACAATCCTTTACAAGAATTTTGCTCATCGAACATAGATAGCGATGAAATATTAGATCTAATCGTTCGTTACAGCGATTATAATAAAAAACAGAATGATTATCAAGGAGCTTGTCTTTACTATGGTTTAACATCACGAAAACTTCGATTACAAAACAATAAAGGCACTGCATTGGGTAGAGATTTCTTTTTTTTTTATGTAAAGAGAAGATTTGATATTTTGAAAATGGATGTGAATAGGATGGTCATGGAAAGGACATCTTTGTGCAAATATGAGAGAGTTGAATGGTTGGTCACCAGGAAAAGCGAAGTTTAATCCTCGATATTCGGGAAATGTTGGAATTGTCACTGCAAGTTTTGATGCAAGCGAGTATGTAAGAAGAAACATAGTTTATGAAAGATTTTCTTTCGTGTTGAATATATTTTAGTTATAGTTTGAATAAGTAAGTTGGAAATCTTTGGAAAAATGATGTCGATCGAATGATTAGAGGTGAAATGACGTTTTTTCATGAGATTGGTCATTCAATGGATGCTAATCATGATGATGATAATGAATTTAAAAATCGAAATAAAGAATGTAATCCAACTGATGAAGAAGGCGGTAGTTATTTAATGTATTCAACTAGTACTGAAGGACTTCTACCGAATAATCGTGCGTATTCTCATTGTTCATTGGATACGATTTCGTGAGAATTGATATTTTCCTCATGATTTCTTTTTTATCTATGTGATTTATTAGAAAATATACTCGAACACTTGGCCAAGGAAATCCGAATTGTTTATCAACAGATAAAAAAATCAAAGGAAAATGTGATGGTATCCTGTCAACAGATGAAGTTTGCGATGAACAAGGAACAACAAGTAATTGCTGTACAAAAGATTGTAAATTAAAACCAAGTGCTGTATGTTCACCGGTAAATCAAACTACGGTCAATGAAGGAAACAACTTCTGAATCTTTTCTTTTTTGTTTTTTTATTTTCAACTTAGTCAACTGGTTCTTGTTGCCAATCATCATGTCAACTTCATTCATCTGGTCACGTATGTCTCGCTGAAAGTGAATGTAAATTGGCAATTCCATGTTCAGGCGCATCTTCTATTTGTCCCGAAAATGATAAGAAATACTTTAAAGTAGATAATACACCCTGTCGTAATGGAACGTTACTTTGTCAAAATGGTTTATGTCAAGCATCCATTTGCGTCTTACATTCCCTTTTACCATGTCAATTGAAAGAGCCTGAAGATCAGCTATGTATAATTGCTTGTTTAACTAAAGATGAATTATGTGTACCTTATCATACTATTAATCAAACATCAGATTCATCAAAAATTCTCTATTTACCATGTAAGTCGTTGTGGGTTGATCGATGTGATTTGCCATTTAATTTCTTTTTTATTTTTATTGATCTAGATGGATCATTTTGTGATCAAAGTCATGGATTTTGTGATCAATCACATAAATGTTTGCCATTGATAGTCGATCATACAGGAAATTTAATTAGTGTTGGATTTAGTACTCTTCTTCTAACGAATTATTCAGCAATTATCAAAGAATATTGGTGGACATTTGGAATATTTCTGCTCCTCCAGATTATTCTTATTCCAATTGTTCTCTTATACTTTCATAGTCAATGTATTCCTTCAGATAATCCTTTTCTTCAAGTAAATAGACAAAAGCATTGAACACACTTCATAAAAACAAACATTCGACGTCACGATCTTTTGTCAATGCAAATGAATGTAGTTAATAGCAATGGATTGTCGATCTTTAATATTTTACTGTTTTTATTGAAAATAAATGTATATTTATCAAATAAAAACAGTTCAGTAAAAGATGTGAAAATAGAAAATTTGTAGTGGAAAAGAACAGATGCACTAATTGATGATCTCTAGAAGCTTAAATAGTAAGAATAATATACAAAGTACAATATTTCATCTCCAAATCAACGAAAGTAATTTGAGATAGTAATGTTCTTTATATACTTAATAAACTATCATCGGAATCGAATGTCAAAAAGTAGATCACAATTGTTACAAATACAACTACATTTGCTCCCATAACGAAACCCATTGAACCAAAAGCAATCTGAATAATATGTTCAAAGTAAAATCTTCTTCAATTTATCAAATCAACTTACCACACCAGCTCGATGAAGAACTACGGGTAAACTAAATGCCGAGACAACAATTGCACTTGTGATAAACCACATCAGATCCGAACATGGATTTGTATCACTTGTACTATAACCATTAGAAGATGTACATTGACGTGCGATGACTAATGGAATTGGGCAAAGTACATAAAAGATAATGACGAATGTGGGCCACCAATTGCTAAAGATAAAAAGCGAATCGTTCGTTCTTATCATTGAAAAACTGATGACGTACTAATTCGATAACGCACAACCTAAGATGAGTAAGGTGAAACCAATAGCAGCCAAGAATGCCAGAAAAACAACGCTAAATTAAACAAATATCTGCAATTATTTTAGTAGAGTTCATGCAGTTCTACTTGCCCTAGAAAGTAAAAAGAGTTTTCATATAATAAACAAGAATATTTTCTTAGTCAAACCTTACCTCGAATACCTTGAAAGAAACCCATGATTAATTCGTTGCAAAATCAAACTTAATCTACAAAAGGAAAACAAACAAACAACCGATGATCATTAAAGTCAACAGAAATTCAAAAGGAAACAAAAAAAAACAATTTCATTAAACTAAGGACATCCTTTAATAAAAGGTATTCCGACAGGTACACGTTTTTGATAATCTCGATAGAGATTTCCATAACATCTGATCAATGTAGCTTCTTCATACACAACTCGTTCAGCAAAGAACCGCCAGGTCGACTAAAAGAAAAGAGGAAATTCACAAATTTATATTTCTGGTTTGACTGAACAAAACTTACGATTAAATAAAGTATAAAACATATAGGATTGGCTAATAGTATCTGTGTTCCACATGCCCACCAAAACCATCCAACATACGATGGATGACGATACGTTTGATAAATTCCGTGAGTAATCAACTGATGTTCACTATTCGGTTTGTCTTCAATCAAATGTGAAAAACTTTGTTGAGCTGTACACATCGATAATTTACGTAAATATTCTCCACCAATGACCATACATAAACCAAGAATTATCCAAAGCCAATAATAAGGAACTCCATTTGAAAAAAGAAAATATTTTTCAAGAAAATACTCGCCGTAGGCCATGACTATTGCAGCATGATATTGCGGTGAATGATTTAACAGAAATGAATCGATTGTTAATGTTCGAGGACACCAAAGAGCAACGGATATGTATTCACTTATATGGAAAGTTGCCAAAATGATTGTAAATAAACCGATCGGGAGTGAGAAAAATGACCCGAGACAACCAATGGTAAGTACAAATGTTAGTAAATGAGCACGAAGAAAGACTTCTTGGATATAAAAACGAGTGAAAACAAAGAAATGAATGAGAAATAACATGATTATGAAACCAATTGTACTATAGATGGACAGACGATTCAGAAAATAAACAAATAGAAATGGAATTGAAAGGAAAAATGGAACAAATGATGACAAACATGAAGAAAGTTTTTTCCGACTAGTTAATTCCATAGTAATTAAGACCAATGGATTCTGGTTTTGGCTTTTTTCATATCTCGACATTTCATATAAACGTATACTTCTCTATAAAAAAAATCAATTCAATTCTCCGACATATTCATTTGACACATTCTTCCAAAAACGAAAAGGGAAAGTTGCTACGTCGTATTTGTATTATATGCGTTCCTTGAAAAGTAATTAAATAGTTTGGCTAAATTCGATGAGTAATGATAAACTTGACAAATACAGATATTTTAACAAAACAAGCGCCGTCTATGATGACAATGATAGTAGGAAAGGCAAAAAATCTCTAGTTGGCCCGTTTTATTAACCAGCAAATACATATCAGTTGGTTAGATGGCGTAAATAGACATGAACATTTGTATAATTTTTCTTCGATTATCACATGAAGAACACTTCAACTTCGAAAAAGACATTTAACATTTAATGAACATATTTATGTCTGAGATAAACTTGATATTCAACGTGACTGAGAGTCACATATTATATACTTCATATATAGATCATTTGATTATGTTGAACTTTAGAATTAATTTAGCAATGATGATATTTCATGAGTCGAGTTTCTTTTTTAATATATATTCTTCTTCCTTCTTAGCGTAAATGCATTTGATTATTGTTAACACGAGAACTGTTCCTCTTTTCACATTGATATGATCACTAAAAATGAAGATCTTTAATTGGTCCCGCTGAACTTCTTCTAAAGAAAGAGAACGATTTTGAATCTACTCGGTTACACCGTGCAGGGGAAACTTGACGTTTTTTATTGCAAAATATAAAGCAAACAAAGATATCTTGTTTACAAAGGACATCTGGATCTTTTGTAACAACCACAAAACTTGTCCAAAAGATCATTTCATCTTCGGTTTCGTATGAGAATTGCTTATCTCAATGTCGATGATTTGACAAAAAAAAAAGAACAGAAAACTCGATTTTTCTTCTATCGAAACATTCGTGCCACGGTGACAAGTCCTAAAGTAACAACACTTGCGTATAATGAATATTTTAACAGAGCATCTGTATTATAAAAGTCGTTGTTCGAATTTGCAAAGTAATTCAATTTCGGATAAACACATAGATATCCAAGTCGAACATAAATATCATCTTGATGACGTGATTGTTCACCTCGAGGTGAATATGGTTCTAAACTTCGTGTAGAATTGTTTTGCGAACGAAATAGTAAACTTGTAAACCAAGATTGTGACATATGTTCAGTATTAGTTGTTAATTGTTGATTATTATCTTTAGGATTCGTGTAAATTGATACAGCTGTAATGGCTGAATAATCGATTGGTAAAGGAATTTTATGTTGACGACAAAAGAATTCGATGGGTAAAGGATAATCTTGTTTAACAGATGGTTGATCAGCTTTGCTTAAGATAAATAACGAGGGTAAACGAGGATAATCATGTTGTTGAAGAAAACTGGTTGCTGCATTTGAAAATGCACGTGGATGAGTACGATCAATAAGAAAACAATTGACATTGGCTGTTTTAAAAAGAACTTTTTCATCTATGTCATTCGAATGACGTTCTTCGAGAATTAAGCATTTTGTTTCGTTTAATACACGAACAAAATCAATTGCATAACTTTTAACAGGTTTATATGTAGATGTCGAACGATAATCTGATGAAAGAAAAGCTTTGGCTTTGTTATTTAATTTCTCCGCTAAATCTTCAGTATGATGAATTTGATAGATCGTTGGTGAAACAAAACGTTTCAGAAATGAACTTTTACCAGATTCGGACATACCGTAGACATGACAAATGTATGTCATACGACATGGTAAACGTGTATCATCAATGTTTGATATCGCGTATGAGTAACCTAATTGAAATAAATACGAAAATGTTAATGATGGTTGAGTTTGAGCGAGGAAAAACCATTGAGCAAGAAAAGCCGATAGAGTGATTAATGGAGATTTCGTAGATGATTGAGATAAACGAATATAAATACAATGTTTGATGTTTGATAAAGTAGATGACATTGGAGGTATAATATCAATCAGAGATTCGAATAATTGATTTAATTCTTTTAAAGTTAAACACGAATCTTTATCATTGTCAAATCGATGGAACAAATGTGTTAAATAATCGATTGCTGATGGAGATAATTCACCGGCTAAGTCTAGAAAAGAGATCATTTTGTTGAAATAAAGAAGAGAAAAGTTCAAAATCATCGAATTAAACTAATGAAATTTTACCTTCAGGAGCATTTGGCACACACAATTCCAATTTTCGATTATAATTAAATCTTTCCAATGTTGTATAAATCGTTTCATATTTGCCTTTGTTTAAATACAATTCAAATAAACATTCAAAACCTTGATAGGTCAAGGCACTTGTAATTACACCTCGATGTTCACTAATAATCTTAATTCCATGAATAGTTCGTCGTTTTATTTCCTTCTTTAACTGTTCAATCGTTTGTTTTTCATCATTCGTTTGAATTTTTCCAAAACAATAGTCTTGTAACATAGTTAATTCTTGATCGTTTAATAATTGATCATTATCTTGATCAGCAATTGTGAATATTCGTTTTAGACATTGTTTAAAACGTTTTGTTAATTTATTTTGTTCTTGGAGATAGTTGATAGGATAAAGAACACATTTTTGTGCAGAATAGAACAATTCTGAGATATTTTTCATCGTTCTTGTTGATGTTTCAATACACGCTTCAATACGCGAATATTTTGACATACTTAGACGAAAAAATTCCCGATTTTCCTCATTAATATCATGAGGATTTTCGTCGATTAAATCACATTTATTCGCAACAAGAATTATTGGAATTGTCGTTGCACTACGATCAATCAATGGAAGCCAAACAGTCAGTAATCGATCCCGAGATTCTCGACTGTCAAAAGCATAAACAAGACAAATAACATGTGCTTGACGAATACATGAATAAAGTGAACGTGATTGTTGAAGAAGTGGATTTGGTGATGGACATTCCATTGGTAATAACAAATCATCGATTTCATCAGGTGTCATTGGCTGACGACCACAATAATCCATAATAACTGTTGGAACACGTGCTCTTGTTACTTCAGGTGGGATTGATATGTCGTCTGTTGTCGGACGAATTGAATCATTTGAATGAGTTGAAGATGAAGGAACAACATCTTCACTAACAAGAGAATAAATTAATGAAGTTCGACCGACATTATCATCACCTAAGAGAAGTATACGTATTTCAGATATATCCATCTAAAGAAAAACAACGACTGAAGTTTGTTTTTTTCAAAGTTATTTTCGCCAGTAAAAGATTTTTCTGCTAATGAAAGGTTCACTTGCCTGTACTTCTATCCTACTAAGATGTTCTTAAGTTGATCAGTAATGAGCAAATATTCAGATAATTTACGAAAATGAGAACTATTGCACATACTTTCCTTCCTAATCAAACAAATCTAGAAAGAAATGAAAATGTCAAATCGATTGTTTGTCTTTTGTATTCTTTAATATATATAAAAAAAAAGTGACGATCAATCAAACGAAAACAACCGATGTTATTGTTGGTTGTTTTATCCATTTGCATCAACTCTAAGATAAACTACTGTATAGATAAGTAATGATAGAAAAAAGAAAACAAACGGAACAAAAAGACAAACGAATATAATCTGCATGAGTTGTCTCCATTGAAGAGAGAATTCCTGAGCGAACAAGAAGAGAATTACATACACATATGGTACAACAACAAAAAAATGAACATTTCGACTTTGTCAAAGAATATACAAATATATGATATTCACAAGCGTTCGTCTCTCGCATGCGCTCAGATGGTTTTTATATACAAAATGAATAGAAACTATCTGTTTTTGAGGGGCGAATGAACGTATCGAGAGAAAAACAAGAAAGAATATATATTACAAGTGATAAAGAAATAAAATGAAAAATATTGTGTGTGTGTTTGTGTGCTTTTGGAATTATTAGAAAAACAAACGCGATGTGATTCGAAGTATTCTTTGCGATTTCTATGGATGATTAAATTCAATATTTGATTGATTAACTGTTGAATTCTGTTCACTGTTATTTAAACATATTTGATCTATATCACTTGGAGGAAGTGACGGTTGTTCACTAGAAGTCATTGCTGGTGAACTTGTTGATATAGAATGAGTTTGATCCGGAGGACAAGAGGATCCTAAAAAAAGATATGTGCTGTGTGGAAGAATTTCAATTAAAAAGAAGTTTGCCTTTCTCACCTTCAGAGATTTGATCATGTAAACATTCTCCAACCTTCAGAACTAAGTCATCATTCAGCATTGGCTCTGTATTTGACTCGAAATCTTCTCCATCATCTACATCGTCGGTATCTTCTTCCGTGTTTAAAGATGAAATTGGTTGAAGATAAGATGAAGAAGAAAGAGAAGGAGTGACTTCTGATTCAGTTAAAACCGAATTTGACGATGATGATGTTCGACCATTCTCTTTTTGTTGATTTGTTTTAAGTAATTTTCGACGTGGAGTATTAACAAGTAATGTCGCGGCATCTTCTGATGCTGGTCGTTTGGGAGTCTAAATATATGATTCATTAAAAAATTCTTCTTCCTATGAGAAATACAATCATGTAAACACATATCCGATCCTATGAAAACTAATCTATACTCATATGGTTGTCAATGTCAAAGATATGTTATCAAAACAATTCTCTGATGGCCATATTATCTACCTGATATAGCAGAAAAGAAAATATAAAGAAGTTTTACCCGCACTGGTGTAGGACCATTTGAAATCGGAGTTAAAATATGTTCGTTTCGTTCTAAAGCTGGTTTTCGTTTCTGAGGAGTGATTGCTGTCGATGACGACGATGACGATGATACTGATGCTACTGATGAAGGTGCAGGTGATAAACCATCTAATTCAACTGTATCATCTGAACACACCGATGCTGTAGCTAAATGAAGAGAAATGGATTTAAAAAAAAAAAGAAAGTTTTTGTTGAATATATACATGATGACATCGAGTAACTGAGTTTTTCTTTCTTCTTTTTCACAATACAATCACTGAATGGTGGTCCGGGTGGATCGAGCATAACAGTAACACAAGTTATATTATCCGAACGTAACATTCGGTCACGCCAAAGTGTTAACGCTTTTTGTACAAGTTCATGAGATGGATTACGAAATGGTCGATGATCATCATCCTAAATGAGATTATTTTGAATTATTCACAGAAAGATAAAAATGAAACTTTACATCTGCTTTTAAGATCATTTCTTCAGTTTTGACATCACAATTTCTCACAGTTTCTACTGCTGCTTCCGGTGTAATCATGTTCCAAAGTCCATCACTTGCTAAGATAATACATCGATGTTTGTTTGAATCGATTTCAATCACCGCTAGTTCAGGTTCAGGTGACACTGAATATAAATTCGTATGCGCATTCAAACTCCATAAATCTCCGAGAGCTCTCGAAACAGCAAGAAACGGAATTTGTTCATATTCAATCGTCGTTCCATTCGAAGTTGTTGTTGTTGTCGTCACTACTGAATGTTGATGTCGATGACGATACGTGTGTGACGACATTGATGTTGTAGATTTCTGTCGATTCCAAACAACACGGTGAACACCAGCTTTACAAAGAACATTCCCTCCACTTTCATGAATACGTTTCAATTCTGATGGATCTTCGGGTTTATGATCACGTGTCAAACGATTTGCTGTCCAAGTTTTATACAATGTTTCACCTTCACCTAGCACAATCGCAGAATCACCAACATGACCAATATATAACTTATTCCCACGAACAAAACAAACACTTGCTGTACAACCTAAAGAAGAAATTCATGTTTATCTCTACAATTCTTTCGCTTTTCTATCAAACCAGATGTGCTTGGTAAGCCTGAAGATGTTTTCGGCCATTTTTCAACATGATTCCACATGTCTTGATGACAAGCAAGAAAACCTTTGCGTATGGCTGAAAGAATCACTTGATCATTTTCGTTTTCATCCGCACTTTCTGGCCAAAATTCCACTTGCTCGAGAATATGTTGACATAAATTTTGCCGAGCAAATTCAGCTGCTTCTTTTCCTCCATGACCGTCAAATATACCAAAATAAGCAAGAGAGATTGGACTTTCTTTATCCGATTGATTTAAACGTTGAAGTGCAATTGCATATGTATCCTCTATATTAAAATAATTTGAGATTTTATCTTAGACAAAGGACACATTTGTTTACCCATGTACTTTCGACCACCTGTAAATAAAACAAGACGTTCAGAATAGAACAGAACAAAACAAATATAAAAAGTTTACCTTGATTACTGTTTGTGGTGATTCGTAGATTAACCTGAACACAATCGTTTGGTTTGTTCGTCATAACTGATCTAAATTTCATTCAAAAAGTCAATACTTATTCCATTTTATTCGCTACTTCGACCGTGAAAATACGTTCCGAAAAATCTCGCGATTTGGTTCGCTATTCTTTCTACTGATTTTTCTTTCTCTATTTACATTTATGTTGAATCATTCATTTACGTCAGAAACGGTTAAGATAGAAACGTTCGGTTCGATTTGCCTGCCGTAATCACTAAATCGCCATTACGTTGAAATGCATCTGACCTTCTCCGTGAAGAATAACAGAACAGATGGCGCTAGTTTATAGTCATATACTAGACGTGAACTTCTAAATTTCAGTTTCTCATACTTATCTTGAGGACGAGAACGGCTGTTCTCGTATGAGTATTGTTAATAATAAATAATCGTTTATACTGTGACCATCAGCCAACTGTTTAAGAGCGTGTCTCTGATATTTAGTTCAAAACATATGGTAATCGAAGGCATAAGTCGAGTGGATGGGTTACCGTGAAATAAATATGAATGCCGTATCTTTAAAGATTCTCAGTACTCAGAACGAGCTTTGGAATAAAGTTCCCTATTGCAGCATCTTAGAGCTTCGTTCTTCATTGTTTTCCCTTTCATAGTTTAACAGAAGAAATTTTGAATATCAACCACTAATCAAAGAATCGACTTCCACCTATGCTGACGATCTGTGTAAGTACGAATGACTTTGGTATTATTCCTATTAACACAGTTTTGCTGTTTGTTATTCCATCGCTCTGTTCTTTTGTACTTTCTACTAAGTACATGTGACTAAGCTAGGACTGCCATATTTCATACTTTTCCGCTTGAATATAACCTTAGTTAGTGTAAAATCAAAGTTAGTTGCTTCAACTTCTTGAAAATCGAAATTTTCCACGTAAAAACTCGACCAATGAGATAATTCTCATACCTAATCCATCAATGCACTTGCAATGCAGTCGATTTTTCTCATTGGCTAACTATGTGTTCTACTTTCTAATAGAATTGAAGTCTAAAATCGAGTTATGTTACCATTTGGGATCTTGTTTATTTTCGATTATGATGGACAACGAAGATAAAACTTCGTTTGATAAGAACATGTTCCAACAGGTATATGATCTTTGCTTATCTTTAATCAACTGGCATGGTTGTTATTTGATATAGATGTCTTCGTCTCATTCTTCATCGACATCTGATCAAGATGAAATCATAGCAAGAAGAAAACTTGAACAAAAACGTCGATTTCAGCAGAAACAAGGCAATGCACATAAAGATGCAGATTCATTGATGCAATCGATGTTTTCAGATTTCAAATTACAACCAAAACCTCTGACACAAAACACTTCAGGTATGATCGAATCTTTCATTTCCATCTTCAGCTCGAACTCGTTCTTTCATTCAGAAGAAAATCGTTCAATTCCGCATATATCAGGTACGAGTATCAATTGAACCTTTTTGACACGACTTATAATGATTTTCGAATTAGTACTGAAATCTAATACAGTAACACAACAATCTCAACCACATGTATCAGCACCTGGTGCAGCTGATTGGTCGAAAATCGTATTTGATGACGAATTAAAAACGGTTTTTCATCAAGAAGAAAACATTCCAGTTCAGAATTTAAAACAATCCATTACATTTCATCATTCCACTGAACAAACACTACCTGCATCTAGTTTTGGTAAAGCTTGTTTTTTTTCTTCTAGAACAAATCGAATTGAATATTTTTCTTTTCTAGTTTACCCATCTTGGTGTTTACAACCGATTGTCTTTCTTCCGCTTGTCTATCAACAAGTATTCGAAGCATCATGTGTTTCTAATGTTATTCAAACATCAGTTCTCTATCCAATTCTTCTCTTATCTGGTCTTCGGCAAGATCAATTAAGTCAAATTTGGTCTCAAGTGAATTTAACACAACCAGGGACATTATCAAAAGAAGAACTGTTTATGGCCTTAGCTTTAATTGCATTAGCACAGAATACTAATGGACAAATTTATCCAAATGAATATCTTTGTCATTTAACTGACATCCCAGTACCACATTTTCAAATTCAACAGGAACAAAAGCAAGCACAACCACCAGCACCAACACCGCAATCAGTTTATCATCAAGATGACTTTGCTGATTTTACATCTTTCGAACAAATCGAACAAACAAATGAGAGTACAAATGGTGTCACTCTACTCGATTTCGAGGAAAATCATTTGTATCCACCAGATATGAAAACTACATCATCTGAAACACAATCCATTGCAAGTTTGGAATTACCTATGCCAATCACAAATATCAATCATCAAGATAATACTAGTCAAAAAGGAAATAGTGATAATGTCTCCTATTCATCTTCTTCGAATACAAATGATGTTGCAGCAACAATTGATACACAAAGTATACATTCAATACCTTCAACTGAACCGTCAAAACTGGGTATATATTCAAAAGTATATTTGATTTTCTATTGATGATCTTTTTCTTTTTAGAATTAACACAATTTTCCTTTTTCTCGGACGATACTTCTCATCTTGATTCTCACATGACTGTATGGTTACGTTGTTTTGAAAAATGTCGTGATATTTTATCTCAAGCGAATGAAATCTTTTCGTCAATTGAAAGTCCAACATTATGTACTGAAGTTTTGCAACAAACACGTACACGTGATTATGTTCAACATTTGCAAGAAATATTTCATGTTCATAAACGAATCTATACAGCAGCAGTTGTCGAACCAACGACAACAAATCAACTTACATCACTTTGGAAAGAAATTATCGTTCTATGGATGAATTTACAATCATTCTTCTCCACTACACATCTTCATCTAGTAATGAAAAGGTTTTTTTTTCGTTCAAAATATAGTTTTTTCGCTTCTTTTAGTTAAATGGTGATGATATTGATTATTCATCATTATTGATGAATGATACGTCATCATATTGTTCAATTTGTCTCCTTTCAACTGTTGGTCTCGATTCAGTATTACCAAATTCTTCGTCTTCACTGTTCAACACTGCATGTTTAACATTTGCTGGTCGATTATATCATGCACCTTGTGCCAATTTTTATTTGAATCTCATCGATGGCATTTTACCATCCTTAAGGAGATCATCATAAGAATAGTTTTCTGTTTATTTTTTGTTCTTGTTTGTATTTTATCATTTTTTTTCTCGTCTACTCTCTATGTACAGTGAACGTTTCTCTATTTTGTGTTGGATTATGGATATATACATATTTATTATTTTCAAGTCACATTTAGTAGAAAAAGGAACGATAATTTGAGGAGAATTTTGTTTTTCGCCTCTTTTAGATGGCTGACGATGGAGATTATGATGATGGAGGTGATATGGGTATGGATGACGATATGGATGAAGATGAATACAATGATGAAGATCAAGATCTTGATGGAGAACAAAATACCCAGTCAGGTGGACAACAAACACAAGGTGATGAACGAATGGAAATTCTTAACGAAGATGATCTTGGTGGAGGACAACCAGGAATGAGAACTGATCCATCGAAACGAATCACAACACCTTATATGACCAAATATGAACGAGCACGTGTACTTGGCACGCGTGCATTACAAATAGCTATGTGTGCACCGTTGATGGTAGAACCTGATGGTGAAACTGATCCATTACAAATAGCGATGAGAGAACTGAAGGAAAAGAAAATTCCAATGATTATTCGTCGATATCTACCCGATGGAAGTTTTGAGGATTGGAGTATCGATGAGCTCATTATTACTGATTAAATTGTTTCATTGTTACTGTTTGTACTAAATATATGATGAAATGAAATTCTTAGGATATATGAAAAGTTATTATGTTTAAGATTCAATGATGTCACCATAATGATAAAATGAATAATATGTAGAAAATCATGAGAAGACGGACATTGATCAGTAGATGATATTTAAATACTTAGATTCATTTGGATTTTTCTTTTCTTTCGAGCGCATTAGTCAAACTCGGATATCACTAAAAGAATTTATTCGTGTTCATCTTATTGACGATTATGTTCTTATCTTCGAAATAGTACGTTATATGATAGTTATCAAGTTCGCTTTGCTTTTAATGAAAATTTTGGAAAAATTACATTTTATGCATAAGAAAGAATGCGAATGAAACTCTTTCACGACGTACAGGTAATGTGGCAATGTCACAGAACGACCTCTATCCAATTCGAATGACTTATTCATACTGTCGAAAATCAGCGAATCGAAAAATAGCTACTTTTACTGTTTAATTATTGCAAAAAAGAAAATACTGCGTTATTTTTGCGATCTAAGAGTATGAGAATGAAATTACATAAAGACACATGCAATACTACTGTTTCGATTCATTTCATTTCTATCCTTTCGACGATTGTCGTATTCGAATAGCTGTACAGAATTCCTTTTCTTTTCCTCTGAATCTAAACTGACTATATAACAAACAATGTTAGACTACAACTAACACTTCTTCTTCTGTTTCAGATGGCTGACGATGGAGATTATGATGATGGAGGTGATATGGGTATGGATGACGATATGGATGAAGATGAATACAATGATGAAGATCAAGATCTTGATGGAGAACAAAATACCCAGTCAGGTGGACAACAAACACAAGGTGATGAACGAATGGAAATTCTTAACGAAGATGATCTTGGTGGAGGACAACCAGGAATGAGAACTGATCCATCGAAACGAATCACAACACCTTATATGACCAAATATGAACGAGCACGTGTACTTGGCACGCGTGCATTACAAATAGCTATGTGTGCACCGTTGATGGTAGAACCTGATGGTGAAACTGATCCATTACAAATAGCGATGAGAGAACTGAAGGAAAAGAAAATTCCAATGATTATTCGTCGATATCTACCCGATGGAAGTTTTGAGGATTGGAGTATTGATGAATTGATAATAACAGACTGAATTTTGCTCTGTTTTTGTTAGTAATTTAAATTGAAAGTCTTTCTATTTCAGATAGAAATAAATTCTCATAATTATGGAAATTAATGAACAAAATCTC